ACCCTTCTATTCTTCTCTCCCTCATGTCAATGTCTAGCTTCCTCTTGAATGCATCTATGCTATCTGATTCAGCCAGTGCTTCAGGCAGCAAATTCCACAACCTCACTTCCCTCTGTGTGAAGTAGTTCCTAAGTTTTATTTTAGATTCCCTATTCACTATCTTATACCTGTGTCCCCTGATTACGAACTCCCCAACCAGTGGAACCATATCAAACCTTTCTATAATTTTGAACACCTCCTTTATGTCTCCTACGCTTCTAATAGGCCCCCTTTATCTTGAAATGTAGGCTCGGTTCACTCTCTGAGTTGCTCCCTATATAAAGGTGGATGGGGAAATGCTGTTATATACATTCTTTTCACTCAGTCTACAGTAATAATACAGTACATGGACATTTACAAATGGTGCAGTGCAGTATATATCATGAAGATACTATTCTTATCCAATATGTGTAATGTGTAACCTTCCATATACTGTAAATACTTACTTTAAATTACAAGGCAAATGAATGATTGTACGATCAAACATGAAACAATATGAATACGTGTGTTCAACAGCTGTTCGCTCTGCACGTGTGGCTGGCTGCAGACACCTCTTGTTTGGTAAATTGTTTTGGTGTAGTTAAAATGTCAAACATTGGATTCTTTCATGAACATCAAAGGAGAATTCAGTATCAGAAAAAGCTTTCTAGAAAACCATCTGTTCTTGAAGTTTCTCAGATGGATTTACTCCTAGGGTTGATTTTAATTAAAAGTAGAATTGACGCTTTTATTTCATGTTCAATGTTAGTCAGATTAAAAATTGAAATTGAAGCCTGTAGTGTCTGTAAATGGCAGGAAGAAGCAGGCCTGTGGTGCTGTTCATTTTCTTACTCTGTAGATGGGCAACATTGCACAGTTGGCAGCCAGCTGTCGATGTCAGTGACTGTTCGTGTTAAACATGATCATTTTTCTTCTAATGTCCTTGGTGTGTCTCAAAATAGAATGGTGTGTAAATAACTGGTACAATACACCTCTTAAAATGGAAGTACCCTTCAATTGCTTGGTTCCAATTAAAGTTTAATATTAAGTGATGTTTATCCTAAATTATGCTTGAAATATAAACCTGTTGGATTGTTATGACAGTTATTGTTGTGGAGATGGTAATTCTCCAGTAAATACATAGACTTATGATGCTGATCTTTGCTGAGGTCTATGTGACACCTACCACTGCAGTTAGTGGAGCAGAGCAAAGATCAGTGCCATTTATACACAGTTGGCATGTTAGAAGATCTAGATTTAACCTAAAAATTGTGAATTTGTGACACTGTTTAATAACAAATTGCACAAGTACAACTTTAATGGCATCTCCATTTCTCTTTCAGTTGGTTGCCCCTATTCAACAGATACAGTGAAAGATACAATATTAGGAATAATTCAGTGCTTAAGAAAATGTTCCGACAACAGTAAACTCCTCATTACTCAACCCTGGCTTAACTTGTCACACTACCACTTAAGTTACCATGCTATCCATATGCCGGCCACTTCCCATGCAAAATATTAATAATCCGCTTTACTTGTTACTCTGTTTGACACATAACTAGTTGTATTCTAGAAATTATTGTAAGTACTCACAATGTAAAATTGATCTAATAACTCGTCCTATGACTGGAGTGGATGATCGGCGGAGGTTGGGCATGAATGATCAGATGCAATGCAGACAGGATAGGGTAGAAGGCTAAGGCTCAGCCCTCCAATAGACCAGAGGCCTCTGCAGGGCATCTGAGCATGAGCACCCAACCTCACTTCCGCTGATCATCCACATCAGTCAAGTGGCCTTTCATCCACCTCCTGCCCTATCCTGTCAGAGGATAGGCTGGGAGGTCACGCGTGGCCCTCCAGTAGATCAAAGACCTCTGGGATGCATTTGAGCATGCGTGCCTGACCTCAGCCGGCTTCCGCAGCAGTTACAGTGCCCCCTTTTGGCCCAGGAGGACCTTTGCCAATGTTTCCACTCCAGATATCTTGTTGCTGAGCCTCTTTTCCCTTGGAGTGATGAGTTATCCAGAGTTTACTGCAATTGTATTCTTCCTCATTGTCTTATATCTATAGGAAATATTCCATTTAAACAAACATTTCTGGTAACAGGGTGCACACTATTAGCACAAGTTTGTTTTGTTTAGTTCAGTATCAAATTGTAAGACAATAATTATAGTAATTTTCCCTTGATGTACAGCAGCTTGACGTATGCACCTGCAGAGTTTTGATTAGCATCACACTGGATCCCATATGTGTAATATGTAATCTTCCATATGCTGTATTAGGTCTGAATTTACCTATAGAATACACACAGTGCAATAAATATCCTGCATCATAGGAAAAGATAATGTGGTGTGATAGAACACCTAACATTATTTCAATTTATTTCCCTCCATTATTCATTGAGCATGGGAGAATCTGTTGGCTATTTTGACTCCGACTTTCCCACTAGTGCATTTTAAATGAAAATGAATCTAAATGCTTGTAGCCTTGAATGGTAATGATTCACGAATAATATGAATCATTAAGATATTTGTAAATGAATCTTGAAAGAGATCTTTAGCAGGTTTGTGAATTAAATGGTAAAACAAGTTGCATTTTGAGGAGAGCTAATACAAGCTAAAAGAGCAAATTGATTTTTTTTCCTGTTTAAGAATTAGAAAGGATTGATATTTGACCTGTCTTAGGCAGTAAGATTATTTTGTTTTAAAATGTAAGATTGTACAGAATTGTCAAAAAATCTTAAATTCCAGCTTAATTTTGGAAGCCAGTTTTCTGCAGTTCTTAAAAAGAAGTGGCTTCCAAATTGATAATGATTCTCGTAAAATATCCACAATTTGCAGGATCTTAAATCCTACATAAAATTGCAAGACAAATGGTCTCGCAGGCTAAGCTTTGTGAAATTTCAAGCCATATATGTCCATACAATATTTCCAAGCAATACAATTTAATGCCACCTCTACTTCAATATAATTTCCTTGAATTATTTTTTGAATTTCTAAGGAAATTATTTTGCTAGTCTTTTATGCTGAACAAGTTTCTTTCATCTTTTCCGTCCTTTCATTTATATCTTCCCTTAATGTTTGTCCTTCATAGGCTCCTCATGGAGCTACTTAATTTATTCTGTAGAGCACAAGGAAAAACAGTTTCAATCACTCAAGGAAATTGCAGCACTTTCACCAACTAAAGAAACTGGTTATTTTATTCTCCCCTTCAATTTCCTGGCTTCCACCTCTCCCAATGGTAATTTCTCATAAGGACACTGTACAAGTACATGGTGTCCAAAATGTCATGATACCATTACAATGGCTAATAAGTCTTAAATAAATGATGATATTTTTTATTATTAAAACAAATGGTATCATAACTTTTTGTATAAGCACAAGTATTGAATGAGAAATGATCATTTGATTGAAGGAATCCTTTAACCCATTTGATCTCATCTTTTCAGAATATTAACAGTACTGTCCTACAGTATCAAATTGTTTCTTAAATTAGTCCAGTATCTTGGCTTCTATCATTTTACCTGGTAACCAATCCCAGCTGTTCCTTTCTGATATCTGTCCTACATTTGCCAGTCTGTTACATATCTAAGTCTCTGCCCTCTTGACCTATTGCCTTAGCATACCAAGGAATTGCTCTAGGTTTACTTTCTCTATCAGTTTAGCATCTTGTACACCTTTATATTTCGTACGGTTCGTCCCTTTAACATTAAATAGCAGCCGGGTTCCTCGCCTCTATATTGCATTTAGGGCTTCAGACTACATCTGTAAGTAGTACTCCATGTATGCCTGATTAAAGCACCATCAATGTGAGCAGAACTTCTGGGGATCTGAACTAAATTGATTCGGTATTCTTGTCCTGCCTTGTTTAGTGCTGCCACACACTGCTTGGTGGGTGGCAAGTAAACTAACACCCCTAAGGACAGCTAATTTTATGCATGTCCTCTAGCTCTGAAGTAACAAGACAAAGTTAAGTTTAATGCTTGACTTGAATCATGTCGAGGCTTGTTTGCATTAGCAATAGTAGCCTTCTCATGTCTGACAGTTCTTAGGGGGCATCCATAATTCTTTACATTTTTTTAACAAAACTTTGTTTAATAAATTATACCCTCAAAACATTCATAGTGTATGTGGTACATTACTATTCCTTTCAAGGCTACTCTGTGTACATTATTGCAACTTTAAATGTACTTTACTGTGTTCATCATTTAAATGATTTAGATTCCAGTATTGATTCTATACTGCATTGTCTATTGTCTTTATATCACTGTAGTGTTATAAGGCAGCTTAGGCTATGTGCAGTGAAAGATCTAGCATTTAAGAAAAAATTACAAATTTGAAAAATGCTGTTTAAATTTTAATACCCCCCACCCCAATACATGACGTTTAAAACTGTGATGTTGGAATCGTGGCATTTAATTAATAGCTGTTTTGAACTTTTGAAATCTCGCTACTGCACCTAGATTTGACATTTTTTTCAATCTAAGTGACCATCTAGAATTAATAATACCATTGTGCATACTTGAAAAGTTCATGTATGCTGTAATTAAATGAATATTCAGTCTGTTCTTTTTATTTTTTTAAGCCGAAAACCCCCCTGACATTTTAGTATTAGTGTACGGACCACTAGAATGCTGAAGTTGCAAAGGATGCGTTATTATAGATCAAAAAAAAATATTTTCAGAGTGATATGTTCTGACTTTTTATGTTTTTTGTGGCCTGAATCAATGTGAAGCAATTTCTAATTTTCAGTATGAAGGGTATTTACTCAAAACTATGACATCCTTATATTATAATACTTAAACTATATTCTGCTTACAAGTTTATTGAAAGCTGATAGCAAGAATTCGAGGACTGTGATTTCTGATGGGCAGGTAATATGAATGTGTAATATTCTTATGGCCATAAAAATGCAATAAAAGTACAGTGTTTGACTATTGAATATGTCAGATCTTACAAAATAATTCTGTGCTTCATAATCAGGTGATTCGTTTGCACAGTTCCGCTTTGCTGAGGAGAAGGAATGGGAAGTGGATATCGCCTCTAATAAACAGGTAATTTATTTCAAACTTAACGTACTATTAAGATAATAATAATAATCTTTGCATTTGACATAGTCTTCTAGACTTCACAGAAAATACTGTAAAGTGAATTGACTGAATATTTGTGGGTGAAACGCGGCATCCAATTGCACGCAGCAGTGTCCCACAAACAGTCGTCGATTGAGTGACCAAATTATTATTGTTTTTTTTTGAGGGATTATTATCCCCGGAAAAGCGATGTGCCAATCGACTAACAACCGGGTTCCTACTTTTACTGCTAGATAAACAGAGGCGTGTGGAATAAGGAAACTTGCCCAATATTTCGACCTGCCGGCAATAAAACCCAGGTCTGTCGCTTGCAACTAGATATTGAAAGTTAAATGACCTAACTAATCTGCATCCAAACTAATCATACTACTGTATTGATTTTCAAACCAGTGATAAGAGGTACCACATTATTTTGTTCAAAATAACACTTTTACACATTGCCATTTTTGAGTTACTCAATGATTTCTGATTTGTTGCAAGCATTTGGCCAAATAGCAAAATCTAGCGAGCTGTGTTAATTGGTTCTGAGCCAGATGCTTAACATGAAAGTAAACAAAGCAAACTAATTATGCTCTTTTATCATTACAGACCATAATTGTAATTTCTAAATATTTGCATTTGGCAACAGCAGCTGGCACAAAACAAATTAGTGTAGAAATTTTCATTTTTAATGTGTTTGCTATACAAAGAATCTTTTTATTTCCGACTTTTAATCCTAATTTTTGCCAATAACAGTTGCAGGTAAACAACATTAATTTATTAATAAATTTGTTAATCAAGAAGCTTATGGGTAGGGATCAATTAAATATGAACAGACATTAGAAGTAACTGCAGAGGAAAGTAGACCAGCAAGACATGATCCAGGAACATGTTTTTCTAGGAGCCAAGAAAATCTTCCTTACCATTGATACATTTATAGAATGGTGCAAATGTTCCTAGAAGTACTTGTCTTCCCATCATGAATAAGAAGCCTCCAGAATCAAAGTCATTCAAATGGTAGTGGTTATTATTCTCTGTAAACTGCACTGAATTTATTCAAAATGTCTAAATTTGTAGTGTGATCCTTGGTGTTTGATTACTGACTAACATTACTGATTACTTTATGCATTTCAGATGTCACCTTTGTTTGTAGACTGTCAGGCACTGGCTCAGTCCCTTCAGGAACTCCCCATCTCCCTCAGACTGAATCTGGAAGCTGAGTTAGTTCAGGTAGGATTTATTCTTAATCTTGTTGCTTTCCAGACAGCTTTATTGAATCACAGATGATGGAGAAAATCTTTCAGCTTATTTTGTTCTCATCCTTCCATAATACAGTACTATGTTCCCATTATAGCATCAAGCTATAACTTAATGTTAGTATTCCAGCCTCAGCCATTCAAGGGTTTATCTTCTTGAGCAGAAAGTATTACCTGATATTCATTCTGAATTTGCCGCCACCTCCTAGAGTATGAATCCATCAGCACTGGATCCCCTCCAGTACCTTGTCCAACTGCCTATTACATGTTGCGACTTTCGATAGGTTATTTTAAATATTTATTTTTCGATCCTGTCATCACCCGATACCCACAGGGTGTCCTTTCCACCTGGAGTCACTGGGTATAATCGGGCTGATTATCCTTTACCTACCCCATGCTCGCTGTGGTGAATTGTGGCTTATCTGGTTGAGATCAGTTAACTCAACAAATAATAATAATAACTATTATAGGGATAGGGATTTGAATCTACAGCCTTCTGCTCTGTGGACCTTTGCAGGAAAATTATATTTTACATTTCTGTATGGGAATAAATGAGAGTAATACTTTTTATAGGGCCTACAGAACTGCCTAACAAGACGTTAAAACAATGAAACAGGAGTAAGTTTGAACTCTCTAGTTATTTCTCAACTATCTAGGGAGCTTTTAATAGAACAATAGAGCAAGTCCACAATGCTGTGCAAACAATTCTAGCTGTAAAAAAAANCCTAACCATTATGAACTGGATAATTGCTTTATTTAAAAGCCTTGTATCTGAGCTGGTATGAAGTCACATAGTTTGTACTTTTCAGTTTTAATACAGTTCAGCTCCAGAGTTCATTCTAAGTTCAGTTGATTTGTCTGGTTTTCCAGTTGGAGAAAGAATGGCCTGGAGTTAGTTAGTTAGTTGATTGAAGCAGACAGAAATAAAATGAAAAAAAGGCTGGGCAGAAGGTCAATACTAAATGTAAAGGTTAAACATGTAATATAAATCAATAGTGTTTATCACCTTGGAAATGTTAGCAAAATGTGTGCACTCAAGATTCCTTACAACTTCTTTTTGTTTGTGTTTTAAATCTAGATAACTCCTGCTGAAATTCCTCAGATCAGATTGAAAAGTAAACATGATGGCCTCAGCAAGTTCAGTCAGTTCGGTGTTCCAACAGCCACTTTAGGGACTGTACCTAGTCCACCTACTGCTGTAGGCACCTTCTCTGCCATATCTGTGCCTGATAATTTAGACACACAGACCCCCAACTTTACACTCAACCTTGAAAAAAAATCACCTAAGAATATTTTGCTTGGATCTCATCAAGCTGCCGATAAACTGGATGAGGAGCTGGATTTTTTACTGAGCTTAGAAAATCCAGCTGCAAAAAACATTCAAGATTGCTTGAAGGAAACTACAAGTCAAGATGAAGTAATCCAACATAATGCTGCAGCTGGTGAGGCAAATCATTCTTCTATGGATTGATATTTATTTAAATGCTGTCAATATGAAATATAATAACTTGTTTATTAAAATGCGCTGTTGAAAAAGAGAAGGGACATTCTCCTAGTGTCCTTTTCTGGCCAGCGAACCTTCAGATCAGATTGGTTATTCACTTCATACTTGTTTGTGGGAATATTTTAATATTTTAACAAAAAATATTGGTGGGACTTTACTGTGCGCAAATTGGCTGCCGCGTTCGCCTACATAATACACAGTAAATACACTTTACAGTAAATCCTGTAATGCACTTTGAGATGTCCTGCTGAAGTCTGTCAAATATGTAAGGTTTATTTTTCACTATTAAAACTTGAAAAATCTTGTTTGGGAATTGAAGTATAAATGACTTTATAGCCAGTTATAAGTACCAAACAGATTCCAAACGACCGGATTTGGGAGTAGGGCTCAGAAGCCAATAACGGAAGTTACAGTATTAACGTGATCCAAAATTTAGGCTAAAGATGTAGCTGAGTCTAATTGGTGAGTTATCAAAGCAATTGCTATTATCAGAGTTACCAGCACGATCTCTGATATCCTAGTATAAAAGGAGTATGACATATTTGGTTCCTGTTACAATCATATTAAAATAAATATGCCTTTAATTCTGTAGAGTCTTCCAGTACAGAAGTGATAGATAATAGAGATCCACATACAGCAGAAGTAGAGGAAACCGAGGACAAGAAGCTTGCTGCTGAGGAGGACCTGGAAGATTGGCTGGACAGTATGATATCTTGATACAAAAGGGAAGATTTTCCAAGTATATGACTGGACTGAATATCCACAGTGCCACCAGATTCTATAAAACTATGGATATACATCAATATATGGAAAATGATGGGGTAAGGTGGTTGCTTGGTTCATGTTGCTGATCACTGCTATACAGTAAACAGTATTATGACAGCTGTTCATCTTCCACTCACTGATTCATGATTGCTTGTTATCACTAACTGCTAAGGAATTTGCACAGATTTATCTAAGATTTATCCTTCTGTCATAACAGTGTTCTTAAATGATTGTGCAAATCTGGTCATCTGATTGAATGGTTAAGATTAAATATTCTGATGAAGTGTTCCAAATGTGGAAAAAAGGACATTTGTCTAAAATGATGGGAATTACACAGCATGTTTTTGGGGAAAAAAATAACATTTGTAATGCAAAATATTCTCACTATGGAGCAGCTAATAGAGGACAGACATCGATAATCCAGGGAACTGATCTTTTCAGACAGTAGTTTGAAATGAAAAAAATAGGAATTGAAAGTTGTTCTTAAAGAGAGAATCTAATTTTCTTACCTTCAACAATATAACAAACTGTGGACAAATGCTACCTAGCAACTGCCTCCTCAATAAAACACTTTTGTGTTTAATAACCTTGGTTGGCTTTCAGTGACGGGGATAAAAATATTCTGTCTTCATTTCCAAAGCAACATTTTGCTGTAGCTTTAAATCTGATTCAGTGTTGGCTACTAAACAACATGTTGTTGGCCAGCAGTTGACTCTGCAGGTTCCAATGATGCATGATCTCACATGCTTACATATTTGGAGCAAACCTGTGCAATAAGGAGTACATGAGGAAGATTACTGTACTTAAATTGCTTTATTTGAAAACAGTGTATTGCATTAGCAGTCAGTCAACATTAGTGAACCAAGTTGTTGTTCAGTATTTGAATTTTACGAAAGCTTTCAGGTAAGGTGATATTTGAAATAGAAGCTTTTGGATGGTGACTATTTATTCGAAGGAAAGAATGGTACATGGTGGCCAAGCCAAAACATAATTTGTGGCCATATTTAATGGAGATTAACACTGAAGTAATGGAAGTTGACTATGAAGTAAGGTAGCATTTCATAATTTTCACAATATTAAACACTATCCAGTAAATTTAGTTATTTTAAAAGCTTGGCTGCTGCTGTGGCAGGCACAATGAGACCCTGATTAATGTTGTACAGCACACAATAAGACTTTACAATCGAACAAATTCTAAGGTAGCTTTTTTGAAGAGCATCTTGGTAAACAGACCATACATTGTGTTGCATAGCTCAGTCAACAGGAAAGTAAGGCACAATTGTTTTGGCACTTTCTTGCAGTTAAACAGCCCTTTTGTTTTTGTGACTCTTTTAATAGTGATTTTCAATGGCAATCAGGAGGCACAGAAAAGACCACTTAAATGTATGTCTTAATGCTTTCAGTTCTTATAGACATGGTAGTTAGGACACCTAAAGGTGAATGTCAGTCTGTGTTTTAAGACAGTTGAATTTTGAACACTTACTATTTCTCAGAATGAGATAATTGTCAGTTCTATTTATTGTCCATTATACAGTTATGCAAAACTCAAGGTTTAGATTTGAAAAGAGTTTTCTGATTTAACCAAGTTGATCCTCATACTGTTTACGGAAACAGTCTCCAGCAGGGAAGAAGTCCCAACAACGCTCCTGGTACATTTTCCACACAAACGACTCCTGAAATACATGAAGGTATTATTTGTTATCAGTTATATTAGTAGTTGGATCCTAGCAGACATCCATATTATTTAACTTTACCACTTATTGCTTTGAAGAAGACTTCATTCTCACTATGAAATGTGACAGTAGACAAGGGTTATGAAACAGCCTGGGTAACAGCTTGAAAAAATACTGGCTCTATTATAGGACTTTGTTGCTCACCTGACCAGTGTGTTCAGTTTCATCTTTGTTTACAAGGTACATCAGGAAGAACCTGAAACATAAGAAATGACTGGTAACTGAAGAGGAATGTTGTTTCTCTTCCCCACCCCTAATGATTTAAAATATCAATACACATCATGGCAAAGTTGCTTAATATACTGTGGTGCTTGAACTTGATTGTTAACCTGAGTACAATCTCTGTGATTGACGCTGTAATTGGGATGTCAAGTAGACTTTTAGTGATTGATGTAGCCTTGTCGAGCAAACAAACATGAGTTGCAGTCCCTGATGTGTTCAGATGTGAACTACCATTAAAGTTAAAATTGTGACTGCTTCTGGCAGACTATCAAGATGGATGAATGTTTATCTCCCATCTCTGCTGGTGGTGGTGAATCCAGACAGTGTCAAGGAAATGTCCAGATGATGGCTATTGAGCTTGTCTTGCACACAATTTCTATAGAGCAGTCCACATTTGCTTTCATAAAAGATATATGGCACACCACTAATCTACAAGCTGCAGGCATAGCTAAACAGTTACTACAACATGGAATTGTGATGGGCAAGTTGGGTTTGACCAATTTCACTGAATGTTTTGAGGAAATTACTGAGCATATACAGATAGAGAACACAGTGGATTCTACTATCAGGGACTTTGCAGAGACATTTGATGCAAAAATTAGGGCTTAAAGGCAAGCTGGATAGATAGAAGGAGAGAACGAAGAGTGCAGGTGTTAATAGATGTTTTCCAAATTGGCAATATATAGCTAGTGAAATGACCTAATGGACAATGGTGCAGAGTCTTACTACAAACGTGATAATACATCCTGGTGGTCAATGTCTAATGACGTCACAAAAATGAAAAAATGGTCTGTTAAATTTCAAACCAAATTATTCATGCTCCAAACTGGGTTTTAAAATATTCCAGTTTCTTAACCCTGCACTGTAAAGAAGTAGACCAAAGACAGCCTTTGTCATCACAATTTAACTTCCAATGATTATTATACAAGTTCTACACAGTTCATAGACCACATTTCTACTTTTTTAAAAAAGATGTTTTCACAAGAACAAAATACTCACAGGTAGTTTGCAAGATTGTGTTCTTGTAATGTGTGTATCTCAAAACCATGCGGCGTAGTGTCAAAGTAGTCATTCCCAATTCCACAAATGAAGCATTTGGTCTGGGATACAATGTAAGATAAAAATATTAATTGAAGAGTAAGAAACAGATTTATATAGTACCATCACATTGAAACTTTTCAAAGTTCTTCACAGGTAATTAATGTCAAGTGTACTATGTTTTTAGTTAAATGTTGCTATCTGTATGTACCAGAAACATCTTTCAGTTATCAGATGAAATGACTAGTTTCCTCAGGAGATTGGAAGAAAATATATTTTCAAATAATGTACTTGAAAAAATGACCTGATTTAAAACAGTAAACAAATTTGTTTCAGATTAGCAGTCTGGTATCTTAATAATAATTTAATAAAAATAAGATAATAATAAGATTATTTACTGGTAGAGACAGTGGTTGGTCATTTGCAGACCTGAGGGCAAAGATTCCACCTGATCTTAACTTGTAAGATCATTTTGACTTAAATTTAAGATTCTGTGGGACTATTGAAATTCTTAAATTTGGGAACCGGTTCATTTTTAGGAACTAACAAATAGTCTTCCAAATTAAGACTGGACTAATAAAATGCATGGATGTAATAAATGTCACACAAACGCACCTCCATATCTTCTCTCACTTGTTCCTGTTGGTCTCTCAGCTCACCAAAAGCATCAATGATTAAACCTAAAAGGCAAAAGTGACAAAGTGTAAAACAGTCTGTAGTTTTCATTTCATAGTTTACTGATCACTTAAAGACTATTATTAATGGGATATAAATTGTCTACTTCTGCTTTTGAAACCGTTTTGACTTCAAAAGACAACATTTATTGTTTTCTAAAAGTTAGATAAACACATACTGTTGTTTTAAACATAAGTTGTTTTAAACAAGGTTGTAAAAAATAAACACGTGTTTAAGTTACACACCTTCCTGTTTCAATTGTTATGGACTGAACAATTTCTGCTACAAACCTAACACAGCAACACCATTAGTGGTTTAGGTAACTAATTGAAGGAGCAGTCACAAGAATCTTTAAAATAATAAACTTTCCAATTGTTACATGCAGATGCATGACCAAGTATTTATATTGACTGCATCTCAATATTTTGCTTGGCAATGAGTTACTGTTATTAGCCATAAGTGGCAGGAATTGTCAATCAAGTAAGCATTGTGTTCCCTTAATCAATGATATAACTGGTCGGAACAATGCTAAATAAATATATACATGTTATAGACGTTGCACTGCCAAGTTTCCATTGTTTGCATCCTATAATGAATGAGGAGGAATAGCGTTCAAAAATGTTGCATGTGCTGGAAGAGTTAAAGAAAATGTGCAGGAGATACAAATATGTTGACGCTTAGCATGTTTCTGAGAAAGTCAACTCTTAACGAGTGAATAGCACTAGTTGGCTGAAAGGATTCATTTAACTAAACTTTGGTTCAAGGTCTTTCTATGGAAAAGCAACATACCCTGAATAATAGCCAGCAAGATGACAATGACAAAGAAGAAGAATGTGATGTCAAAGATAATCCGGTACATTTCATAAGGATCACCAGCAGGATCTTCAATTTCATCACCAATGCCACCTCCAGCTCTGACACCCACATACATATGGAACAAGTAGCACTGAAAACAAACAGAATATCACACACCTTGTTAAGAACTTATTGACAAATTTGCTGGACACAGTTTTCAAAGGCAAGAAATCCTGTAGTCTGAAGGTTGTCAAAAAAAACTATCAGGTGAATTATCGTCATTTCAAATGCTGTAGTTAGAAGGTTCATTTAATACCAATGGGCAGACAAAATATGCAATTAAAAAGATTATTTTGATTCTTGGTCTATTCTATTCCTAGTTACATAATAGGTACCTATCATTTGCTCTCGACTCGGGTGGAGAAAAATGCTTGCTTTTAATTTCTGTCCACTGACCCTTGACATGGAAGACGACATGATCAAGTTGGCCGTAATTCATCCTATTGCTGAATAGATTGACAATCGATGTTTAGGTTCACATACAAGGATATTCACTTAAATTGTACTGGGGGAGTGTGAGCATCTATTGTACTGTATTTCATCAGCCATCAATGGCTTCAGGAGAGAGGTGAAGTGAAGTAGAAATATATATTATAAAATTACAATTCTGATTTTTATTACTGAGTAAAGTAACACCATTATTTAAGAAACTCAATAGAAAATTAAAATTATTTGCTCTCTAGAAGTGAGTTGGTTAGTCTGATTACGTTGAAGAATCAAAAAATGTACAGATTAAGTTTTGAACACATACTGCTTGACATTTTCAACGACCAAAGAAATATTATGTAGGAAACAGTGAATGGATACAGACCGTCATCATATCATCACATTTCATGTCGGGTTCATCTTCATCCTCACTCTTGTTGTAGAACTTGCGGAAAAAGTTGAAAGCAACAACTGTGTAAAGATACACGACAACGGCCAGGAGACCAACCGTCAAAACAAGCTGCAGAAGACAGAAACCAATGTGTTAACAGTAAAAAAAAACTACTAGCTGCAGCCAGATCCTTTCATTTCATATTCTGAGGACATCGAGTCTAACAAAAAAAAGACAAAGATGCATAATGCAGATTTTAAAAAAATTAAAATATAGTCCAGGTGCTAATCCTGAACAAAAATATTGTATTTACTTGAAGAAGTAAAGATGTTATCTTTTACTTAAAAGGCAAGTAAAAGTTGCTTTCTATCTCCCACCTGTTTGCCATTGTGAGTGACGGAGGACAGGATAGTACGCAATGTCTTGAATCCCATAGCAATATCCAATAAGTGGGCAGCAAAGAAGAAGTTATTGTAGTGACCCAGGATGGACATAGTGGCGTACCATGTTAGGTATAAGAAGGACTGCAAACAAAAAAAAATTACTTTTTTCAAGTTGTAAACTATAGGCAAGTAGAGCACTATTACAGTTCATGTTCAACATAACTAGTAAGTTGAAATGCAATATATCAGCCTTTGGCAGATATTAACAAGGAGCCACTCAAGACAAGCTAAATTGTTGGGCGCTTTAAGTTACCAAATTCAAATGTATTCAACCAGCTCAATTTTCCACTTCAATTGTTCAAAAACTAGCTTTGGACCAAAATACACTAAAAATATAGATTTTACTGGAGCCACATTATAGGTTGGTAGCCTGGCCAATCTCCAATGTGACATTCACATTTAAAGTAGGAATTGGAGGCACCCACCATTATACTTAAGAGTCCCCTGGGATAGAAAAGGAGGAAAAAAAATCAGTTAAGGTTCCTGCCCCTGATACCTCTCCAATGAATTCTATTGGAAAGTGCCAGTCTGCATGAACAGTGATGGGACGAGTGCCCTCAGGAGAAAAATTAGCAAAACAAAAAGGGAGGTAATGATGGCCATGAATGATTGGCCAATAGAGCCAGCCTGTGCAAATGAGTAAAACTCATCCACGTACAAGACTACACATTAGGATTAAAGCGTATAAACAGAGTCAAAATAATGTGTAAATTTAAAATATTCCTTTTATATTCTTCAGACTTACTTTTACACATTTTACTTTAATATTACAGCAATAAAACCTCTCAATTGTATTATTACTGATTCACAGTGAGAAGCTTAGTTTTTTAAAAAAATAATGTCACCCTATAGAGTATAGAAATCCCTGGAGCTGTTGAAACAAAAATGTTGGGCAATTAAACAGGGCAATGATAATAATATCAAACGTAGTTATGCTGACCAGAAAGATATTAAATTGCAACAGGCTGAGTTAAAACAAAATTATTAAAACCTTTGCATGAAATAGTATTTATTAACATTAAGTTGTGATCATATTGGGCGTGCATTTAGCTGTACTTACATTGTCAGTGAACACAACTCCAAGTTTCCAGATATGGTATTTCAAATCAATAGAACTCAACCTACAAAAAAACACACTTTTAACATTGTAGTTATCAGTTAAATTAGAATTATTGAATACATCTGAAATTCTCCTTTATTTCACATGTACACTACAATAATTTACTTTTCCGCTCCTTCCAACGTTTTCCCTATTTCTGTTGGAGGTACTAAATCACTGCAATACAGAGCTGTGGGCATACTGTCTAAATGGCTCTTCTACATGTGTGGCCCTGGAGAATCAGTGTTGACAGAATACTACAAATAAGGCTCATCTTGTCCTCTACTGACATCCATCCACCACACCCTGGTAGTTTTTTTCCCCTCCCAACACCAAGGCCAATGTTTGCACTCTTACTGCCAGTCTGTCTTTGATCAGTTACTACATTACAGATCAAGGATGAAACTCTTGATTCATTACAAAAATGGCTGGGAGACTGATTATTTGGTTTTCTATGACCCGAAATGAGTAGATTATCAACGGATATCTGAGAAAAACATAGTCAGTAAACAAGCATCTCCTTCTCAAACATTCATAGGTTGTTGGATGATTCAAATAGAGATAAACATGACATACCATGATACCAATGTTGCCTCTTGTTCTGGTGCTTTTTCTATGGGACTAAAGTCGAGAGCATTTTTGTCCAAGCCCAAAAGCTCGGCAATTCGCAGAGCTCCATAGAGATCTCCATACTTATTAATGACCTAATAGAATAAAAAAATCATAAAGCATTAATGACACTGAATTATTAGTGAATTGCCAGATCAGTACACTCGTGAACTCATTGTTTCTCCTGCCTCATAAACTATCTGCCCTAAGTGTTCTTGTAGCAAATACATCGCGATTTTATGAAGCTGCAGTTCTTTGCATTGTAATGGTAATAAGCACTGTTGCATAAGTTATAAATGGCTGCAATTGAATGAATAAAAGCTTACCTTTCTTTTGACAAATTTATCCCAATAGTTGTTGGGGAAAGATCTGTAACAAAAGCAATATAAAATATTGTTCAATCTAAACCGTATATCATTTTCATTTATTCATTTAAATTAATTTTGCTCCTGCACCTAGATATTAGACCGGGCTGCTGTCAATACTTAATGCAGAACTTAATCTCCTGTTTTTTTTTCTGCCCATACACTGTGCTGGGAATTGAAAACCATACATTTCATTTTAACTATTAATATCAAAGATAATTTGGTGCAAACAGATTTGGCATAATGGATGAAATATTCATTTTTCTTCTTGTAAAGCCATTCCCAAGTGTAGCTTTACAATGGACAGAGGAATTATACCTTCAACATATTTTTGTTTTCTAGTCATTTTAATAATTATTGATTCCAGACAACAATTGATTTGTTGCCCAATGTTTCGCCGTTCTGGGAATGAAACCCAGTTCTCTCGCTTGCGAAGTGAGCGCTCTAACCACTGAGCTACAGGTCTCCAGAAATTGATGAGCAGATATTCCTATAAATCTGTGATTCAGGTTTATTTAATGATAGGTCCTCAACTGATAGTGTATGTATTACATTTAAAACACACTGAAACTACAAATTATTAGAACACTGTAACTTGCTGTGATGAAGTACAGCATTGGTGGAACAACTTCAAGCTGGTGAGCTCTTGATCTCATGCCTGCATTACTAAACCAAGTGTTTAGCAGAAACCAGACACAACCACAAGTAGCAAAACAAACAATCCAAGGGAGAAACAGCTTTCCAGCATTATAATTAGAACAACATTGATGAAGGCCTGGAAGCAGATTCACCTCTATGCCATACACATACACACTCTTGGCTCCATTTGATGTGTGGCTCTGGAAGGCCAGGCCCAATAATAATAATAGTAATCCTTGCATTTGATATGGTACTTTATCACATCTTCAAAACGTCTCAAAGCGCTTCACAGAATATACTGTAAAGTGAATTAACTATTTTGTGGGCGAAATGCCACAGCCAATTGCACACAGCAGGGTCCCATGAACAGTTGTGGATTGAAGTGACCAATTTATTATGAGTTTAAGGAATTATTACCTCCGGAAAAGTGATCGACCAATCGACTAACAACCGGGTTCCTACTTACTGCTAGTTAAACAGAGATGTGTGGAGTAACGAAACTTGCCCAGCGTTCCGCCATGCCAGGAATGAAACCCAGATCTCTTGATTGCAAGGTGAGTGCTCTAACCACTGAACTACAGGACCCCACTGGAATATATGCAATGTAAGCCAGAATAGAACTAGTTTACCCTCATATTAAAGTAAAAAATCCTTACAACTAATGGACTGTTCTCACATGACTGATAAGAGTCCTTTTGGACAGTGACAACATAACCAACAATCTTCATAAGAATAAATCATTCTCAAACTTGTAAAACAAAAGCTTATACTAGTGCATTTTTAGACAGCTTTTAACATACTGTGTGTTGATCACAAGACGATCCCATTGTCCTTTAATGTCATCATCAGACGGTTGCTCTGTAATGTACAGACCATCAAACTCCAGCTTTCTGGCAATCTCCTTTTCACGCTTAAAGACCACAAGGGGGACCTATGAAAATATTATATTCATGAAATTAGCTTCTGGCCATGTTCTATGTGTAAAGAAAATTTGCTTGAGAAGAGAAACGTGGCAGTTGGTGTAACATTTAAAAATAATTGGTTTGTAGCACAACCAAGGGCTAAGCACGAGGTTCTCTGAGTTATCAATCAACATGCTCTTACTGGAGCATTTTTTCCATTTGTACATCCTAAAACAGCCACAAGACAAATCCATATGAGAAGTTCCTGAAAAGGGAACATACCTTCAAAATATAGTACCCAATGATACAAACAAATGAAATGATAGTGTGAATAATAGCAAGAAAGCACAGTGTTGGAGCCATGTAGCCAGTGCTCTCCTGTAACACAAAATACTCTTCATCTTCTTCATCACCCTCATCATCGATATTGCTCCATATATTGGATTCCTCCTCATCATTGTTATCGTCAGAAGGGGATTCAGTCACCTTAAAGGGAAAGGATAGAAAATAATTATTTTAAACAGCAATTTAATACTCCTTAAAATATAACACAAGTATAATTTTAAAGCCAAGAAGCATGTTCAGGATAAATACTTATTAATAATAATAATAATAATCCTTGCATTTGATATAGCGCTTTTCACGTCGGGAGGACGTCCCAAAGCACTTCACAGAACACACTGTAAAGTGAATTGACTGTATATTTGTGGGCGAACGCGGCAGCCAATTGCGCACAGCAATGTCCCACAAACAGTCGTAGATTGAAAATGACCAATTTATTATTGTTTTGTTTTGGAGGGATTATTATTAGGCTCTGTGTGGAGTAAGGAAACTTGCCCAAGGTTTCGCCCTCTGCCTGGAATTGAACTCAGGTCTCTCACTTGCAAAGAGAGTGCTCTAACCACTGAGCTACAGGACTCCACAATTAAAACTGTATTAAACTGTCTTCAGAGTGCTCTGACCACAGTGGTAGAACCTACAGCAAGTAGTTTATTCAAATCAGTTCTTTTCAGAAGCTATAATATTTTGTTGAATTCAGAAAATGCAGGAAGAATCCCGATGTACGAGTGTACCAAGGTTGCTAAAGGGAACTTCCTCATTATCGTACTCTAAATTTAGGATGCTCATGCAACACATAATAGTTTCACATTCCTCAGCTTTCTTTTGGGCAGTTGATTCTTTCAGAATATTATATATTACCATATCTCAAATACATGTGCTGTGGCTGTTACAACTGTATGTACTGCATGCTTATTAGACCGGGGGGGGGGGAACGACGACGAAAGAAAAGAGTAAAAACTGAACAAAGAAACCTCGCTTAAAATGGAAGAAATTAAATAATACCAACAATAAAGCCATCGTTTATTCAAAGTTGAATGTGAGTTCCTATTGTTGAATGTGCAAAGAATAAATTATTCACATGTAGATTAGGTTTGTGAAACTTGTCTGTAATGCCTCCACATCAAATGACTCATTGTTCAGAAACACACATGAAGAAGAACTTTGTGCTATTTGTCTCCTTTACAAGAGCGATAATAAACCACTTTGTACATCATAAAGAACTCAAATTGACATCTTACTTTTTAATATATTAACATACTAATTAGTAAACATTAACACTGTAGTCCATGCACTAACTTCCCTTAAGTTTTAAATGGCAAAATGTTAACACCATATTGAGTACCTTGTAAAAGAGGAGAATAAAATTGATAGCAAATGCCACAAACAGAGCTAGAAATCTCAGGTTGTAGAAATTCCTTGCCAGGTAATTCTGAAACAAAAACAATGCACTTCATTAGCATGTATAAGAATAGCTCAGTACTATGTGTACATGGTTTCTCCTCTTCCTGATATCTAGGAAATAGCCCTGGCAGAACCAATAAGGTGGATGGTCATATATTCACACTTTCTGTTAGTTCCCCATGGTTAGCTGGTGAGGGCTGCTAAAAAGATTGAGCTAGAGCTGCTGCCAATTTGACCTCTCCAAACAACAAGGAACGTTACCTTCACTTGGTGCAATACCAACAACTCACCATCTCCGAGAAGCTCTCGCACAGATATGATCTAAGGCTGAGACTGACTCTCTCTTCCATTCCGCAATATATCACTGCATTAGACAATCATTACTACTTTGCTACAAATATTGTTGCATGAAAGTTAAACCCACAATGAATTTATGTAAAAGGTTAAAGTGGGTTTGAATGCATAATACAAAATACTTATATAAACCATACAAACTTATTAATTTTTTAAAATTTTACTCTCCACAGCAAAATAATTCCTTTTGTATGCCTATCAATATGACAGTATTATTCTGACACTAGTATTCTGCAGGGTTGATACTGGAGTCTTTATTCAATTTAATTGCCACTTTCAAGGATCACATGCAATATTTTTATTGAGATCATGACAAATTATAAAAATTATTTTGGTAGCTGAGGAAAAGGTTCTCATTTCCTGGGTTTCTGATGAACCTTATTATAAATTTTAAAGGTAACGCTCACTTTCAGCTACCCATAAATGAGGCAGCAGTGAATGACAAGAAATAATGGAAGCTTTGCTTGAGAGGTTCTTCTTTTGGCATCAATGTTAAAGCTGAAACAGTCACGAGTGTGGTAACAGTCGTGATGTACACATGCTCTCAGGGCCTCATTATTGCTGTTACATCAGTAGACCATGAATGTTCAGAAGTGAGAGTCAGTCACAAGTGCAGCAGCAACAAGAGGGAAGAATTAAAATTCCAAATGAACATTCTGACAGTATACACTGCAAACCAAACAGTGGATTAAAATATCCTTTCATCTCTGCAAATCAATTTAAATACAATCCAAACTACTATTATGGAAGTCTTCTCTCTCCCGCATCCATTATCTGCTAATTTCTATATATCTTTAGTACGCTGTACTTAAAAAGAGAAAGGATGTCAAGATAAACATACATTTTTCTAACCAACATAATATTACCAAACTCAAATGTAATAAGAATCCACATACCAGCAATTTAGTTTGATAGACGTCCACACCTTTCCAAAAGTTTTCCAAAAATGCCTCAGGCTCTTCTTTTTTCTGCCCCCGTCTCTTCTTTTTCTTTTTCTCTTCGACCTCAGTTTCAACTTGCTGTTCCTCCTTAGCTATATCCTTTTTCTCACCATCCTCTGTGCTAAGGAAGGGAAGAGCACACCAAGAAACTGAAGTCAGTTCTCTGGAAGCAACTCACAATTTTAACTGAATTTGTTTTAAACAGATTGTCTCAAAAGGAACTCACTCAGCTTTCTCAAACTCAGTTTTGGTCTCAGATTTGTTCTTTAGTGCAACCTTGAAATTCAGAGCATAAAGAAATAGATCACTTATACTGCCTGCTTGATATGACATTTAAAATATTCAAGTAATTTTTTTGTACATTTCTTTTGAAAAGCAAAACCACCAACCTCTGCAAATCTTTTCTGTTGTATTGCTTTTTCAAGAGTCAAAGTATTGTCTACACCCAAGATTTCTGAGACATCACCAAGGCCACCATGCTCTTCAGATGCTTTACCCCCACCTTTTTTTATACTTGCACCAAAGACATCAGGCATAATGTCTGATTCAACTTTTTCACCCTTTACGACATTGTCAAGCTCAGCTGTTATACTTGTTGCAGAACTTTCTGCACTTTCTGGTTCAGTCGCATCTCCATGGATTCCAAGTTGCGTTGGATCAGGCATGCTAGCTAAAATGTCTGTGACAGTAATGTTTTTGGCGCCTTCAACTAAGCCGCCTCCAAACAAGGCATTCCATAGAATATGGATGAACCCTTGAGCTATACTGAAAAAGTAAGAGGCAAGGCCTATGAAGATAATCCAGAAGAAGGAGAAAAATGCTTTTACCATCTCCATGTTTGTCATCCTCTTAATCTTCTTATAATGCCTTCTGATGTTTTTAACTGTCACCAGACTAAAAGCTTTAAAAAAACTAGTTTTGAAAGCATGACAAGCTGACACAAAGACATTCGAGGACTGGACTGTCTCCTCTTCCTCTTCCTCAACATGCATAAGTTCTTCATCCTCCTCTTCTGGTACCTCGACCATGTCAGATTCAGAGATTTGAGATGCTAGTTGCATTTCAAATATAGTGTCCTCACAAAAGTTCACAAACATTTCCATTTTTTCTGATTCTCCTCCTTCATTCACTACGTCAAAGATAAATTGCCTCTTGGACTCCTTAACTTGAGGCTTCTCCCACTGTGTCCTACTTGATTCACTGATTTCAAAATAAACCCGTTCTATGCGCTTTGCTTGTCCCATAATCTCAATGCGACCTAAATAAGGTTGAAAGTATGTCAAAACACTTTCTGCTGGCTCCAAAAAGGTCTGCAGGCGGAGATCATTGGGCATGTGTTCAGACAAGTTAGTTAGCAAAACAGCTACATTAAAGCCAATATCCTTGGCTGGCTCATGGAATCGGTCAATAAACTCTGTATAGTTAAACGTATCATTTTCATCTGCTTCAACACAGCTTAACAGGAACTCGATTTCTGATTGTGTGTATTTCTTTTGAGTCTCCAGAGCTTTTTGGAATTCTCTTTTTGACATCACTCCTTTGCCATCTGGGTCATACTCTTTGAAGGTATCAGAAGTGGTTAGATCCTTTAATTTTAGAAACATATCAAAGAACTTCAATATCATTTCCACGTTGCTAGAAGATTCAATCAATGTATCTACCATCTGTTTGCCTATAGTTCCATTGACAACATTACCTAGATTGTGGAGAAAATTAGAACAAATTTAACAAACATACACACGAGATTTGTTTGAAAAAANTCTAGAATTAACGGTATAACATTTCAAAGGTGGCGACAGAGAATCAATTTAATTTACAAATAAACAGGTTCATCTACCTAGACTGGTACTTTTCCAATTGAAACTCCAAGTCTGTTGGCCTAAAGGCTTCAGGATAAATCTCTAAGTCCCATTAATGAGCTAGACAGTTTTATCAACCATCAACAGTGACTAAGGTTACTGTTCACTTGCCTAGCTTTTATCAGACATGTCTCATCAGAGCCAGTTTTCTGCCAGTGATATTTTTAGATACTGTGCTCTTTATTTATATCCCAAACTAGCTGTTTGGAAAGCTCTCAATATGACACTTACAACTTAAATTAAAGCAAATTCTTCATATTATATTGCCTGAGGTTTTACAAGACATTACCCAATATGAATTAAATATGAAACAAAAAATAATTTAACTTATTTTTAATTTGTATAAGTAGTGCCAATTTGGGGCACAAACCATGTATGATGCATTTAACTAGTCATACAAAAATATATAGATCTATGCAGTCAAAACTAAACTTCAAATTTTACTAACTTGATGAATAGGGCAATTCAGTAATTTCACAATAATGCAAAATTAATAGTTTGATGAAATATTGTTAGTTTTTAAATTAAATAATCCAAATTAGTGATATATATTGAGAGACAGAGTAATTTGACAGATTAATGTTTTGTCATTGTTATTTAAAATAATTCCCAATACTAGACTGGGTGTTAAAAACCCTCTAAAGGTAGACAACATACAAAAGGCAATGACAAACCTTCCAGCAATGACAACATCATCACCACCATATCTTTCTGAAGATCCAGCAATTCCTTCAACAACTCAATCTGGCTGGAATCCTAAACCAACAAAAGCAAACTGTCAGCTAGAAATGTTTCACCAGGTGTCAATTTTCACTTCATTTTCCCTCAAGAACAGAAACAAAACAAATCTTAAAAACAAGCCCTGAGCTAGTTATTGTTCATAATTTGAATTGACATGCAGAAAGGTCAAGAAAGGAGAAGAATAACTTAGAAACAAACATATATCGAGATATTTGAGTATCACAATATTTTAAACACATATAAATATGATGCATAATGTGATAAACATTGCCATTGCAACTAATGATGATCAAAATAAATCAAAAGAACTTGTATCAATTGTAACTTTCGAAACAAACAAGGATTTGATTCATTTATCTTTTAAGAATTCAGCAGATAATTGTCTCTAAAATAATACTAATCCTTGCATTTTATACAACCCTTCTCATTGGGAGGGGTCCTGATTTTTCAATGGTGAACACCTGCAAATTATGCTTCTTGCTGATTGTGTTTTTTCAAATTATTTGGTTTGGGGATAAGGTACAATGCACATTGTATACCGTGTAGACCCATTGACATATAAAATTTACATATGTACCAAAAACTAGCATGACACAGAGCAGATATTTCCTCAAATACTGTTAAACAAGCTGTAAGAGATGACACCAGTGAGCTGGATTCATAATCAGTATCATCATCCCTGTAAATTCATTTGATAATTGAGACCATCCCAAAGGGGATGGATGAATTCCTTGCTTTCTTCTGTGAAGAATTTGATCTGTCAGTGTTAAGAGTGAGGCATATAGTACCTGAGAAAGCTTCATTTGCATATTAGCAAAGACATGAAGGAAACCAACCACAGCATCCCACAATCTACTGTGCGCAAGGCTCTGCTGGTTACCAATGCAAGGGCCCTACATAAAGAATAAAAAAAGTATCAATCAGTTCCACATTACTCTACTGCTGGCAATGTTATCACATTGCAGCATAACTGTAAGGCATAAGAAATTCCATAAATTATGGGAGTTAAATATCGTAACTTTCATACTAAACATGTTCTGAAATTTACTTATGGTTATACAAAAAATGACAGCATAAAAATGTTGAACGTTTCCCAGGAAAATGATTCATCTTCCTTTCAGATATCTGCATGGTTTCATTAATTTCAACTGCACTTAAGCGAACATCAGGATTGATACATTATAGAGAGGTTTAAAATCTCAAGAAGGTGAAGTGGTGTCTAAATTAGAATTGGTACTAATGGTCAAGCTTTCTATTGTCTATCAAAACACTATTCACACATGGTCGTGCTCAGATTCATTCCACTTATGTTTGTGCCATCAAATCCTATATTAAGATTTTTCAATGCTGCAAAAATATGAGGCTGTTTCAATATAAACACACATGAAGTTACAGTGATGTTTACAGGTTCAATGTAAGGAAACAGTTGCATTACCTGGATGTACTCTGTAAGCGAGTTAAAGATTTGTTTGGCTACAGCCAAAGCTTTGGAGAAGTTACGTTGTCCTTGTTCATCCATGATATCTTTTCCTGAGTAATACCAATAGAAATCGCTGATTGATTCCTGGGATTTAACAAGAGAAGCGGCACTTTAATGTTGCCCAGGGATTATTAAGAAGTGTACAGCAATATCTCCATATCCACTTGATATAGGAAGCCAGTGGTTTTATTTTGCTTAGCGTTCTCTGGCTTCAGGTGAAGCCCATTTTCTGTTTAGCAGCCAAAAGTGACAATAAGCATGAAATGACATTTACAGGATTTAAATCTGAAATTGCTGTAGGTTTCCAACTAGAAACATTCAGGATGAAATGTTTCACTCCACAATAAGTCATTTAATGTTATCACAAATACTTGGGCACTGCAGCTTTAGAGAAATTCTGATTGCATTGCTCATTTAGAGAGAGAGCGAGAGAGCAATGGAGATATCTGCGATACAACACATGCACAGCAACATTTTGTGCAAAAAGAATGCAACACCAACCACCAAGAATGAAGAAAGTGTAACTAGTACAGTATTTACAGGACAGTAAATCAAGGGGACTGAATTATGTTTAACTAAAAGGATTGAGTTTGAAACACAACGCTTAAAATTGAAAATATGCAAAATAAATTTACAACACTTTGCTTTCCACAGTTTTTAAACAACATTAACAATGTTGCCATGATCCTGTTCTGAAATCAATAAAAATGCAACATATATTTTGGGATTACCTGAAGGCGTAGCAGGTAGTCAACAGTGCTGATAATGATATTCACTGTAGTTGTGTTACCTATTTGAGTTCTTAGATAATTCTGGAAATCTGTAATTTAGAAGAAAATTTCAAAATATTTATATAATCTCTGAAAAATAAGACTGAAACCCAGTCACAGTCATACTTTCAGCTTCTATTTAGATATCTCCACACTTACACCACTGTACTGAATGGGAGCCATCAGGCCAAAACATCATTCAACACCCACAGTACTGTCCAAATTCAACCCCAAAACACCAAGGACATTTCACTTTCTGATATCTGCACATTTGCTGAGGATGTGATGAAACCCCATCAGGAGATGATGATATGTTTACAGACCAGACAGAATCTGAAAACTTTTGTCAAATAAAACGTGAACTTACGCCTTGTATAATTTCTCACTTATGTATATTCATTCCCCTATGGTCAGCACTGTACATCAGCATGTCACTTAAAAGTGCTCACCATTATTGTGCCCTTCACAGAGCAGTTGCAAAAACCTGAACAAATCTCGAGTGAATTCGTCATTCGGCAATACCTTTTCACCTAGGAAAGGAAAATAAACTATGATTTTAGTGGAAAAGGCATACAGCACTTGCTGTGTGTCAGGAAACTAACAGAAACAGTGTTTAATACAGAATACAAGTTAGAATAATCCTTGCATTTGATATAGAGCCTTATCACGTCGTTGAGACGCCTCAAAGCGCTTCACAGGATATATTGTAAAGTGAATTGATTGTTTATTTTGTTGGTGAAACGCGGTAATCCAATTATGCACAGCAGTGTCCCACAAACAGTTATAGATATAGAAACCAAATTTTAGTTTTTTAGGATTTTGTGACAAAACAACAATTTCAAGTGTCATTGGTTTAACTACAAAGCTGTACATTGAATTCCCCGCTCCAATTCTTTGTTTGAGAAATTCTATAAAACGGAATACTTTTGTGCCACAACTTTTTTTTAAATTCTTTTTTCCAATAAATATTTCTCACACTTTACTACCCCAGTTTCTCATCTTCCAGATTCTGGTGGAATGCAAACCAAAAATATAATCGCTTATGGTTTGAATTTTTCCCTGACTCTCAGGCCATTCGTGAATAACAAAAAATACATTCTGTGCCACAAAAATATTATGTTTTACAATGACCATTTAGGTAACAATACATGTACAGTATATGTGCAAAGTTAATGCAAATGTAAATTTTAATGCTTTTGGAACAAAAAGCACTAAAATGAATCACAGCACATACAAAAGACGATGTTAAAATTGAAACAAAACATGAGCAAAAATAATTTCTGCATTCAACTTTTTAGGAATATTTTGAAGTGCATTCAGAATTCACACAAATCTCAATCCACTGCATTCCGGGAACTCTAATCCATAACCATTTTCTAATGTTATCCTCAGTGCAAGTCACACAATAAGCAGTTTCAGTGGACTAGAAAAAAGAAACAACAATCTGTAAACAAATTAAAAAGGACACATTCATTTTAAGAAAATATGAATTATATGTTGGTATTTTTCCAGTCCACATTTTTCATATGTGCCACTCAAAACAAAAGATCCAAACAACCAAATACAGTATTTACCATGTTCACGAACAATGACTGTGGATCAATGATTATGGATGTCAAGGGAAAGAAGAAAAAGTGAGCAAAATGAGAAATGATCATTTGCTACAAAATTATTCTATTTAATGAATAAATGCCAAAACCTTAACAATAAAACATTTCTAAGACTGCAAAATAAACTCAATAATGAGAAGAACAAACTAGTTTTCGAATAAAGAAGTACTATTATAGAACAACAATTTATTGAAAGAAATGTTAAAAATTGGGCATCCATTATTATTTTGATCATAAAGATTGATCCTTACGTGTCCCATCCTCAGTGACCATTCCCAGACCTTCTGCTTTGTTCTGTCTTTCAAATGCATTCAAGTCAAGGACACTGTCGTTGAGCAAAGAAAATATTGCAAAGGGGGAAGAATGAATAGTTTAATGACCAATATATTACAGTTGTAACTTTATTATTTCAACATTACAATGCTTGAGCTGAAAATGTACTGAATTGGTCAGATCACAATCACAGGATTTTCTATTCCTTAATGACCAGAGGGGATTGAACATTTCATTGGTATTCAAATATAGGTTTGCATATATTGTATTGTTGACGTCATTTGTGAGTAAGCATACCGTGTTCATTTATCATCATTGTACCATGTTTTATAGATTGTACTTTACACGAATGAATACTGTTCTACTGTATACAAAACAAACTTGATACAACATCAGCATAATCCAATTTTGTTTATTTTATAATAAACAAAATAATCCTTGCATTTGATATTTTATTTTACCTGCAGAACTGCATTAAACTAGACAGACTCCGGAAGAAACCACTGTCTTTCTTCTCCTTCAGATAGTCCAACATTATCTAAACAGAAGCACCGTTATTTTGTAGGCTTTTAAAAATCCCTCATCACTATCCCTTTATACAGTTCATACTTAATAACCGGCACACATGACGTTATGAAATTACCTTATGTTAAATTGTTTCCAATTCAATTACCTCTTTAAAATAATTAAATATAAACAATCAGTTTTGTTACAACCTCGGATGTCCACCTTTTAGATCAAATTTGGGCAAAACAAGTTAGGAAAATAGAGAAATGCTACATATTTTATACACACACACACACTAATGTAATACTAAACCATAGATGACACAATGTTTCAAAACAGCTTTGTATCAGAAAAGTATTACCTGCTGGACATCAGTGTTACCACCATTCAGAATAGCAATACCAAGCTTTAAGGTTGTAGTCACCATGGGGCCCAGCACACCTGTTAAACGGTTAAATTGACATTGGTACAAAAATCACAAGAAAAAGGCCTCAACCTGGCAAAACTGTCACCTACAAATGTTTTCAGTTGAAGGTAACCCCACGCCAGATGTTTTTCATCCATAGTTTCAGCTGCAGAGCGCCATCAAGTCAGATTCTCAACACTGACTATGTTTATATCAATAGTGCAGATGTAACATAAGCGTATGAAAACTGACCCGTATTACCTTTGCTCGCACTGATCATTTGTAAAACCATCTCGGCTGCTCCACGCTGATGAAGCCTTGCTTGCTGGTACAGTGTCATCTGTTTCTCCATTTCTTTTTCCTTGAGGGGCACAAATTAAACCTTAATGCAACGTTCCCTACAACAGTGAAACTTGCAGTCTGATTTCCAGAAGTGTTAACCATTCACCTTTACAATACAACCTTGTTTAAAGGAAGAAAAACAGTTTGAGAATTATACCAATTTTAGTTTCCATTGATAAAATACAGGTAGCACCAAACAATTCAAGTTAATAATTAATAATAATACTTGCATTTGATATAGTTCCTTTCATGTCAGGAGGTCATCTCAAAGCACTCAAAGTTGTAGCATACCTCTGATTCAGAAGCTTGTGGGTTCAAGCCCCACATTGGGACTTTGAGCTCATTGTCTGGGCTGACACTCCAATGCAGTTCTGGGGGAGGGCTCCACTGTTGAAGGTGTTGCCCTTAGGACGAGTTAAACCAAAGTGCTGTCTGCCTGTTTGGGTGGGGGTCAAAGATCTAATGGCACCATTTGAAGAGTAGTGAGTTTGTCCCAGTGTTCAGGCCATCATCATCATCATCATATTATTATAATCAGGTTCCCAGCTACTAAAGACCAGCACGTATTAGGGAATCAACCATGATTTTGTAAATCAAGTTTACCTTGGAAAAATACCAGAAACCATAGCTATCCTTATCTTAAATTGCCATTTTCCCAATTTGTCTATAGATTAGGGGGTGGGATACCAATAATATGATCTGATCACACTAATGAGCTGCTCACAATCATGTTCGAGGCATGTTGGAGTAGGAAAAGAGTAAAAAAATCATTAGATACAAAGAGCCTCCACACAATTGTTTTTAACAAGAGAAACTGGGGCAAATGACTGTTGATTGAAATCTTTCTTTTACTGACTTACTTCAAATGTCTTCTCTTTTTCTTCATCTTCCTCCTCTGCAGCTTGGCAGCTCTAAATATTGAGCCAAATATACACGTGTTAGGAATGCTTTACATTATTTTATCTTTTTCTATCAGTGATTCTGTAGTCATGCAGCATATCAAGACTGTCGAGTTGTTTAAACTGTAGTCTTGGCCTCATCCCTATTCAATTCACTAGTTCTAACTCAGGCTGCTGGATGGTTCATCTCATTGATAATGGAGTAGGGGAAAAAAGCCATAGTTCAAGGTCACAACATATTGCAGCAACCAATAACATCCTTCTTATGCTAGCAAATCACAATGAATCTGGTTTATTTGTTCCTCTCTTTCCTCTGAAATGCACCACAATGTTAAGTGGAAACTATGAAGTCCCAATGGGAAGAAGCAGGCTAACCAAGGTAAGCATTTTTAAGAGGGGGAGTTTGTAGTAATTAAGTGAAAGTGCTGTGTAAATCATACCAAAGCGTTTCTATATTTTAATATCAGTTCCATATGAGATATAACATTAGTTAGGTGAAGGATGCTGAAGTTTCAGTCTGCTTAACAGTGCACCTAAATGCCAATCTCAGAAGAGAACCACTGACAGAATCATTCATTCTTCTGGCATCTCAGATTATGGCTGTAATTTACTATCAATAATTTAACCTTTGTGTTAGATTTACACCTCTTAGGAACTGGTCTTGGTGTACCTGGTCTTAATTCACTTAGTAATCTTACAGATGATAGACAGAGGAGTCTTTAATTTGAATTTCCTAGACTGGATTCAAATCAAGATTGTACAGTTGTCTAATACATGGGATTACTTTGCCTTCATCCTATGAATATTTTATAAAGGGAACAGTGAGTTCTATAAACCTTGAAAACAATAGTTGAAAGTGAAATATAAAGATAAATTGTCAGAATTAAAACAAATATATACATTGGATCGCCATGCTACCACAGGAAGTTTTCATTCCATGAATTAATATTGTTAATATCTCCATTTGAAAATAGCATAAAGCTTACCTTCGACATCATCTCAACATACGCCATGTATAAGTCATCTTCTTCAATTGCACTGCAAAAAGTTTAGAGAGCAGCATTTAATTATCAACAATTTTTTTTAAACTTATGATTCTTTTTTGGTTTAAAATAAAACTGCTGTCTAATTATCTCATAGAAAACCTAACCATTTCAGAATCTGGAGTAAGGTTATGTATTAATTTGTTTCAATCTTAAAATATGCTTAGATCAAATGTTTCTAAAACTAAATGTGTTCAAATAACAGAAAGTTGCAGGTCGAAAAAAAAATCGGTGAAAATAGAAGATACAAACTTGAGGGAGAGAGCGGAGGGAGGGAGGGAGGGAGGGAGCTAGGAAGCGAGGGAAATACTCAGAAGAATTCCAGAGTCCATTCTCTTTATGGAGAAAATGGTTAATTTGAAAGTTAAATAATTGATTTAATAAATGCGTACATTCGAGTTCAGCTTTGCAACCAATTCTATCCACTTATGGACCAATCACTCTTTTTGTCAATGTAGACATTGGGTTGCAATTTTTGCCTTCTTCCTAATTGCTTTGCTTTCTTGATCTATTCCAACTTGCCCTTAGCAATGGGGTTCACCCAGCCTAATTGTTTCAGTTCTGATGAAGGGTCACAGCCAAAATATTACCTGATCTTTCTCCTTCTAATGCTGAATGTTCTGCGGAACAAACGTACATGTGGCTTATGTAGCAACATTATACACAAAGACTCGAGGGTAAGATTATGAAATGGTGTGTAAAAGTACCTCCTTTCAGTGAGGGCACTACAACTGAAGTGTAGAATGAGCTGATGAAGCGGGTCAGGTTTCTTTTCATTCTCTTCTTCTTCTTCTGACTTTGTAACAGATTTCTACATACATTCAGATATTGTTTCAGATGTTTAAATCATATTTTACAATATAATACAATATTATGCAAGTATGAATAACCATTTAGTAGAAATTGGGTTTAAGAAACCATTAATTTCATTTTTGAACTAATGTTAGTTTTATTTTAGATAAGTGGATAAGAACTAGTACAAAACAACAAACATTCCTACATTATGTTAAAAAGTTAAAAAGATATTGTAATCACAAATTTACAGATTGAAGAATTTTCCATTGTTCGTGGTTTTGCTTTGTGAGTTTTAGTAAATGCATTACCATTCAGTATTGAACTTCTAACTAAACTTATGAATATATTAATGCATTTTGAAAAGGTTATCGATGAATTACATGCTCATGTTAGATGAAACACAGTTTAATAATAAATTGGCAGAATTGATGAAACAGAGCAGTACTGGGTAAAGAACAAGAGTTCAGATAAGTAGTGAAAAAGGCAACAAAATGTTATTCCTTTTCACCTTCAAAAGCTGATAACCTTATCTCCTTGAAGAATGATCAAAAATGACTTCTGTACAAAATGAAGCCTCGCAATGTAGTTGCCAAGCTTTCTAACAGAAGAAAAATGTGTGTGTAATTCAGCAAATCCAATACAAAATTATTTCTTCATTGATGTATTAATATCTTACTTTTCATTTACTTTTGGCCATTTTACTCTAAACTGTAGGAACTCACCTGGCCTTTTCAATCGGCTCAATTGATCAAGATGAATTAATTAATTAAACTTTCCAATTGAATGATGCCTATAAATAGTATTGGTACTTTTCTCTTATAGCCCTGCCAAGTTATTCCACCTTCATACTATAGGATTCTGTTTGAAAGACAGAACAATGTAGCCTGTGGATGTTGACAAATATTATTCCTTATCTGATCTGAGGAGGGGCACTATACATAACATGGAATCACAGAAACCAGATTTCATGAATCATTTATTATCCCCCACTAGTAGTAACTGATGCTATCCTTAAAAGATGAAGCATTTGCTTTTAAAAGCCTTACCTTATTCTCTTTGATTACACAGTAACACCTTTGAACATGGTGAATTCCAGGATAGAATTTCTCTGTTACCATAACCCAATGACAACACATGAAGTGAAATAAAATTTACCTCCATAAACTGATAAATTATCAGATGTGCTTGAAAATCTGTCTTAAGATTCCTTGCAATAAACCTTTGAAACCAAATTTTCAGTAATGATGTTTGTAAATTGCCTAACAATCTGTGTCCTTATTTCCACCACATTCAGCAATTGTAGCGAAGCATACAAGCACAGCCTAGCCTCATAAACAGCTTCAGTGAAATTTACAGCTCAGAAACAAATTAAAATTGAAGCTCACTATGAAGGGCAGTCAGTAGACTGACTTTAATAGTGAGGATGGGATTTTGGTCACTATCAGTTTTAAATGTAAACCTCCTAAAAAGCAGCCTGAATACTGTACTGTCAGAATTTGTCCTGATAACTGAAGGGACCACAAAGTGAGGTTCTATTGCATTATGGAATAAGCTGACAGATGTCTCAAGACTCATTACAAGGCTCGAATGATGCATATGGTATTTGGATGACCTTTATATAAACTGCTTGCTTTTCACTCTGAAAGCTCAGCACATCACATTTTCCATTCCCCCACCCCATCCCTTAGAGCCTATAACATACCCTGGTGATCCGTCACATGAGATGGCATTCCTATATTATTTGTTACCATTCATCACAATGCGTTCTTAGTAATATGCTGCATTGTGATGTAAATGCCTGAATACCTATGATTTCCAATATGGCTGTTCATAGCCAAACTTGGAATACCAATTGTAAATTATTTACTTAATACTATTTACTGCTGGATCTTCGCATGTGCCATCCACTGTTAGGAAACTATCTGCTAGAGATAGAACATTGCTGATCTTCTCATTGAAGTACTTAAGAGGCAGTATCTTTCAAATACTCGTGCTAAAGGGAAGCTAATAACAGCTAAAAAAAAACCTACCTGATCAGCCAGAAAATTCTTTCCATTCAATAATTAGTTTCATTTCAATGGCCAGTGCAAAGCAGCAGCGGAATAGACAAATGAGACTCCCCTCCCCCACCAACCCCCAATCAACCTACTCTAATTGACGGACATAATGGTAAGCATTGTAGACAGCTTGGCAACAGCACTTGCAGAATGCAGTATGGCCACGTGTGCTGGAGGCAGAAGCCGTGCACAGAGGCCAGTACTTACAGCTAAATCCTCAATTAGTTTCTCCTCAAATGTGTACTCCTCTGTCTCTATCCATGATTTCTGATAACTCTGAAGGAAGAGGTTAACACCCCGATGCCTAGGGAGTGGGAGGGGACAGGAAGATCAGAAGGAAGGAGGAGATACAAGCTTTAGTAGATTAATAATTACATTGTTATGTCATTAGACAAGGATCATTAGTAGTGATTTGTACAACTACAGTCCTCCGATTGGTCAAAGGTTTGTCATGATCACATTGATTTATATATAGAATATTTTTCATGATGAATAAAAGACAATACGAATAGGAAAGTTGTTTTAGACACCCAAAAGCAAGAATGCTGTCCTAAAATGAACAATGGCTCAACAACACTCGTTTTCAGTTGTGGATAGTTTTTATTTGTGATGCACGCTACCTTCCAGAAATGTTCATATAGCGCTTTTTGCTTTGGGAACATGTCTCAAGTGCTTCACAAGATATACTGTTCATTAAAAAAAAATGGCTATTCCTCCTTGTAATTCCCTCATCCCATCTGAGCAAACATAGTTACTGGATAATGTTCCAAACAGATCTTCTAAACTTAAACCCCGGCTGGCCAAACAAATGGTCTGGTCCGGCAAGCTGGAGTTTCCGGCTAAGTGTAATGACAATGCTGGTACTTTTTCAAATTAATGATAAACGCGAGTAATTGTAATTGTTAATCTTCATTGTAATTGTTTGAACAGATTTCATGTAATAACTTCATAACGTAACGTGCAGTCTCATTGCCAAGCAGCCTTTTACCTCGCATCTTCATTGATTCCTTTTTCTTATATAATCTTTCTGCCGTTCGTTTGCTACTACTAGAATTTTGTTTTGGGGGGAGACTGACCAATCAGATTCTGTACAATTGATACATTGCACAAACTGGTGTCGGAGCACAGTGGGGGAATTACTCAGGACAAGGTTTGTAAAGGAGAGGAGGTAGTTTCAATAGTTACATTACCGTCAAATAGACAATACGCTTCTCAAAGTCAGTTTTCTTATAGGCTCTTTCCAGCCAAAGATGTTGATAGGAGATCAGGAAGTAATTGTTAATTTTGTGTCTAAGGGAAAACGAATAACGTTTTTTTTGCATTGATCTCAAAAGCATAGCTTTGTTGCTGTAGATTTGGAATTAACTGAGATACCTCAATGTATTGTGTCAATTAATAGCATAGTTCCTTCAATTGTTTATTACATCATTATTAATTTTTTTGAATATACACAAATGTGGGTACAATGTAATGCAATACCTGCAAAATAAATTTTCATGATTATATTTATCAAAATGTAGGATTTCGTTTCACTAACCTAAACCATGTTAGCAAATCTATCTCACAGTTTAATATAATTGAACAAAGAGGACGTGGATTTCCAAAGCAATTTTCTGTATGAGTTCCTAACATTGACCTGGCTGTGAAGAGCAGAACACATTTATTGCCAAACAAACTAATGCACAGCCCTCTAAAGAGAAGTGGAGCACAATGACTAAACAAGCCTATTGAGTACTTCTCAGTGAGCACTAACCAAAGTGGCAAAGGCTTGGAATCAGATTGATTATTCACGTACTTTAACAGGGAACAGTTAATTCCATGGAAATGTGGTTTTGAAGATGGGGTGGGGAAGGAAGAAAAATAAATCAATAATAACCAAGAACATGTGTTTGTCACCTCCTGCTTGGATTATTCCAACACACTCCTCGCCGTCGCCCAAGCTCCACCATTCAAAAGATCCAGCTCATTCAAAACTCTGCTGCCCGCATAGTGACCCTGACCAAACTTCTTACCCACATCTCTCCAGTTCTGGCCAGGCTCCACATCACTGAACGGATCGACTTCAAGATCCTCACACTTGTGTTCAAATCCATTCACTCCCTGGCACCTCCCTATCTCTCCAACCTCCTCACTACCCAATCCACCACCCGGCGCCTCCGCTCGACTGGCACTGGCCTCCAGCTCGTCCCTCGCACCCTCCGCCCCACCATTGCGGTCGGGCTTTCAGCCACTAAGCCCCAAAACTCTGCAACACTTTCCCTCAATCCCTCCCCCTTGCCCCCTCTCTCCCCTCTTTTAAGTACCTCCTGAAAACTGTCCTCTTCGACTGTGCTTACAGCCACCCCCCACTCCTTCCAGCTCGGAGTCAGGCTCCACCACTGTTAAGCACTCTGAGATGCAAGTGCATTATAAGTGCAAGGTGTTATTGAAGTCGGTAAATTAATAAACGATAAATAGAGACATTTCCATTATAAACTTTCATATATAAGATGCAATTTTAATCATCTAAAAAAAAACATGCAAGCTGGAGTTTTTAAAAAAACTAAGGTGATAATTGCTGGTACATAGTCACATACTGTTTTTAATAATAATCCTTGCATTTGAAATAGCACCTTATCATGTCTTCAAGACAACTCAAAGCATATCACAGAATATACTGTAAAGTGAATTCACTGAATATTTTGTGGGCGAAACGCGTACAATGTTGAATTTCTTTGTGAATCCAAGAAAAATATTGCACCACTCCTACCTTGGTAAGTTATATAATGGTGCCATCCGGAAGCAGGCAACCACAGCTCTTTTGCGTTGCTTGGACAGGAGTTTCTGCCACCCAATCTTCTTTGATCTCAAAGGTTGCTCGACCTTAAAGAAAACACATCATTAACTGTGGAATAGACACAGTAAAACACTAGGTTGTCAGCTTATTCTGCAGCCACCTCATTAAACAGATTTTAGTGACGTTTACAATTAGCAATGTCTCAAGACATTATTTTACCTGTTCCAAGTGGAAGACGGCGGCTGAAATCTTTTGCACTCGGTCTACAATCTTTTCAGGACTAATAAACTCTTCAGGCTTGGTAATATTCTTGTACAGATTTAGCTGCCATCTAACAGCTGGGTCTTCAGACTGAATGAGAGATGGAAGAATCAGTTACACAACTATAGCATATTATCAGGCAATTAAAGGAAACATTAAAAATAATGTGTAATATCACTTCCAACTCTAGAACACAGTGAATTTGGAAATGCAGGATTTAACATGCATCTAAATGGTCACAGATGTGTATACCTTTTCCTGTAGGTGCAGATTATTTGCAAGGAACTCTTTAACCTCCTCATCTGTATCTTTCTGTGGACAAGAATAACATTATTGTAATTAACACAACAGAAAACAAAACCTGACCTTCACCAAATAAGAACATAAGAACATAAGAATTAGGAGCAGGAGTATGCCATTCAGCCCCTCTAGCCTGCACCGCCATTCAATAAGATCATGGCTGATCTATTCTAACTCCACCTACCTGCTTTATGCCCATATCCCTTAATCCCTTTATCCACAAGAAATCTATCAATCTCAGTTTTGAATATGTTCAAGAACTGAGCATCTACAGCCCTTTGGGGTAGAGAATTCCATAAATGCTTCACAACAATAACAACTTGCACTTATATAATGCATTTCACGTTTGGAGGACATTCCAAGGCACTGGAAGGTGTTGGACATAAAGCAAAGGAGGGGGGTGAGGTGGGGGAGATACCCGTTGGTGCAATCGAAGAGGTAGGTTTTTAGGTGAGATTTAAAGAGATAGAGAGGGTTCAACACAGAGGGAGTTTTCAAGGATGGAAGCACAGTTGCTGAAGGCTCTATGAGGAATGCTAGTGTAATATTAAGATATTCCAAAGAAAGTTCAAAAGCTGCTTAAAATTAATATATAAATATTTGAATTTGTGTAAAACGTTTCTCAGATTTAAAAGGGGTACACACCAAAAGAATAGGAATATTAGGAAAGAAGACTAAACTCCTCTCCATAATTATGAATTCTCTTACTTTTTATCAAAATGCTCAAAAGCAGTAAGAGACTATTTTTATGTCTGGAAACCTCAAGGGTGAGCTAAATATATTGAGCTAAAAATAGAACTTACCATGCTGTATCTCAGTTTTCCCAATGAGATGAGTTCTTGGTCTCCAGCCGTGCACATATTTAAACCGATAGGAAGCATCTTTTTAAGGGCAGATACGATCAATGAGGTCTGTATGGAGTAATAATCACCTCTGCGTATTATTTTCTTCCTTTCTTGGCTTTGTCCTCCAGCCTAAAGGAAATTACATTTGTTGTGCAAAAATGAGATATTTTGCATTATTTGTTGTCCCAATATGTTATTAGCACAATTTGTCTCTGTGACTACTTTGAAGGATGGAGGTTTAAAAAGGGACTGTACTATCCAGCGGGCAGTATGTATCAACAGCCTCCACCACTGCTAAGGCAACATAAAGTCTCCAATAAAGTCACCTCGTGTTCTGAACTTAACCACATGTAAGTTCTGAACTTAACCACAGTTGGCAGAAAATGAAAGAAATATTTAATGAAAGTTTATCCAGCATGGTAAGATTATCCCTGAAAAGCAATCTGCCGATCGACTAACAACCGGGTTCCTACTTACTCCTAAGTAAACAGAGGCGTATGGAGTAAGGAAACTTGCTCAACGTTTCGCCCTGCCTAGGAATTGAACCCAGGTCCTCTCGCTTGCGAGGCGAGTGCTCTAACCGCTAAGCTACAGGATTTCACCTTTTATTAGCAAAATGTAGCAGATTCACTCTTCCCAACTAAATACTTTTGCATTTCATTGGCTTCAGTGTCATTTAAGCGACAAAGGCTGAATTGCCTGTGAACACTTGCAAGCCAGAAAGTCTTGATGGTGTAACCCCTTTAGAAATTTCATAAGAGTCAAACAGAACTGTGTAGGCTGTCAAGTTGAGAGGGACAAGAGAATTCTACATATATTTCACATGAAACCCTGGAAATCAATTTTGCAATTATCAGCACCCATTTAGTATCCATGAGAAATATCATTACGGAATAAAACATTGCTTGTTTCTATTTAGCATTACTTCTGAATTATACAAAAATAATAATAATCCTTGTATTTAGTTTTTTTTTAACTAATACTGATCTCACACAAGTAACAACCCTGTAGCACAGCATAATTTATATAATTCTGTCTGATCTATGGAACTGTTGAAAAAAAATCCAAACAACACAAAATGGTAATGTTAACAAGACAAATGGAATGTATTGATAAGCTGTGCTTATGGCAGGCTAGCTGCAAAGTGGCTTTCACATGAAAATAATTAAATCTGAGGGAAGTTCAAGTGTCTGTGTTTTAACATCTGTATCAGCAATTAGCAGGAGGGTTTTTTCTACCCTTGCTTTAGGTCAGTGATGCTCTGAGTATCTGCATCATTTTCCTTTTCCAGGCTCAGTTCATCACAAAACACCCAAAAAACCTAATGTCACCATGTCCAGAAGGCACCTTCAACAAAGATTAATTGTGACACTACATCTTATCTCCTGGAAGGAGCTCATCTGAATATTTTTTTAAAGTATCATCTGGAGGTTATACTAAATCCAACAAAATTCTTTAATTTTTTTTATTATTTTGTGTTCCATACAAATTTTGATTTATTTCTTGATAAACACTTATTAGAAGCAATAATTTCATTTTGCACTTAGTTAATCTACATTTGAAATTAGAAAGAAGCGTCACTAAATTTTCACCCTGCTAGGTTTGTTGTGACCTTTTCTTTTTTGTCCCATGATTTAGCTTCGACTCTTGCAGCAAAGCAGTAAAATAATAATTATTCTTGCATTTGATAATTTGTGTTCAGCAATGCCCCACAAACAGCCATACTTGAATGAGGATTCTTGGCCAGAACACTGGGAGAAGGCTCTCTTTCCTTTTTGAGTAGTGCCATGTTATCTTTAACGACTATCTCGACAAGCTGACAGGACTTGGTTTCAAGTCTCATCCAAAGGACAACAATGCTGAATTGCATTTTCAAGATTGCTATAAAAAACACTAAACGTGATAGAACCCATCAGTTGATTGAATGTATCACTTCAATATTCCTTTTATATTGGCTAGATCAAAGACCTCTTCAATCCCAGTGGTATACGTTTGTGGAGCTGGAGGACCAATTTATGCTACATGCTCTGCACTGCTTTGAATTGAGGCTAAAAGTCCCAAACACTTTATTTGAAAGTTCTGTTGCATGAGTGTATTGGCATATGCCCAGAACACCAAAATTGCTTTAAAGAGCAGTCCATCTGGCAGCTTTGAAAGCAGCGCATGGAGTGGCTGTATTGCATTTTGCACATGTTGTATTTACACTACACAAAGTCACTGCTCCTGATGGTTTGAGGACAAGAACTCCAGTACGATGGTACTTTGTTTACACAGTGTCTTGTCACTGGCAAAATCTGATTCATTGCCAAATGTACAGTGTAAATTAGCAAGCTAAAATCCCATTTACTTCCCACTCATCTTAAAATATGTGAAAATAATTCATTTTATCCTATCTTTATAATATGCTCAGACCTGCTTACATTCATAAACTAAACAGTATTTGAACAGTAGCTTGCTACCTGTCATGTATTATCCTATATATGATTTGCATATGGAAGACATAGTTTGGTACAAATACATTACAAATGTTTATAGTGCACTCTTCTCAGTGATGTGTGGTGTAATGCAAGCACATTTAGCCTTCTGTTGAGATTTCAGATGCGAGACAAAAAGCATAGCACGTGCTATGATCTACATATACTGCAAATGGGAGCGCCTTGACCAATTTAAATTGCCAAGCCAAGTGGAGAGCTATTGCATGATGACACAGTCATGCAATGCAGTCTGACCTTTTGGCCAACTTGTTTAAACTGCTTTAAAAAAAGAAGAAAAACAAAAGAAAAGTTAAATAAGACCATTAATGATAAATAATGTATTAAATCATTAAAATAATTAGTACAATCAAAACAGAATCAATTCAGACACTTAAACTCAGTATTTAACTTGTTCTATTAAAAGAAACCAATTATGGTAACTTGTTAGGTATTTGTATTTTTATGGATTCATTCCTTTCTGATAGTTATTTTATGGTATAACAACAACAAGATTCCATTTATAGAGCGCCTTTCACTTCGGGAGGACGTCCCAAGGCGCTATACAGTTGGGTCAGGACCCGAGCAAGGTGGAAATGGTCAGGGTGAGGGGAGGGAAGGGAGGGAGCGAGGAAGGGGTAGAGAGTCGAGAGGGGAGCTGAAGGCACAGTCAAAGAGAAAGGTCTTGAGACCGGCCTTGAAGGAGGAAAGGGAGGAGGCAAGGCGAAGGCACTGGGGGATAGAGTTCCAGAGCCTAGGGGCTGAGAGGCTGAAGGCCCGGCCACCGATGGTAGGGCGGTTGGGGCGGGGGATGTGGAGCAGACCGGAGCCAGAGGAACGGAGGGTACGGGCAGGTAGGTAGGGGGATAGTAGGTCAGAGAGGTAGGAGGGAGCAAGGCCGGGAATGGCCTTGTAGGTGAGGATGAGGATCTTGAATTTGATCCTCTGGGGGATGGGGAGCCAGTGGAGGCGAGCGAGGGTGGGAGTGATATGGTCACGAAGCCTGGTGCGGGACCAGATTCTGAACTTGGCACTGTATATATACTTATTTGGGTTAATTGTTCAGCTGATCAGTTGAGACATCATAATAATAATCCTTGCTTTTTATATCGCACTTTTCACGTCGGGAGGACGTCCCAAAGCGCTTCACAGAACACACTGTAAAGTGAATTGACTGTATATTTGTGGGTGAACGCGGCAGCCAATTACGCACAGCAATGTCCCACAAACAGTCATAGGTTGAAAATGACCAATTTATTATTGTTTTTGGTTTTGGAGGGATTATTATTAGGTGTGTGGAGTAAGGAAACTTGCCCAAGGTTTCACCCTCTGCCTGGAATTGAACTCAGGTCTCTCGCTTGCAAAGCGAGTGCTCTAACCACTGAGCTACAGGACTCCAGTCATGTCTGTGGTGGGGAATGAACTCCTCCAACATCAGGTATTTCCAGATCAGGTCGCTGGCAGAGTAAAATTCCTTCTATTCTGCTCCAATGATGCACATTTCTTGCTGCACCTAAGTTTATTTTCCCATGATTCGTGCCAGTCAGCTTCATACTAATGTGTTTGCAATTTCTGAACACTTTTTTCTATGAACCTAGGACCACACAGAACTACCCAAACTCAATCTGCTGAAGACCATTACAACAACGCCAACAACTTGCATTTATAAAGCTCCCTTTACACAGGACAACGTCTCAGGGTGCTTCACAGAGACCGTCTCGGACGCCCAGCAGAGTGGAAGAGGGGGTGATGATTGGAGTCGAAGAGGTAAGTTTCCAGGTGGGCTTCAAAGACAGGAGAGGATGGGGACATACTTGCTGAAGCCTTGGCCACAGATGATGGGGCACAAGAGGTGTCCAGGATGTGCAACAGGCCCTTGTTTGCCGAGTGAGGGGAGCAGTGAAGACTGTGACAGGAGAAAATGCTATAGAGATAGTTCAGTGCATGAAAGGATTTATGTTGAGGGTGAGGACCTTAACATTGAATCATTGGGAGCCAGGGGCATGCAGAGTTTGGAGTGGGTAAGGATATGGGCAGCAGAGATTTGTATTAGCTGGAACTTGTGCTGATCTTTATACAATGGGAAAAAATGCCATATAGATTTTGCACATCATCTGGATATATATATTACAAATGCTACTCTCAGAGTAACCCCAAAAATATTAATTTGTTTTCGAATAAATGTTGATTTTATATTGCTGTATTGCTATTGTTTTCATCTCAGTACTGCAGCAACAGTGATTTTGACGATAAAAAAATCAAAAATATGTGTCTGTATAAGTACTGTGGTCAGATATATGCTGGAAAGCTATAGAGTGTATTATAGGATACTTACTTTAGACATCTTGCTCTTATTATCTGCAGTCAGAAAAGCCATGTTGTTGATTTCATTCTGGACCACAAAATTCTGTTCCTCTCGTCTGAAATTCTGTGAAACAAAAGACTGTTGTGAGAAAGTGTGCACAGATCAGCACAGTTAAACGGAAATGCTTTTTTTTAATGGATTATGTAAAAAGTCTTTAATTTGCCAGATGTCACAATATCTACTTTTGAGCTTCCTCCTTCACTGTATCAGCCAACAATTGGGCTGTTTTTCCTATTCCAAAGTAAGGAATGAGATTATAACGGAAAACCAGAACACAATTTTTTTTTACTGAGCTTGTAGGGCAGTAAAAGCCAGGGATTTAAATCTATGTCCCAGAATTGAATATTTTTACACAAAGTGAAAAATCATCTCACCCCTAATCCTTGCATCTGATATATAGCATTGGGAGGTTGTCTCAAAGTGCTTCATGGGGTTTACTGTAAAATGTAATAACTGTACATTTTGTAGGCAAACATTAATAAGACTTAAGCAAATCAATTTCTTACATGTGATTTGCACCACATAATGAAAACCTCAGCCACCATACGGAACAATTCATCTGAATCTGCATCTGGCAGCTTCAACCACCTTGCCCTGAGAAGGAAAACACGATACGTGAATTGTTATTGAAGAATTGTGAAATGAGAAGTTTATAAAAAGTAAAAAATTATGGCTGTTGGAGTTATACATAGCACACCTTTAACAGCCAAACAAACTTGGATATCTCAGAGCGCTTAAATGATATTATCAGGCGGATTAGTGATTAATACCAATTTGATTTGTGCAAGAATTTACATTCAAGATTCAGATCTGCAGTCAAATACAAACATGAGAAATTTCTGAATTCTAAATGCAAGTTGTGGTTGCATCTTTCCGTTTGCAACCACAGCTTGCATTTAACATTGGTGTAGTTTAACCCTGAGCTGAAAAGGGAGGGGAAGTAACTGAAGGTTGAGGTTGAAGTCTTCAGATGTGATTTGAAGATGGGCAAATATCGGGGCAAGATGGAGGGATTGAGAAAAGGAGCTCCAGAGATTTGGGGCTTAGTGGCTGAAAGCCCAGCCAATTGTGGGGTGGGTGAAGGGGACAAGGGACATGCAGCAGACTCATCATCTGGCAAGTAGTGGAATGGCTGTGAGCAGATCGGAGAGGTAAAGGAGGTATTGTTAACTGTTCATTTTTCAATAACTTAGGGGAATGATACGATCAAGTGATGGTAAAATTATCAAACACCATTAAAATAATAAAAAATAATAAACATTTCCACATTATCATGTTATTTAAGAAATAATCTGGTTGGCTTGCCTGTTGTAATCCACGTAGCGGATCAGAATTGGATAGAAAGCATAGAGGTCTCGGCAAAGGAGAGCAAACTCATCCAGAATAAGCAACTCAGCTTCCTGGGTATCACCTTTGCTATCTGCCCTCAGCTGCTCCTCCTCCAGAACAACCTTTACCACTTTCTTCTTGAGTTTCTCCAGGGTTGGCAGAAACTGTGGCTTGAGCAGTTCAGGCCTCGCTTTGCTGATGATTGGCTGAGCAAACACTAAAAGATGATAGCCAGTTATTGTGCTATTTAAGTGCTGAAGACAAACAACAACAACAAATTACATTTGTAAAGTGCCTTTCACGACAAGAGGATGTTCCAAAGCGCTGGACAGTCAAGGATGTGCACACAAGCTGGGGGTTGGAATCAGGAGGGTTGGAGGGCAGGAAGAGTTGGGGTAGGAGGGTGACTGAAGTCGTGGTCGAAGAGGAACATCTCGAGACTGGCCTTGAAGGGTGCAAGGGAGGGGGCGAGATGAAGGGACTGTGGAATGGAGTTCCAACGGGTCGGGGCAGAAAGGATGAAGGCCTGACACTGTTTATGGGGCAGGCCAGAGCCCGCTCAGCAGAGGGAGAAAGAAAAACAACTTCATAATTGTTCTCTTTGAATAAATATGGGGGGGGGGGAATCTGTAAACATCATACACTGGGTTTCTTATGAAAAACATGCTGAAAAATTAAACGAATCAACAGAAGAAGAGTTACAGCTATCTACTGCGCGTTTACCAGCAAGTCTCTTCATCCAGGATGCTTCATCAATGCCCAGATTATTGTTGAGGATTTTCAGGATGTTGCCCAGCAGTAAACTAAGGTGCTCAGAAGTGACTGTGGTACAGTGAGGTTCTTCACACGTGCTCTCAGGGCCTCGCTCCCACCAATAGGAGAGGTAATTACACAGCATGGGTAAAATCACTTCAATGACGTGGGGCATCTCAGTGTATCGAGCTCCAGACTCGGCCAGCTCTTTGATATCCTTCATCAACCGTTCCAGGTGAGGAATCTCTGGGCACACCTCCTCAACAGTGTCTGGCAAACCTAGAACTAGGCACACAAGGATTTTATCACAGTCACTCATCCATCACTGTATTCGCTATCAATAAATAAATAATCTTACTGAAATTGAGGTCGCCATGTAGAAGATGCTGAAAATTCAATAGAGACATTAGGACACAATGTTTCAATACATGTTGACCTTTCTGCTTCATTTGAAAAATTGCAAAATGAACCCAGGGACTTAAAGCCCACAGTTTTCATCCACACAATTCCTTTGTTATTTGATCTAATAAATGAGATATAGTCAAATACAAAACACACACTTTCATAGAAAAACTGTATTGCTAAGTGCACAGAGTTTATAATTCATCCCTATATTTAGCAACAAAATGACCAACAGATGCTGCTGAACTAGAAGGGAAATGCTTTATGTACAGTAGAAAGTCACAATACCACACACAAACTAGTTTGCTTCCCCGCATCAGGGATCAGATGCGGAGGGGATGTGAGGCTGTGATGTTGTCACTTGGGTTTACAAGGTTTTGTGGGGTCTTTTCTTGAGCAGCTGGGCTGAAAACCCGCAGGGAAAGTTCTATATATTCAGCAATTTTTACATGGACAGTGTAGCTTGGTGATTTAGGTTTTGGGAACTATTGAGCGCTGTCATATACGACTGATACATTACATTGAATTCATTACGTTCTGGCACCAGAGAATGTGTATTAATGAACTGCAATGGAAGAGGATTACAAATGTTGAATTGCTCAATATTCGGGGTATTTTGCCCTGCAACTTTTTCAACATGATCTAAATGGATAGTAAAAACAAAACAAGGTGAAAAAAAATCTTCAATTTTTAAAAAAAGAAACCCTATAAAAAGAAAATTCACGTCAAAGGCGGTGGTACGTACTGGCTTGTTCCCGAGGAGTTTTTGTGTTGAAAACTGACTTTGGGTTGTGCTGGTTGAGAGACGGTTCAAGGAAAGCTACCGGCATGGCTGCTGCCAGCGTTGCCAAACACTCCCCCAGCACTGGCCGCTGCCTAGGACACAAGAGTAATGATGAAAGGTAAAATGACATCCTGGGTTCAAAAACAGAGAGCCACTAGCCACGGTACGTCCAAATATATTTTCCAATTAGAAGGACTTTAGAATTCTATTATAACACACTTGATTAGAATGTGGTGGCTCATGAACTGGACACCAGCTTTTTTTGTGTGAAAGGTTGGCCGGCATTTTTGAAGTGAATTGGCTGCTTTTCTGAACACACCTTGGATTTTTTTGGTATGTAAACATGGCAATCCACACCCCAAATGTGCTATCAGCGAATCCACGTTGGAATGAAATATAGATATATTTGCTCATTTGCAATGTTCAAAATACAGCCATTTTAACAAACCACAAAACAATCTAACGAAGTCTCCATTGCAAAAGATTTTGAAGCAAATTACAAATGGGTGGCAACAGATTTTATACTGGTGTAACAGCGAGTGCCATATTTAGATGGTTGGATGTTGAAACAAATTAACTTGAAAATAACACACATTCCCTTTGCTGAAGTGGCAATTAGCGAGTGCCATTCATTTTGCAGTAACATTTCCACATTCAATAACAGTGGTATTGCTTTGCCTTTTTATATAAATACAATATTAAAATATATGAGAGCACAAATCTACTTTGCTTCATGTTTCTTTATTCCTTCTTTGTATGCAGCAAACAAATGGAATTCTACTGTACATTCTAATGAATCTGTAGGATTACTTTGTTCTTTAAACACAAATGATTTCAAAGTCTCAATCATGATTGCAATCTGTGTTTCTTACCTTTCAACATAGACATTCTTTCCAGTTCCTAAAGTGTAGAGACAACACACGATCCTATAGCATGAAGCTTGTACATCATCCACTGCAAAACAGAACCCAGCCAATCAGTGAATGTGTACATTTCACAGAAGCAAACACTTACCAAAATCATGTTCTTGGAAAATCTTAACCCAATCCTAAATTGTACACATTTTAAATTTACTTCACTGAACATTGCTTTGCATTGCTGTTACCATTAACAAGTAGATATAAGCTTCACGTTTCCAAATGCATCATCCAACAGAGAACTTATACCTAAAAAACAGCCTTTATTATTAGCAACCAAAAACTCACAGAGAACGTGAACCCCATGCTGAAGTTGACCAATGTGTTCAAATAGTGAAGTCAGTACAGGCAGCAAAGCCACAGTTGTATAATTGATATTCTGAGTAACTCCCTTTAACTGAGTTCGTGACTGTGAGACTTTTCCAAGCTTCAAACTTTCTAATGTCTTTTCAAGGTCTTCGGCTGCATTTTCAAAGAACAAACGCAATCCAGCCTTCACCAGCTCCGAACCAAACTTCATGACATTTCTGCAAAAATATAATTTGGAATATGTGAACATTCTCATCTTGGGGTGGAGCTATATTCAATTCTGCACAAGGTTTAATGAAGCCCAAAGATAAACAGAAAGACTGAAATGAAATTCACAAACATTACAGAAAATGACAGTCACCTGGTGTCCAGCGTCCGTGCCAAGATGTGCAAACAGTTCACTATTGTACCAGAATCAGTCCCTTTAGAAGTAAGAATGGAGAGATTAGAATTGCTATAAATTGCCCTGTATGTGGTACACTGTAATTGAGTTTAATATTCTATATGTCTTTTTTATATAATACAATGGATCATCAGAATGTCCATAAATTCATGACAGTTTGGAAAATGCATCTTTCTACAAAACATAAAACACTTCAGAACATTTCTGAGTTTTTAACCTTAGAACCTAATCAATTGTGTAAAAGCTGCTCATCTGGATCAAGTGATACTGCAGCAAGAGGGCTCCCAATGCTCATAGAACTCTTATCTCAGTCTAACTGAGCGTCTTCAGGAAAAGAGGGCAGAAAGCCAGAACAAATGTTATAAGATGGAAAGATTGTGTGATTTGCCTTTGAATCAGAGCATGCATTATTTTGTTAGTTATTTTTCAGGGCGGTTGCATCAACAGTGATAACACTTTCCAACCAGTCTGATGTACTTGCAAAAACACCGATTGCAGTCCAACTAACAGTGGAAAGTAAAGAGTGCAAAGAAAGCAACGCTTACCAAAGAGTGAGATCCTATGTCTGACAAGGGCTGCAAGTTTGTAGAAAATACTAACACAGAAGAGCACGGAAAAGCAGAAAAAGAAATGAGAGATAGAAAACAAGAGTTAAAAAAGCAAGTTACTCCTGTCAAAATAATCAACTACAGAAAAAGAATCTGGTGAGTCTTTAACCCATATATTTGAAGTATGTTTTATATTTTTATTTTGTAATGAACTTACTGATATAAAGGGAAAATGCAAGCTTGAAAGAAAAACCTTAATATAGTATATACCTTGTGTACATACAGCTGGTGACACTTCTATTCCTGAGGCTTTCATTTCTAGTTATTAAGTAACAGGTGTTTAATTTTTTTATTTGTCAGCATGTGCAATATTGATACTTTCTCTCTATTTGGACAAAGCAAGCAGAATTTGGTGTTGAATAGAAAGTCTTCCCACCTTGCTATTATTTCCTTTTCCTTGTTGGATGCGTATCCACTGCTGGTGAGAGTCTTGGTTGGAGAGGATAAGAAGTATAGGCAGTGGTTCTTAAAGTAGTCATCAATCAGAGGAAGCAGAACCTAAAACAGAAATTTAAAACAAAATTATTGAAACATTATCACTGTCATCATAGTTCAAATATTATAACAAGCTAATTAATTTTAGAGCTTTTTTAGTTAGCAATTTCATTTAAATGTGTCCAATTTTTATTTCTTAAGGTAATTTGGAGCAAAATGTCAATATACAGTAAAAATCCATCTGCTAATAAAATCCCACAGATTTATAAATACATTTTGGAAAAAATGTATCTTTGGGAATAATAGGATTCTGGCTTCAAATGGGAACAAGTTATTACATTTTAACAACCTTGAATACCTAATGTTCTTCTAAAGAAATTTGGTTTCAATCTCTAAGTGAAACAATCTTTATTAATAATAATTATCCTTGCATTTGATAATGTGCCTTATCACGTCACCGAGACGTCTCTAAGCGCTTTACAGGATATACTGAAAAGTGGTGTGACTGTGTGTACTTTGTGGGCGAGTGCTTCAGAACCGAGTCACATACCTTTGCAAAAAATTTTATCTCCTGCTCATGAGGAGATTTCTCTGCTTTGCCACTGCTGACAATGGCCTCTGCAAACAAAAGCACAAGTGAACCATCATAACCCAAAGAAAGGCTAAGTTTGAATATTACAAAGCAATCAAAGATCAAACAGCAACCGAAACTCAAGTGAGAATTCTTTAACATGCTATCAACTAGAATCCCAATCTACAGGTGCTTCATGAGAAATGCTGTTCATAAGCATGTGCTGGTAGAGGCATGTGCTGAATATTTGGTTGCAGCAGTCAGGTTAGGATTCCTGGATATAACTCCAGTGATTAAGAAGTTCAGTATAAATGCTGGAAATTTAAGTAAGTAAATACTATACGGAATGTTGCCACTTACCTAAATGTACGATGAATTCCTGGCCTGAGTCAATGCAATTTACCACCTTTTGTAGGAATTTATAAGCAAATCGCTTTTCAAAAGACGAAGCATCCAACTCCATGTCCTTAAGGCCTCTGCAAATGCATCAATGAATGAACGAAGAACCATTATGCATTATAATCTCCATCAAAGATAGTCGCAATAACATTTCATTACTAATTCACCTTTACAATGACGATTTTCATTTGATTCAAGACTCCTCGGAATACAGAATTGGTGCAACCATTAAAAATAATCATATAGTGCGTCCAATTTTATCCGATTGACAGGAAAGAGCACTTCCCTTACCTGGATATCGCATAGCCATTCACTTGGAGAAACTTGAAGAGATCATGAGCCTTCTCACGATCTCGGGCCTTCTCTTTGGCAGTCAGTGTATCATATGGAATAAGCATTGTTTGACTGCCACCACCTATAGGGATTTCACAGGTTAGAAAAACTTCACCATTATTTTGAAATGATTTATACATTATTTATAAAGCAATATACCTTCAATAACTGAACTGAAATGTAGCTTTTCTTGAAAAAAAAGAACATCTCAAAAATTTATTTTCAATATATTTTGCAGGATACGCAACTCCGATTATTAGGATTGTATAGCAATTCATAATATACTGTTTAATAATAAATAGTAAATAATATGATTTCAATTTTGTGTAACTTATTGAAGTCCTTTTTTAAATCAATTTAACAAATCAATCATTATAATTATTAGTCATATAAATCTTAAATCGTAACTTCATATACATTCCTCATCCATACTTCTCTTGTGATATTTACCTCTGCTCTTACTTACCTCTGCTTTCTAATTCAGCTTTTCGTTTTTTAGCCCAAATGTTGTGATAATTCTCTGCAATGACTTCTGCCATGGCCTAGTTCAAATCAATGGAAAAAAAACAAGAAACGTTTTCCGAAGATTAATACCTCATTTAGTTTGAAGCATAAATGGCCAAAGAAAATGACAAACATCGCCATCTAAATTGTATTTAAATAATCTGTAACCATCCTAGCAAGAACATGTTCAATGGCTAAACTAAATAGATTAAAAAAAAGCATTGATGACTACTAGAGTTATTGGATCTACTTTGGTCCAATGTAAAAGCAATATGAATCATTTTATTTTGACTCCCTATTCCAATACACGCATGGGCAAAATATACCAAATAATAGTAATGCCTTTCAAGTTAGGAGGACGAATCAAAGCGCTTCACAGGATACGAACCAGAATGGTTGGACTGGGTATTTTGCATTTTTTGTGAGCATCTAGTCATATATTCATGACTAGCAGCTATACATGTTTCTTTAATGGGATAATGGATGATAATAAGCATCAATGAGATTTCCATATTAGAGAAAGTCTCAAATATACATTCCAGTCATATTTAAATATGAAGATATTTGAAAATGGTGAAGATATTTAAAAAGCAAATAATAATAATTAAATTTGAAGCAAGATATATGTGGATTGTCAGCAAAATGGGGGAATATGAAGAATCTATATGTTGTAGAGATTTAAGGTTAATTCACAAAAGGCTTTTTTGGTGGACCTGGGGGAGGGGTGGGGAGGAAGGTGGAGGCACATGTAGAAATGAATCTCAAATTCACTCAAAAGAACCCGACTAACCTGCACGTCTTTGGAGAGCAAAACATTGGACAAGTCATCAAGAATAGGGGTATATCCTCCTGAACTCTGGAAGTAAAGATCCAAGAAATTATCAACACAAATAAAATGTCATTTGCATCCAACTGTGCAGGGCTTCTCAGGTACTCATTTACCTTTCATGCCAAGATAAAGGTTATCTGATTGATTATTTGCTGCATTTGTTACTAAGGACTGATTAAACTTGTCGAAGTAATGTGTCTCTTATATAGTACTTGTCACCAAAACCTTGAAGTGGAAAACTTCAATGGAAAGTTGTTTACCCGAATACACTGTCAAATGCTCTGTTTGGATAAGGGAACAATAATTATTTTGAAGTATTATGTGCATTAGATAATGTTAATTCTGCACTGAAACTGGTGCAAATCAAATTAGACACATGGGGGTGGGGGAAGGGTGGATGCAATGAAGTCCGACTTGCCTTCAATGAATTGAACAGTGATTATGTTACATTAACAAGTTGAAATCAATGCTCAATTCCTTGAACACTTTCCCGAGTTCTACTGTAGGTTAAATCACCAAACATTAGACAGACTTGCCGTACCTGGGAAGCCTTGCGCTGTTTTTCACTTTCCCGTTGCTGAATCATAGCTTCACTTTCCTTTGTCCTTTCAATGATCCAAGAAAGAGCCAGCATGCTTCGAATAGACTCTTTGGCAGGCCAGCGGTACAACTCTTTTTCCTGTTATTTAAAGAACAACCACATATCTGAGACCGTCATCAAATATGCCCAAACAATTCCTGAATTTCACGTTCCAATATCAGAAAATATTCAAAGGCACAGAATAGGCTACGATATTTTCAAGGACGCAAAGAAGTTCTGTAATGAAGGCCATCATATTTTATGACCTATGAAACCATACATTTGTAAGTTTTCAATAAAGCAATTTATTTTTCTAATAACTGAATAGGAATCAAAATGTTCAAGGGGTTAATTGTGTATTATATTAAATGACGTAATGGCATAACAATCACATTATAGATCTAGGACAGGCTACAAACAGCTGAGACACAGGGGGTAGGGTCCCGGAGCTCTTAAATGGATGAAATACATTGTTTAAATGGACTGAATACATTGCTCTTTCAAGGAGCTAGCACAGACTCAATGGGTCAAATGGCCTTCTTCCATGCTGCAGATTTGTGTGGTTCTAAGTACAAACAGTTGTAAATTTAAGCTAAATTTAAGAAAATAATTAAATTTCAGTATGCCGTCGAGTGACACAAAACGTGTAAAGTTTGCTTCACTCGAATGTCAGCTCAAAGGGACCCAACATCAAAATACATTAAGGATCAGTTAATAATAATAATTATACTTCTCGACGTCTCAAAGCGCTTCACAGAATATACTGTAAAGTGAATTGACTGTATATTTGTGGGTGAAACACGGCAGCCAATTGCGCACAGCAGTGACCCACAAACAGCCGTGGATTGAAAATGAGCAATTTATTCTTGTTTTATTTTGGAGGGATTATTATTAGGCGTGTCGAGTAAGGAAACTTGCCCAAGGTTTTGCCCTGCCTGGAATTGAACCCAGGTGTCTCGCTTGCAAGGCGAGTGCTCTAACCACTGAGCTACAGGACTCCACTACAGGACTCTTGTTTTGAAGAACAGAACACAAAGGTTTTAAGACAAATATGACTTCCAAACTACCTTAAATAACAGTTATATTTACCAAAGCAGCAATCAAGATCACTCACCCTTTCTGATAATGTTTTGTACGGTCTCAATAATGGATGAGTCTTTGTGTTTTCATTTACAACATCACTATATGTCCACCCATTTTGAAGCTATAAAATAAACATAAAAGAACTATTACTGATATAGTACAATGCGGAGACCATTCAATTCCATTTGGTAAAAGATGTACAGCATAACTGGACAGGATTCCTCAGTTTCTATTCCTGCCATTTATATTTTTTTCGGTATCCTGTTTTTTCTCATGCACTGCAAGTGCTTAGACAAGAATTGATTGCTTTCAGACTCCTTTCATCAGTTGTAATTTTGTTGTTCCTTGCTACGGTCTTCTAAGCTAATGGAAAGTGTTCTTTTTAATTATACACCTTCCATAGAACACAGAAACTTGACCATTTAGTTACAGTAATTGATAGAAACATAAGGTTCATAAAAGGAAAACAGTCTTTACCTTGTCAAGAGCCCATTTGTCATGTAAATATTCAGCATATTTGTTGATAATATACTCCAAATTTTCTGGAATTGAAGTACTGAAACAGAACAGGGTAAGTATTCAAATAAAGTTCACAATTCAAACATGAAACATCTTTTGGCTTTAAGTTGCATACAATGCTGGCTGGAATGATGCTAAGGGTACATTAGAGATGCCATTTCCTCAGTGCTAAAATATGAAGTGTGTGGCAAATTCTTGAAAATCTGTCCCAATTTACTTAGAGTGTACTGGACCTGCCCAGACTTCCTTCTCACATGGCTGCACATTTGAAAATGGTGTAATACAGGGAGGATTGGTGCATTATCAGAGAAAAATTTAAAATCGCTTGTCCAAAAATAGGCCATGCAATTCTTAAAAGTAATGCCATTAAGCAGTCTGGTGACAGTGTGTTAATGCATGGATATACTGGCAATTAATCTAACATGAATGAAATCATAAGCTCTTACTACCTTGTATTTAAAAATGTAATGAAATGTTCAAACAACAAAATAGGGTAAACGTAATCTAAATTCCTGTACAACTTTTTCACAACAAAATGATATAGTAAAAAGGGAGATGCCACCTCTTTAGGACGATGTTCAGAGATTTTCAGTAAAAATATAAAATGGGTACTTCTTCAGTTTATTCCTATTCTGTGATTTGGGCAATTTTAGTCTAGCAATCAATAGAAATCAATTCTAGAAGGCGCACGATAGCAAAGAGATTTCGCTGAAAAGAAATAAATGGTATTCCTTGACGAATGAGTCAAGAGACTAATGAGCATTTTTATGTCATGCTTTGCAGCATGTACTCAAGAGCAATTTGGTCTACCTTTCCAAAGCTACATAACTAATAGAACAGCCATTGATTCTGACTGCAAGTTCTAACCATCTAGCTGAATAGTGCTAGTTAGTCCAGTGTCATACTTAGACGTGATGATGGGTTTTGGGTCAAAATTGCCCTCTTCATCCACTGAAGTCATTTTCTCCAAAACATCTGAAAAGCTGGAATCCACATAGTCAGGTGACAGAGCCCCTGCTATAGCACTCAGGCATGGTAAAGCCATTTTAAAGAGTTCGGAGCTGTATTTCTGGAGGAAAGAGAAAACTGATTGAACGATCACAAGTAATAAGAAGAACTTTCATTTATACAGTAATTGTCACGTAAAAATAAACATCATAAAAGCACTCTGCAAAATAGAATTGATCAGAAATGAAAGTCGATGCTGTGATATAGGCGAGCATGGCAGCCAATCTGGACCAGGAATGCCCTGTATGCAGGCAATTGTCTTGAAGTTTAGGTTAAATTTAGATGAGGAGGGCAAATAGAAGCAGGGTTAAGTGGGAAGAAGAATTAGGTTGCACAAGTAAAAGAAAAAAAAATGGTTATACCTATGTGCATGTCGGGGGCAGGGGATATAATTGACCTCTGTCATTTTACTGAACTATATTGCAATGTTTGAGTTTTTTTTAAAAAAAGTTTACTGTTTCTAAAAAAAAGCCCATAAATAAAAGCCTAAGGCTTTTTATTAAAAAAAACAAAGTGGTTATTTCAGCTTCACACACACCACACAACTACATTAATGTGTTGACCTTCTGAACATAAGGATCTAGAAAGTTCTTACATTACTTGATCATATGTGCCAACAAAATGATTACCTTTTGAGTGAGTGAATCAAAAATTCCCCAGAACAACTTTTTGGTCAGATGTAATTCTTCATCAGAGGCACTTCCATAACTTCCCCATCCTGATGCTAAGCAATAGTATCTCCAGGTCCGCTCATAGTGATTGGTTAAAAGCTGCAAGTGATAAGAAAAAGTAATGAAACATCCTACAATTACCACTGCACTAGATGAAAAATTTTGACAAAGACAAATGTAGAGTATATGGTTTTACAGTATTATACTAGGCACTATAATGATATAGTACTGTATCTCACGTTAAATTCAAGTATTAGCGTGAGGATTCAGAAACACAGATCTAGGTGTGCTCCAGTTTCCAAATTTTCACAACTTCAATATTCAAAGACTCAAAATGGATCAAATGTCAATAGTGTTTGGTCTCTAAATGCAGTTATTATACTTTGTATATTACAATAATGTAACTATAATTCTTGTAATTGGTTATAGTGCCTTTCATGTCAGGAGGACGTCTCAAAGCTTTTCACAGAATTTATTGTAAAGTGTAGCGACTATCTATTTTTTGTAGGCACAAATTTGCCCACATCAATGCGTTGCAAACAACAACAACAACAACAAGATTCCATTTATAGAGCGCCTTTCACGTCAGGAGGACGTCCCAAGGCGCTGCACAGTTGGGTCATGACCCGAGCAGGGGGGAAATGGTCAGGGTGAGGGGAGGGAAGGGAGGGAGAGAGGAGGGGGGAAATGGTCAGGGTGAGGGGAGGGAAGGGAGGGAGCGAGGAGGAGGAAGAGAGTCCATGAAGACATCTAACTTAAAATCGCTTCATTAACAAACACACTTTTTGTTCTGCTCTTATTGCAAAAAATTCCATCAGAAGTAGACCAATAAATTAGGTAATATTCACTAAATGTAATGGTGACACCTAGTGGCAAAATATTATTTTAGCAACCTTTATTTCATTTAGTGGCCAATTGGACAACTTAAGCCTTTTCATCTTATTTAATTGGAATGCATATGCTTGATTGGTTAGTTAAATGGAATGTCAATCCTTGATAGTCGTCTGGCCATTTCTAACGCTACTTTTGAATTACATTACATGGTTTACTATTTTTAGGGGTGGTTGTTCCAAGCAACATACCTTTAGTGGCATTTTACAGTACTCATTGAGGATGGGGACATCAAAAACAAAACGTCGCAGAAGGGGTTGCAACATAGCTGGTCGGAGGTAACTGCAGAAGAATAAAAAATGGAAACAACATCATACAGAAATACAGTATAAAGTATAGTACATCGTCCAAAAGTTCACTGAATTTAAAAGCTGCAAAGGACACAGATGTAGTTTGAAACAGCAATGGGGATCAGGACAAATTAGATTAATGGGCGTGATTCCCTACACTTGTGACATTGTGGACAAGTTGCCAAGGGTAGGCCTAACACTCATACTCAGGCAGGGAAAGTCAATCTAGGCCACTCTCAGAGCTTCCACAAAGCTGGTTACAGAATAGCAAAGACCTGGGAGCAGACCACCTGCCAGCCTTCTTGGCTGAGGATGGTGAATCGTTTAGGGGGACATACAAAGAATAAAACAATAAGAAAGTAAATAACTTCCAAAAAGGAATCTCCGAAGAATATTGAAGAATAACATGCCCCAACCCTTCGGCATTGAATGTCTTAATTCTCTTTCCAAGGGTCTCGGGATTTGAAACTCAAACTAAACTGACCAGGCTTAATGTCCTAAAACACTGTATGTAAAGTAATAAACCCATTCATTTAACTCATTGCATTTCCCTGTTTATCAGGAAACAAAACAAGGTTTGCCAAATGCTTTCTGTTCTTGAAGACGGTTCCAGTCAAAAATATACGAGTTTAGGTTATGACTAGCTGTGTTTCTAAAGATAAGTAAACATGTACCGGCATATGCACAGCAAACATTCTTCAATCGATTCTCGCTGAGCTTTGGTAAGACTAGGACCCTTGGACATTCGATAGATTGTGTGGAGTACGGCATCTATCCGAGCAGCATAGTGTTCAGTCCCAGCGAAAAGGGGTGCACATCTTGTGAGAAGGGGCAGTACCGCAGAACAGATGTATCTGTTAAGGGCAAGAGCTGTCTCTGTAGTACTCAAAGGAACCTGTCAAAAAACAAAACGGATAAAGTTTGACAGACAATAAAGCACAAACAAATTCAAAATATTATTTTGTTTAAATTAGATATACAGTAATACCTGTTATTTTGCAACAGTAATTAACTTGTTGCATTTTAAATAGTAACAAATTTGGAAGGTTTATTAATCTGTGAAAAGGAACAAAACTGAATTATTCTAATTTTGCATGTTTGGCAAAAACAGATTTGGTTGATTTCTGCAATTTGGGTTTTCCAATTCAAATTCCATAAAGATTTGTTACACTGTTTATTAATTTGGACAATCAAATACTTATTTAAAGGCATCAATTTGCAAAGTCAATCATTTATTAATTCACTAAATAAAGAGCTTGCTTCTGGTGTCAACTGAAAATGGGTTATCAATAATATATCAATAATTGTCTTGAGAAAGCATATTGCACGGCAATTAAGAGCAGATTCAAAGTGGACCAAGTCTTTTTTTTAAACAAAATCTATTCAGTTTAACTTTCAGTGCTCTGAGACACCACCCTATAGGATGCATTAACTACATACGTGCAAATTGCTACTCTTGTAACTTACTGTATCTAGAGAGGCAGATGCTTTTAAATCAGGTAAAAATCCAACTTCCAGTAAATGAAGCAGGAAAGTTTGGTCCTCGATACCATACACACGGTCCAGAAATAGTACCATGGGTGCCTTGTGTTCAGGACAGAAACTTGCAGACATATCAGGTTGATTGATGGATCCATCTGCCAAACCATCACAATCAAGTTTCAAAATATTGATTAACTTTATTTTGTTAAAAAAAGTGCAATTGGATAATTGATCTCAATTCTGTCATTTAAATCCTTATGAAATTCTGCAGTTCTTTCCTTAGCATAAACTTATAAAATCGCGAATTGCATCTGTCCGTACTGCATCTCTGGGAATATATACGTACTGCCACTTATTCAGGGGTTGGCACATCTTTTGATCTTTATGAATAGTTAAAAAAAATACTGATTCAAATTCAGGCCATTCTTTATATACAGGTTCAATCAGCAACAAAGTAGTGTTTTTTTAAGTCAGTGACTTTGCTATGACTTGATACTGAAAATACATCATCATACACTGGTTTTGAAAGACGGCTTAAATTACTTTGGAAACCATTAAAGAGTTCCAATTCTGAGATATACAAAATCAGGGAGGAAAGACCATACGTATCTTTTAATGAGCGTTAATTCTTGCATTAAAAGTAACCCTGAAGAAAATGTATGGTACACAGCTACATTAACATAAGTTTAATATGACTTGCCTTTATTAATAGTGGGCAATTTTAGTGGTATGCTGATAATGCCCACCAGATCCTGAGTTGGCACCAGTGAACGAAGTATTGCTCGAACTCGAATAGCCTCGCCTTTTCCAGTTTGAATTAGCTGATAAAACAGGTAAATATTAGTTATATGTATCAAAATAATACTTATTCACATAATTTCAAACTACAAGAGGTTTTTTCTCTGGTATCACAGGTGCCTACACCAGAGAAACATCTTACAGTTTGAAATTGCATTCATACTGTGATACTGTAATTCACCACTTTCACTAATCTGAAGGTAATGGTTATTTGCAAAGTCAACAAATGCACAATAAGCATCCGAATAAATTCACGGAGCACATGCTTAGAATGGTGTTGCTTACGTGCATCTCTGGAGCACAGCGACCCAGAAGGTCTATCAGAGCAGAGTAGAAGGACATAATAGCATTACCCATGTGTATAATGTCTTCTTCATCACTGTTAATAAATATGACAGGGATGGGAGAGTGGGGGGTGGGGGGGGGGGAGGAGGAAAATAATAGTTAATTCTTCAAAATACTTCGCCAACTGACCACGACAATTTTCTTTCTGAATTCAACTAAACAGTATTGTCTCTATTTACTACCTGGTTATTCTAAATATATAAAAAAGTTTTATATACATCTATGCATCAAAATCGCAGAACTGAACCACCAAAGAGAAATATATCTACTCAGTAGCTCCTTTAAAAAGTCACAAAGGTTAAATTCTAGACTTACCTATCTTTCTGAGCTTCCTCAGGAGGAAGGTCACGGCAGGGATCTTCTGAGATTTGAATAGCTTCCTCCATCACTGCCAGCAAACCGTTTCCCCCCTCACCCCTCAAAGCAGGGCCGAAGCACTCTGGATGCCGAATTAACAACTTCACAACAACATTTGCATTTTCTTCTACACTTTCACCTGAAAAAAAAGGTAAGTTGCATTTCAAATTGAGATATTTAACAAAATTTGACCTGGAGAAAAAGGTCATAAGATATGTCATAATATTAATGATAATATTAATGATAAGAATCCCTGTTAAGATTCAATGCCAAGGCTGATAACTGATGAATGTTCACTTGTGGAAAATACTGGAGAGAAGCCAGTTTATTGTAACTGTATTCCAGAGTGAGTTAGAGGCTTCAGGAAGCACATCAAATGAAGGAGATGGATAGTATCTTAGAGCAGAGAAATGGATAAAGATCTTAATTTACAATTGCTGTGGAGATAATCAATCAGGATGTCAAACTTACCATTAACAAAGACTGCAAATCGCAGGAAAAGTAGATAACGTTCTCCTTCAATTGGATTCCAACCAATATCAGGATAACCCTTCGCCACCAGAATGGGGCAGTTCTGCAGTCCGCAGCCAGCCAAATAGGTTACCACCTTTCAAATGCAAACATAAACATTTTATTATTCCGTCTATCTTAAATACATTAAACTCCTCATAACTGGACTCAGAGGCTCTAGCACTTAAGTCATCATGCTATCAATATCCCGGCTGCACTTATTTATGTACTCATGCATATGCCTAACTTGTCACTGGATAACCCATCACTGAGCAGTTTTCCCTTGGAACAATGAGTTAGCAGTTCACTCTACATTGAAATAACAGTGATGCTTCAATTTCAAAACAATAAATATCATCAAAATTTCACAGTTTCTACTTTACAGAGTGATTCTAAGATACTAACAAGTCAACTATCTGTTGTCAGCATTAGAGAGTGGAATTGCATTTCATAAGATCCTTTTGTCCTCAGTCTTAGTGACCATAACTGAAATTAACTGGGAGCAAAGGCATGTTCCAATCATGAAGTGCAAGTCAGTAGCAACTTACATGAATTAAAAAATATTAATACATTAATGATCTAATGGTCTCAAATCTTATGGGTTGTCATTTTTAATATCTAGGTAGATAATGTCTGTCCTCAAAAGTCTATATTTATAAATTGCAGAAGATAAATGTGACATGGTTTAGTCTATAAATCTGTTCCTGAATATTTTCATTAGTAGAGACTGAGTATACTGCTCTTTGATGCATTACCTTTTCCAAATCAGGTTCCCGCAAATCTAGAGCAAGCTCATTGTTGTCCATTACAGAAGCGGCTGCCACATCGAGAGGGGTAGAACCTCGCATGCTGGGTGATGCTACAAGTAAGGAATAAGAGGATTTCTTGGAATGTGAAGTGCACCACTAACCCCAGACAGAATGAACCAAGCCAGCCTGTAGACATTAACCCAACCTCTTCCTTCCATTTCACTCAAGCACACATATTTGTATTTCAATCATTCATGCAACAGAGGGCAGCCTCACCTTGCTAATAGAGAGGGCTGGGTAACAGATGATAAGTGAGCATAAATAGGACTTTTCAATTGAAATCAATGCAGCAGATATTGAATCTATCATTTAATTTAAATGCTTCAAACGATGGTTCCTTTTTGCATCCATGGTTTTGTGATTACTGTGTTTATCTGGCATGTTTTCTCTGAAATACTTAACCTTAGTATATACATTGACAGACACTAGGTGTATACTGCACCAGAAGCTGAACTCTCACTGTATGACAAGTCAACAAAATGAATGTTAAAGATTTAGAAATTGTCGCACCTTCAGCAACTAGATTGACATTTCAAACAATATCAACCATGACAGAACTGTTTGAACAGATGAAAAAAGTCCAAGTTCTTGCCCACAGTAGAGCTACAATTTACAAGAAATTAGAAGACAGCAGAAACCAGAGCTCCCCTTTACTCCTGACCTATCTGCACAAGGTCAGTCTTGTGATACCTATCTATTCACATGGAACGACCTCATCAGTTAAAATTAAACTAGGTACCCAGTCCAACACTGCTATTTTCCAGCAAGTAACTGAGATGATCAAACATGGCCTTCTGGTTTTGTCGACTGATGCGGCAGAAGTAGCAAAGGAATCGACAACAGCTTGCCACCATTTCAGGGAAAGCAATCTCCTAAATACAGAGATCAAACAGAACAAAAGGCTTGTTTAGTGGAATATATAACTATAAACAGTAAAAGATCTAATACTGCAACAATATGATAAGGCAATATATAAAATGCAAGTGCTAATATTATTATTATCTGTCTTATTTGTGCATGCAAGTGAATTTTCATTGTATAATTGGTGCATGGTCTGAAATGCAAATTGGAAAAAAAAACTTAAAATACGTGACAATAGTGAATAGGCCTCTTGAATTTGGTAATGTAAGCAAGCCTTCACAACTTTATTTCTGCACTGTTTATATGTTGTGCTCATGAAGAATGAAGAGCTTTCCTTCCATGAGGAAATTTTCATGCGTAGGTGGTATACATGTGTGGAACTCTGTCTGGCTTGGTCATTCTTAAGCATGGTGAAAGGTCTCTTCATGCATCAAACTGATCAAAAATAATAGGTCTTTGCGACTTTGAGTTTCCTAGATATAGTTGCACTTGATATATGTTGTGCGTATGAAGAATCAATACCACCAGCTTTTTTGTAGATGGATCTCACTTTTCATTGTCATTCAACTGGATGTAAAGATGGACTTAAATCCACTCGACAAGAATTACCTGTGATTTATTTCCTCCAAGTACATTCACCATGACATCCATGACGGTCTCATGCATGCCCAGCACTCTCATCAAATTTGGATGTTGATAGAATACTTTGTTGTTCATAATATCCCTGACAGAAAAGTAGAATAAAGGAGACTTAAATTAGTCTGTCTGAAGAATTAAGTAAAATTTCTCAACCTGAGCCAATAATACTATTGTCTATTAATACTACTGCATTTCTTGTATCAACAGTCTCTAATGGGAATGTGGAATGCACTTTTTAAAAAGGCAGCTGGAAAATTACTTGAGAATTAAGGAAATTAAGGGATAAATTCACGGCAGAAAAATGGGATGAAAAAGTTTAATCTCCACAAACAAAATGGCAGGGCATCTTAATTAGGTTGAATGGCTTACTTTTTGTTCCTATCTGTCCATTTCTTTGTGCATTAGTAAAACAATATTTGAAAATGCATTCTATCTGAAACAAGACTTCCCTTAAAACTGAGTCATTTCTTACCCTAATCCACGAATCATTAGCATTTCTTCTTCCTTCCCCATCCGCACACTGAGAAGAGATCGAATCTGTCCAAGGGAAACTAGCAGGTTGATGGTATCCTTCACGGAGGCAGCACTAATGGTATATGCTTTTCGCATAGCACTCAGCAGCTCACCCATTGCATCATACTGTCGTCGCAATAGGCTGAACATTGACTTAATTAATTCTGGATCGTGTAGTACTGATTCCTGTGCCCAGTGCACCATTGTCTGTGAGATGAGTTCCATCAGGTTGGCTGCAATAGAGTTTAGAAAAACATTCCACAAATTAAGCACGTACAACATGGCTAACCGCTGTCATTTAAAACCAATAAAATAAGAAGTAGCTTACTATTTGCACTCATTATAGTTCTTGGTCAGGGAGCAACAAGATCCGTTTCTAAAAATATCTCAATACATTACAAGCAATAATTTTCCTGTCTTTCACGCGTTTTATTTTGATCAATTACTTTGTTTTTTTCATCCAAAGCTTTTTACCATCTTGTGGGAAATTAGTGTGAGATCCTGAATGACAGGCTTAAAATTTTAAATCACTTCTCTGGCAAGTGTGGAGGGAGAGGGAACAGAAGTGATAAAGGGAGATGGGACATTAATAACCATCGCTCTTAGTCTTTCAACGGCGATAGGTAAAAAAAAAGTGCAATGCAGCTTGTGAAAAAAGGCTGCTCTGCAGTTATTTTCAAACACAGAGAATACCAGTACCCAAGAAACATGATTTACATGTTGGGACATTAGCAATATTTCTTCTGATGATAGATTCAGTGCGTGGAGGATGTAACTTTGAATATAATTTCTTCAGCTGTTTCTTTAAAAAAGAGTACAATTATTGAGAGAAATATAGGGAGTTATTTAATAATAATCCTTACATTTGATATAGCGCTTTTCACGTCAGGAGGACGTCCCAAAGCGCTTCACAGAATATACTGTAAAGTGAATTGACTGTATATTTGTGGGCGAAACGCGGCAGCCAATTGCGCACAGCAATGTCCCACAAACAGTCATGGATTGAAAATGACCAATTTATTATTGTTTTTGTTTTGGAAGGATTATTATTAGGCGTGTGGAGTAAGGAAACTTGCCCAAGGTTTCGCCCTCTGCCTGGAATTGAACTCAGGTCTCTCGCTTGCAAAGCGAGTGCTCTAACCACTGAGCTACAGGACTCCACATGTTTATGTTGTGTGTGGCAAATTCAAGTGAATTTTGCTGTATACAACCACAATTCATAACAATAATATGTAGTTCCCTTCATATGCCCCCAAATTGACTATGCTCCAAAAGCTATACCTGACAATTCATTCCAGATTCTTATAATCCCTTGGGATCATTTTCCCCACACTTAATAATAAATTAATAATAGATAATAATCAATAGATGCAGAACCTACATAGAATCTTATCAGTGAACTGGAAAGAATAAAAGAAACATTTGCTTATTATACTAGAGATTGCTCTAACTTTCTAATACTGTAGTTTCACATATATACAGTTCCAATATTGCTGTGCAGATGAGTTGCTTGCGAGTTAAATGCATTCAATTCATGATCCAGTTCATGCATTTAAAATCCAGAAACCTTCTTAAAGTCAGATTAAAATAGAAATCAGCAAACAATATTTAAGGAATGTGAGGCTTAAAAATAGCAACTCTTAAAAAGAAAACAATTAGGATACAAATAAAGTGTTGTATTATATTTTACTGGTTTTCAATATTGGTCTGTTGTTAATCTGCTTATTGCTCTATGCAATGCCAATTGAAGGGATGCAGTTGTACAATCCAACATAAATAAGGTTAGAATTTACATTCCACAGGTTTAACATTTGCTGTGTTACTATTCATTCAGAGGTCTCTCTCAAAATATTACTGCTGCCAATAAATCAACACACAATTGCATTTTTGTACGGATTCCCACATTCTGCATTGAGGGCCACACCATAGTAATTGAAGCACAAACAGTTTAGTTATCTCTGGCAGTAATCTGCAGACATTAACAGGTGGTACCCAATGCCTCAGTCATAAACATGTAACTATTTTTTACTTCAAAATGCCTTGGTTATTGTAATTTGACCCTTGGCAAATCTTTATAACTGGAATGGAACCCCAGCTGTGCGTTTAAACATTGACTGATCTACTGCAGAAAGAATAAGATAAATTATCTTCCCAGATGCCTTTATTTAATTCCATTTCAGAAAGCTTTGACTTAACAGTGTGAGACTCGGAGTTGAACTTTAGGTTTTATGTTAAATAAATTTATTTATAACAAAGTTTAGGAAGCACCATTGAAGCCAACATCACTGCAAGCAATTTTTGGCTCTTCATATGGTGCAAGCCTTTTAAGTCAATCCATGTTATTTATGATCCTTCATGATCAAGCTGTTGAGTGTTTTATAACACACTGAATAAAGTGTCTGAGATCTTGATTTCTCAAGTTCTTCAATAAAATCATTATGTTTTAAATTATTTTTATCCGCACTGTTAAATTGAATGTGACAACTTTAATAGCAGTGTAAATCACTAGACTTTGAGTGTGAACTGTGAGTGGTGCATATTTTTTACTTGACTAACCTGATTGTGCTTTAATAACAAACTGCACATCCAGAACTCCAGCTCATCCAGAACCCTGCAGCCATTCTCCTTTCCCACACAAGACCCTTGAGAGCTCACCACTTCCCATCTTCATCAGGCTCCATTGACTCCCTATTCCGCAAAGGATCAAATTCAAGATCCTCATTCTACCTTTCAAGTGTCTCTACACTCTTATCTCACCTACTCTGGATTTCCTGCAGTTCCATTTGCCTGCCTGTTCCCAAAGTTCTGCCAACCCTGCCCTGCTGAATAACCCCACTTTGCATCCTCCCTTTCCGCTTGCAAAACCCTTCTAAACATCTACCTTTTGACCTCCCCTTCAATCACCTTCAACCTATTGCCCCACACATGCCACTCCGTGTCTCTGTGAAGCACTCTGAAATGGTATCATAAATGAAAGATCCTCTGTACGTGCAGGTGATTGATGTTGGTTTCAGAGGTGTCAATAATTTCACTTTTTCCATTTTTCAAGTAATAATTGTGGGCACTTACTGGGGGCTTTTTCTTCCTCTTCAGTTGGTTGCTCGTCCATTTTCTTTGGCTTCCCTTTGATTTTATGCACTAGATAAAGGAGTTTCCCCATCACTGATTCATCTTTTTCTTCTTCCTCCTCTTCTTCACTTGGAATCCCTAAAGACAAAGGGAACAGATGTATACAACAATAACTTACACTTATATAGTACCCCCCATGCAGTGTAGCATCTCAGAGCACTTGTAGAACACAGCATATCTAGTTGACATTCAGAAATATAACAAGACTGGAACAGGAGCGGTATTATTCCCATCGAGCCTTTTCCACTAGTTTATTAAATTTGGAAGATCTTTTAGTCCCAATACTCTGCCCTTTTGCAAAACCTTTTTATACCTCTTCTACCCAAGTATGTCTATCTCTCTTTTAAACACCCTATTGTTTCTTCTCTGCAGCTTTCCGGTAATTTTTTTGGTTTGTTTTTCGTCAGCCGGATGTCTGACACATGTGGAAACCCATCACAATGAACAGGAGCTGAGTGGGATGACTATCTGCCCCAGTGGCAAGGTCTGCCCTTCCAGGTCCTGCCGATTAGCCAAGCTGGCTGTGTTGTCATCAGCAGTGCCCTGGAGTACTGCGGACCTGCTTGGCTCAGCAACCAGACTACCGAGAAGGCCACAGAGAGTTGGCTTGATTCCAACATTCCATTCCAGGCATGTCACCTTGGAGCCAGTTCAGCTCCAAAAAGACCTCTCCCCCCTCCCTCCAAGCAGGATAGAATAGGGAGCATTCCATATCTTCATGAACACTTCTGCGAAGAAATGCTTCCTGAACTCATTTGTAACTGTCTTGGTTTCGAATTTAAGACCATGGCCCCTTGTAATGAATTCCTCTACCAAAGGGAACATTTGTTGATTATTTGACCCGTCAATTCCTTTCAACACTTTTATCAAAAATGTAACCGCTGTCTCCTCAGCTTCTCATTATTTTAAGCCCTTCAACCCAGGTTTTAATCTAGCAAACCATCGCTGGACAACCTCCAAGACTAGTATATCCTTCATAAAATAAACTATCAATTCCTGAATAGCAGAAAGTGTAGAACTCAGGGAAGATTGACAGGGTCCTAGCCCAAGTGCCACAATTTTGATTCTAAATTCTAAATTGCTATCTAACCAGATAACAGTGTTATCGACATTCTGCTGGTTAAGTGGGGTCAATGATTTTAGGATACAGAAAAGGTGATGCATTGCAAGCTGCTTTTTTAATGAACAAAATCCATATTTTTCCTTCACAAACAAAGTTGGTTCACCTCTGAAATACTGTCTCTTTTACTTTCTTTCATTCACAGCATACCTGTAAGTGTGACTGATAGCTGTGATAAACATGAGCTGTACAGCAATGGGTGTGATTTATTTGGCACCTTCTATCTTGTGTGCTGTTGCATTGATTAGCTCTGCAGCATGGCTGTGTAAATGACACCACCTTGTGCAATTGGTTGCCACATTCCCCTACAAAATACACGGTGTTTACACTTTACAGTATATCCTGTGAAGCACTCTGAGACATCCTCCCAATGTGAAAGGCATTGTCAATGCAAGGATCGTTATTAGATTATGACGAGATTATTTTTGTACATGGAATATTTTGACCTGTAATTCCTTTCAAAAGGTTTCTAGTAGTAGACTTCCGGTTATGGGTACCAGAGGAGTGGGAATATTTTGTTAATATAGAATATAGAGCTCAACAGTACAGATTCCCTTTTACCACTAAAATGTAATATTATGTTGCCTCAGAGATGCGCCTGGAACAGAGGATTTGACATTTAAAATCTCCAAATATATTCTTGGTCTTACAGGATGCAAGAGAAGAGAACTCGACTCTGTTCTCACTTAGGATATGGCGTGCCTCATCTGCCTGAATAACACCAGCTATTATGAGCACAGACACAGGTTGCAAATTGGGATGCCTCTTGACCTATGCTCTTTGCAAGTGCCAGGGCTCCAGTGTCGTTCCCTTGGTGAACTCAAGGTCACACCACTTGACAAAATCAATGCTGCATCTCACACAATTGGGGATCACCCTGATTACCCAAGTGAAGAGGATCCTGGCTTATTAGTCAACCTCATTAAAGTTTGTGAGGACACAAATACAACTTGCTCTCTTCCAACTAAATACTTTGATTTTTTTACTATGACAAGGGTAATGCTAATCTCACTCTATAAATAACTGTCATATTTTGGCTTAACTCAGAGGAGATGAAATTTTACACCCTGAAATGGTTCATCTGCAAGAGTTTAACTGCTCACCACAGTGCGTTAGAAGGTCATCATGGAGGTCGTACAACTCTTCACGCATCTCATCGGGGCAGGTGGAATCATCATCGTTCCTAAAGTTCAGCAGCATATTAATCTGCAAGAGTAGACGGCAACCAGAGTTAAGTCCTTTTCGTGTGGATTAATTAAAAAAAATCATATGCAGAAAAAAAACTTCCCACTTTGCAATATTGACAAGTTATTCACATTGTGCTGTGGTATGAGATGGCCTTAGGAAAAAAAAAGCCTATTTTTATAACTATAAACTCCTCACCTTTGGTAACTATAAACTATAACCATAAATATAAACTCCATCCCACTCAGCCCCAACATACTATAGAGTGCAATAAAGAAACAAAGGACTTGAATTCTCTGGTCAACCAATTTCCTTACCAACACCAAACATGACAGAAAGTGGAACGATTTTACAGCTGGTACTTTTCAGTGCTTCAAGCTTAAATCTGTGGCTACAGAGAATCTACAGACAGAGTACCTGTCATTTGTGGTCCACCTACAGCAAAAGAGACATCACCTGTTCTTGAGGAGGTGAGCGAAACTCTCTAGTCTTCTTGGCAGTGAGGGCTGCTGACATGTCGAACGCCAGCATAAGTTCATCGTAACGGAATTTCTGGTTTTTCTGCAACTTTGCAACAAACGTGTCTGCGAAAGAAACAATGGCTTCAACCCGATGTCGTAGTTCACAGTCACAGAAGTAGTGCAGGAGTTCACACATCTGAAACCAGAACAGAAACACTCAAAACATTGTACGGATAATTTGAGCACCCAGTTACTGTACAATGCTTTCTTTCCAACAAATGAATAGCAATAGAGAAATCATACTCCAAAATGGTTTTCAGATGATCAGATACTTTTGCCATAACTGCAGTTTTTAAGTAACAGAAGCCACTCGTTCTTACTGCACTTCCTCAAGAAGCTGGTTTCTGGATCAATGTGGAAACTTTAGAGACTGAAAGCACTGCTTAATGTTTTGGGGTCCTAGAAAGAAGAGGTTTTATACAGAAGAAATAGTGGCAGAATAGAAAAGGCCCATCAAACTAGACACACAAAATTGCTTGTGTGCTGTGTTTTTGAAAAACCTGAATATTGTTTCTGAGGATACATCCAAATAATTATCAATTTACAACTGTAAATTCTGACTATAACGAATATTACACCAAAGGTGTTAGAATCACATTTGAATACAAAATACAGATTTATTACGTTTTACAGTATATCCTACGAAGAGCTTTGAGATGTCTCCTGAGGTGAAAGGTGTTCTATCAAATGTAAAGGTTATTATTATAATAATTACTGCCTAAACTGCCACAAGGCAGAGGAAATTATAATCAACTGAACATTCCTTCTACGGTCCATACCTGATACTTGACTGACTCTGGTAACGTCTTTTCCAATAATCCTTTTAAGGGCGTCTGAGCTGCTTGCGTTGCTTCCTCACCAGCCTCCACAGCCTTTTCTTCGTTCTTGGTGACCAGCTCCTTTGCCGTTTTCTCCTCCTCTATCACCTCCTCTTTGGGCTCACCAAACACATCGGAATCAATCAAAAGCAAGATCCGTTGGACATCATTGTTGTCAAGTGCACCAATGATGAGCAGAGTCTTAACCAGCTTGAGAATAGGAACAAAATGAAATTCTACGCTTCCACCAACAGGGTCTCGGATGTAATGCCCACCGCCAGTCACTGCTTCTGTCAGCATCTCAATGGCTTTGAACTTAAGAACATTGAGTGGGATCTCTGGGCTGTACAAATGGGTGTCTTCACTGTTGCTTACGAAATAAGGTGTTGAGAAGTTCATTCGAGGTCTTAAACAAGTGCTGGTGCCAACCCCAGGAAGTCCATAGGCCCGGTTCTTTTCTGGATATAACTTTATGCTCCTGGTTTCGGCGGTTACTGGAATGATGAACTCATTGTTCATAATCAATCTGGCTTGTTTTGCTGATTGTAAGTGAATACTGATAAGTAGGTCATAGAATCCACTGCGTAAAAGCCCTGGTAGATATTTATTTTCAATTGTGTAAAGCAGTTGAGCTTGGTTAACGTGGCTGCACAGTGCATGGGCTACACGATTATTTCCCAAAGCACAGAGAGCACAGTAGAGCTTCAATGTATGGTAGTGGAACTTGATGAGTTCTTTATGTTCAGATAGCTCCAAGATATCCAAGCACCTGAAAATGTAAAAGCAACAAGAGTTATGGGGCTAGTAGATACATGGAAACACGAGACGTGTGAAGTCTAGACCAAAGCGATAATATACAACTCAACTCTGCCCTGGTAGATACTGGGGTTCTAGCTATTTAATCTGAGATCAGAACAACCTACACACCGATAGTCAATATAGGTAAACTGGTTTGGAAAACTCATACAACTGGAGTTGTTCTTCTGATACTGGATTTAAAGATCAGAACCGAACCATATGATGACATTTCTGCATTCTAATATTTTATAGGAATTTGAATTTATAAGTATACCCTGTTTTAGAAGAAGTTTTTTTCTTGAACAAAGTTTTTCTAAATGCATCATATCTCATTTTCACTTGCAGTCACACAACTGAAAAGGGTTTATTTGAAAGTATCAGAACTCTTTAGCACCATTTGATTTATTCATGTAAGAAGACATAACCTGAACCGAAACATCTGTAAGTATATATCTACATGTTTATTTTTTTAAAAAAAGGGTTACATGTATATTAACAGCAACTGCTTAATGACCCCACTATAAAGTGACTTTTAAATTGTTCGTCTTCCCCCACCACCCCCCACCCCAACCTGGAAGCATTTTATTTAACCTGCATTACACATTTAAACAAGAAATAAATATCAACCATGGTAAAAATATGCAGACAAACAACATAAACACAAATAGCAATTTAAGGAGTGCTGACCTATTCTCTTCAGGGATATGTACTGCCATCATTTGCAATGGGTCTAGACTTTGCACTACCCAGCCGTGTCGATCACTAATCCGTGCTGTCTCCACATTGAGAAATTCATTGGGCATTCTACTCCAGAGAACCGGTGTGATCATTTGCACAACAAGCCGAGGAGGGCACTGTGGGATAGGATTCCTTTCTTCACTTTTAAACATCGCTGCAGACAGAGGCATAGTATTCTGCACCAGAAAACAGATCATATGAAACCGTTCAATACACAGCAAGACCGAAGTGAATATAACCATTAAAACCCTTAATAATAATAATAATGTTTGCCATTTCCTTTGACTATTTGTAAGAACTGCAACACAAAGAGGAAAAGAGAAACAGAAAAAAAAAAGGGACAAACATAACTTAAATGAAGTTATAGATGGAGTCTTCATTAAGAGCTGGATGTAATCGATTTTACAAGCGCAGGTTATAAAATTTGGGGCTGGACTTAAAAGAATTTACGGAAAAACAGCTGCAGAATTAGGCCGTATTTAAGAAATTGCAAATTCTGGATGCTCTTAAATGCTGCATAAATATAATAAATCTGGACCCAGGTGCAATTTCTCCCCGCATCAGACTGCAAATTTCGGCATGCAAGTCTCTTGAGCCAGCTAGCAGGAAATGTGCGAGAGCATCTGTGGTGAATTACTGTCAGATTGTCTCTCTCTCTCTTGCCTTATCAAGTGTAGGAGGCAGTACTTTCAGAATAAAGTATCATGGCCTCATCGATAGAATTTCAAAAAGGTTACCATTTCTTATGAAGAAATGAACGTGGTTAGTTTTGATAATTCATTTCCACGCTTCCTATTGTTGACACAAAAAGTTTGTCCCTTTTCGCACTTGGGAGACAGAGGCATCATATAGAATGGCTCCGTTGGCAATACTTCGGACTGAACTGAATACTTATGCAAAATTGCTCAAGTTAAGGAACGCTGCTGCTAACTTGGGGAAGGTAAAAGCCTCAATTCCCTACATGGCAAATTACTGTGAAAGTCTGACAACAATTCACTACAGCTGCTCTCAAACATTTCATGCTCGTTGGCTCAAAAGCAGAGCAAGAAGGAATGGTGTATTGTATTGTATTTCCTTAATGCTTCCACCATTCCTTCTTGCTCAGACAATGGTGAGTAGCTCAAGAAAATCTCCTCATTGCTAGATTCTTCTATTTGCAGAAATAGGGGCAGTTTTATGCAACCCGGCACAGCCCTTTAAACACAAGTACCTTCAATTTTCCAAGTTCAAACTGGAACATATTTGAACTCGTAGCTTGCATAAAGACTGCTGGAAATAACTTTGTGCTTGGCTCAACCTGAAATAAATAAGTCCCTGGTTAAAAAAAAATTGCTTTCTGTATAAACCGTAAACACACTCATTACTTGTTTAACTTTAAAAATAATTAAATTTTTTTTTGGGGTGGGGGAGAGAAAGGAGATATGCTGGGAGCTATAGTGAAGTTTGTCCTTTCACCTCCAAAACCTTGTTTTGGCTCAAGTGAAAGTTGACAGCTGTAAACGATCCTAAGTGAAAAGTCATCTGATTATCACAGCCGAGGTCCTACTGAGCATGACTCCATAGTGATAAACTCTCACAATTTTGCACTAATGAAGCAATCTTCCTCAGGATGACTAGATGGGAAATGGAAATCTCATTACCGGTGCACTAGGAAGTGCCCATTCGAGGCTGGATTAAGACACATTACTGCAGCAGAGAAGAGTTCTTCTAATATTTGTTTACATTACAGAGCTGCTTTTTAAAGCAAATGTGTATTATCAAGTGTTTTGTCATTTAGATAAACCCAAGTACAGCATTAATATTTATGGTGTATACAATAGATCCATAGTATAGAAATTTAAGGAAATAATACAAACGCAAGAAACACTTGTAATACTGTATCATCTATGATCAAAGTACTTATGAAAAGGTGTAGAAACAAAAAGGTTTACAGCAAGACAGTCAATTGTAATGGATAAAAATCAAAGATCAATGTGAATTAGCAAAAAAAGCGAAATCTGACATCAATGGAAATGAACTCAGACTAAGTCTAAACGCATCATTCAAGTTATTATTAAAATTATGAAGGGGATTAAGTGGGCACATTGCACTGGAGCTGTAACAAGTCGTGTCACGGTTTGGCAGGGGACCAGCTCATGATTGTAATTACTCACAATGTCCAAAGCACGCCAAATGCAGGGATACCAAATGCCAGTAATTTCCGATACAGCAGGTGTGATAATCGGTTACTGTTATGCAGTTCCTAGACATCAGTTAAAGAACATCAGCAGAGGGCTGGTTATAGGACTTGAGCCTGTCCTCTCAATTGGGGGAAGATATGGCACAGAAAATATATTTTTTTGGCTGTTGTGTTTCACCCTCAAATACACAGCCAATCCACTTTACAATACATTCTGTGAAACGCTTTGAGGTGTCTCAATGACGTAATACATGCTGTATCAAATGTGAGGATTATTATTATTTACCTGATAGGAAGTATTAACATTGCGTCCATTTGCTGTGAATGTTAACAAGCCGGTCGAGACATCAATGAGACAACCAACTTCAAGGTCAACACTACTGCGGCCTGATCGTTGTGAGCCGCTGACCAAATCTCCTGCCCAAATCATGTAACAATTACTGCGCTTGATGCTGTGAATGACCATAGATGAGAGAAACAGATCTTAGCATCTCATAATATTCTAACTTCTGAACAGTTGGAGGTAATTAATAAGACACTTCGAGCTATACAGTTCCACAGCGTTTTCATTGCAATAAAAACATTGGGAAAATCACATAGATCAGCTACAACTTTGAGTCCCATTCGTGAAGAATGCATTTCGTGCTCAATTCATACACCAGACACCATCCATTGTCTTTTCTTCTTCATGTCCGCGCCACAACTGGCATCGCCTTCCATCACCTCTGAAACATCGCCAGACTACGGCACTACCTCAGCCCTCACGCTGCTGAAACACTGGTCCACGCCTTTATCACCTCAAGGCTGGACTATGGGAATTCTCTCTTCGCTGGCCTTCCCGGCATCTCCTTCCACAAGCTGCAGGTCATTCAGAACTCTGCAGCTCGTGTACTGTCCCGCACCAGGCTTCGCGACCACATCACTCCCACCCTCGCTCGCCTCCACTGGCTTCCCATTCCCCAGAGGATCGAATTCAAGATCCTCATCCTCACCTACAAGGCCATTCACGGCCTTGCTCCCTCCTACCTCTCCGACCTACTATCCCCCTACTTACCCTCCCGTACCCTCCGTTCCTCTGGCTCCGGTCTGCTCCACGTCCCCCGCCCCAACCGCCCTACCATTGGTGGTCGGGCCTTCAGCCTCTCAGCCCCTAGGCTCTGGAACTCCATCCCCCAGTGCCTTCGCCTTCCCTCCTCCCTTTCCTCCTTCAAGGCCGGTCTCAAGACCTTTCTCTTTGACCGAGCCTTCAACTCCCCTCTCGACTCTCTACCCCCTCCGCGCTCCCTCCTTTCCCTCCCCTCACCCTGACCATTTCCCCCCTGCTTGGGTCCTGACCCAACTGTCCAGCGCCTTGGGACGTCCTCCCGACGTGAAAGGTGCTCTATAAATAAAACCTTGTTGTTGTAGCACTTGACTTGTCCTGGATCACAAATCATTAACGCCCTCTTGTGGAAAAGAAACAAATCTTTTCACAAATTTTGTTCCAATATTTGCCAAGATTTTTTGTTTTTAACTTATGTGTTGAACATAGGAAATATACAGGACTGGAAAAGACCATTGTTCTCCAAATACTAATTTAATTCTTTAGTTTGGCCTTATAGTACTGAAAATTAATTATTTTCCTCATTTCCTCCTCCCCATTTCCTTCTGATACAAAGGACTTCTGTTGGGTAGGGTTCCATTGGTCATCTTGCCTCCCTCCCTTCCTAATCAGACACACTAAAGTCAATTGTAGTATCCCCACCAGCTGAAATTAACTTGTTTAGTACCAGACAAGAGAATAGCAAACCTTCTAACTCTCAGTGTCTTGGCTTTGATATGAACAATGGTCTTTTATGAATGGAACTGGTGGGTGGTTGGCACCTGTTGAGCCGTACCCTATCTTGAATTCAAGACACCTTAGGGCAAGGAATGGTCGTGGTAGGAGGTGTTTTGCTATACCAACAAGTAAGAAATACATTACAATAGTCTCTCAAATTATTTTCCCTACCTTTCATGGACTCGTCCTTTCTCATCACCCAGTGTAATGGTGACTGTCCGATGTTTAGTTAAGTCAAACGTTTTACTGTAGTAATGGTAGTCTGGCGTTACCCAACCAACCCATGCATAAGATGGATCTTGACCAGCAAATATCTTCACTGAGTAATAATACTGCACAGAAAGAAAGAATGAACATTGATAAAAGGGGTTGGAAGATCTGACCTACAAACATCAACACCACTTCCTACTCTCTGGAATTGATTCCCCCCACTCCCACCTAACACATTAACAAAGATTCACAAGCAGGATTCAGGAACAGGGTCAGGACGATGGAATCTTTTTGAAACCCAAAATTGAGTGTGTGTGATAGTTCTTTTTGGAAGAGTGGTCAAACGGTCAAGCAGGACAAATGGTTGAACACTTGCATGCCAGTGGAGCGGAGGCCTTGCAGCAGACTTTGGTGAGGAGGAAGGGAAGGGACCACAGACGATCACAGAGGTAGCGTGGTCACATACACAGAGATTTTGTCTAATAACAAGAATGAAGATCTTGGAGTCAATCGTCTAGGGAATAGGGAGCCACATATGGAGATATAATGATTGCTATATTTCCATTGCTTTACATTACCGTTGTTATTTTGGGGTCATCTCTGCCTCCAGGCAGGCCACCATCCAGCCGGGCACCCCTAAGGAGTATAAGAATTAAAAGTTTTTTCACAGGCTGGAATTCTGATTGTGCACCTTTTATATCATGAAAATCCATATCATACTCTGAGCTTAGACGGATGGATTCTTCTTTGCATTTGATAGCTCAGTGACAATTGAAGTCTAAAAATCTGCTGTCCCTAATGTAGTATAAATCAAAATATCCTGATAACTTGTTTCAATTAAAGACATCGCAAACAGTACTTGGGAGTATTTTACCCCGGTTGATCGAATAAATTAAAAGACTGAGGTTCTGATTACCAGATACCAGGAAATCTTAAAGTTCATATAACACACAAAACAATACAACTGAGTTGAACTCACCTTAGTTTCGTTTTTCCTGATATTGAATCCTTATCGAGAATTTCCTCCTCATGAGCCACATGTGGAATGGCATTACGCTTAAACACTGACTGAAACTCAATAGGCATACTCAAGCGGAAGTATGCCAATTCAATAATGCAGTTCTGGGTGCCGATGGTTTTGTGGGTGATCTTTACACAGGGTGGACTATCGATGGTACCATCAATCCTGGTTATCTATAAATTAGATTCTAACTTTAATTACATTTATTCACATCTCAATAATGTTATACAAAATTTTACATCAGTGTTCAGTGGAAATACTATACATGTAATAAATATCTCTAATACTGCTTCAGTCATTCTTCTTTGGTTTCATTTTCCTGAGTTTTGGCAAAGCTCGTACAGTACGGGGAATTATTCTTCCTATTTCTATGATTTAGTTATGTTCAGGCAATCCAGTTTCTCACAAGAATGATGGATGTGATAAAAGCATTCATTCAGACGAGGTGACTAAAGATTGTCGGTGCAGAATATAATTTATATTCATGAAGGCAATAGTTTGGAGTGGGCACGTGGGCACGTTTAATAACCTTAAGTCATGCTCTGTTTTTCCTATTTCATGGCATAGTGCTACAAGTTATATTTGGGGGAGGGAAAAAACAATCAGATTTGAGTCATGCTCTAAAACATCTACTTAGAAGAATCCCACAGCGAGGGATGATAAATGACCATAATCTGTGTTGCTAAAATATTTCACAATTTTCCATCTACAGTTCTACAAATAGGAATCACGAATACGTGGATGAACATCTCTTGTAGGATCTTCTGTAGGGAGGTAATCTACTTCAGGAGCAGGAAAACTAGTTGCTGGACTCAGAGCCCCTTCAGAAAAAGTTTAAGGCATCTTGAGGGAGTTCTGAAAGTCATCAAACCAGAGAATTATAGTTAATTTCACAATGTTGTACTGTGAAGGCTGAAGGAAGAATGAGCGAGTCCACCAATTGCAATCCAATATTATATTGTGAAAGGTGTGCCAGTGTGATGCCACCACGCCAGTATGCATTCAGCAGTTACAACATTCACCGAATATAATAGGTATAATATGCTTTAGTTTCCAGACCAGGGTGTTCTACATTTGACCTCATTATTTAATATAAGTTAACTCACTATAAGGCGCATATGCTTGCAGACTTAATATTATTCAGATTATTATTTCTGCCCTAAAAATAGAAAAAAAGAGAACAATAGAGTAAAATAACCTCCCAATACTACTCATTGTATATATATATATATATCCAAAAAAATGAGTGTGCACAAAACAAGGAGTTTAAAATTGCTGTTGCAGTACGGTTAAATAATTCAGAATAAACATAGTTGGATAAAATCACTATCGTACCTCAATGTGTTTATGGTATTTTTCCAGAGAATGAAATTGAGGCAGACGCTTGCTGAACCACATAGCTACATCACGGTTCATATTTACTGCATAAGGCTCGAAACCCTCTTGTAAACCACACATTGTGTAGTATTTGAAAGTATTCGCATCCTTTCCAAAATTCATTCGACCTATCTGAGATAGGCCCAGACAGCAAATTGGGGTAAAACCTTGTGGTTGTGGCAGAAAGAGGGAGGAAACAAAGAAATATAATTGATATACTTGTCTGCTGGTGTGTCACGTGCCAATCTGTGACTTGATGTCACAGTAATATTGGCAAATTGTTATACAAAACCTATATTGTGCCGCCTGATTTGTTATGCAAAGATGGTGTGCTAATTGTTAATCCAGATGCATTAATATAACGGGTTTAAAAATAAAGGCTTTTGACATGCACATAATATTTTCATCTCCAGGGCACTGCCCTCACATTGGAGAGGAAAAAAAGTCATCTACAATCCAGTGAAAAAAAATCACTGAAAACAACAGGATTTATTAACTACCTTGCCTAATGTATGTGAAGAATAACATGAAAACACAGGTTACCTTTACTTAGTCTGTTTTGATTCCCATTGATGAAACAATACAGATTGCAATGACATCCCAGTATTTTTGTCTCCAGATTCACTTTAGGATGATTACCTTGTGAGACCTTATAATAATCCTAGCATTTGATATAGCGTTTTATCACTTCTTCAAGACATCTCAAAGAACTTCACAGAATATATTGTGAAGTAAATTGACTGTATATTTTGTGAACAACATATGACTTTACTTCAGAATTCACGCAATTATTTATTTGACATTGCTAAAACTGTTTGAGGCACCCGTAAAACATGAATGATGGAAATTGACTTTTAGGTCAGGCGACTAGTCAGTCACTAATCTGACACTTGTACCAATTTAATTTGGTGACATTATTAAGAAATAACAAAATAAACCTACCGTCTTCTGTCTCAAAATCTGTAAAAGCGAGTTCTGAGCCACTGTTAGTGATGAGTAGTTCTCCATTCAGAGTAAAAACCATTGATTTATCATCCATATCAATCATGCAGCCAACCACATCACCAGGTTGCCAGGTACGACCAAAGTAAACGCTACCCTGATGCCAGCATTGAGCCTGGAGGAGAAGAGTGGAACACAATTATTTTCATTGACTTATTTTTGCTCCATTCATGTACAAGATGCACCCAATCATCTATGAAGAACTACTGGGAAGAAATTCCACCCAGGTCTAGATTTCCTTCTTTGCAGCATTTTAGAGCGTGCAGAATTGTTGAATTTAGCCTTAGCTTTGCAGTTGTTTTTCTCTAGTTCTTAAAAGAACTCCCCAGTCTGTTGCTAATCTGTAATATTGCCAGCAATTGGGTGCCCAAAATTCATTACAGTAATTCCTGTAACATCAAAACGTACTCAATAAATCACCCCAAAAAAGGCTTACAATTTGCAATGATAATAATAATAGAATCTTTGACATTCCTGTCTGGAATCTCAATTTCTGAAACCCATCCAGTCAATATGTTTTTCGTACAACAAGAGAAGTCATTAAGCAGTCATGACTGAAAATTTGTACAGTAAGTCAGAACTAGACCAGAGATTTTAGAAGTGAAATCTCACTGTGTTAAAATTATGCGTAAAACTGTCCTTTGCTCCTGTGCAGAGAAATTTTTAACAAGTTTTCTATTTTTCTAATGCCTAGCAAAGGGTTTTTAAGGGTTAAATCTGTGCGAATTTTAAATAGATGTGTTTGTGAGAGCATTCATGACGGTGTAGCAGTATCCTATGCAGGACTGTTTTGATGTGTTAGAGGTGGAAAGGTCATCTAATTAATTGGAACATTGATCATTAAACGACACATAAAACACAGGTCAGTTCAATCTTTGCACAGGTAGCGATATCTATCTGTCCTCAAATTGAGTGAGGACTAAAGTTTGTCAAGAGTTCAGTACAAGAATTGGTGGGAGGGGTGTTTAGCTGAGAAAATCCATATAACTGGTGTATAGGATAGACAGGAGCCATTAACATCAACGACTGGAATTTTAGAAAGAGAGGAACAACTGCACATCATTAAAGGTGCAGATGGATGGATATCATGAGTCCCGGGGAACCCAGACATGTGAACACCAACTGTTAGACTTCCCATGTTTCATGCAACATAAGCAAATGCCAACGTTTCATCACTGAAAACCAGCAGCTGCCTGTGTCGATGACTTTACGTTATTGGACACCTGAGATGAGCTTGGTACAAATGCTGCTTCTGCATTCAGACACAAAGTGTTGGGAAAGGCATTATGTCTTCTGATACACTCATGTTGGGGAGGGGGTTTACCTTGTACCTGTACCAGAGATACTGGTGACAAATTGCCACTGTGGCTATGACATATGCAGGGGGACAATACATTAATTCTGGACGATAGGGTGATGAACACTTATTGCAGGAGGAGTGAGAGAGAGGTGGTAGGAGGACCTGATACACAATTTTAGCAGTGATTTTGGTGCAGAGAGGAGCAAAGGAAACTCTGGGGTGATTTAGTTTCAGTGGCTTTTTCATGGCAGATCCCTGCAAAAAAGGTCATCGAAAGAGGACACAAAGAAATTCCATTCTCTTTTCCAATAGTGCCATATTTTACTGACATTGATTATAAAGGACAGCTCTGCAAACAAAAAGCCACTTGCTAGATCTCTAAAGGTCAGAATGGACTGCTCTATTATTAATATAGAGCACTTTAATATTAAGCAAGCTTTGGAATTCCTTATCTGACAGCAGAACTGATATGTGACAAAACCTATCAGTGGACAAAAATTCTGTTGAGTGTTATGCTCGTTGCCTATAAAATGTCCCCGTCATAATCTATAGTACTAAAGGCATTGTTCATAATTCTCACAGAATGTTTTCCCCACAAATTCTTTTGTCATGGCTATATTTTTTGTATTTAGAAATTGAACCAAACATCAGTCTCTTTCGACAACCTGACCTGTGCAATCAGTGCTGTTGGGAACACCAGTCACAAACCTTGTGGCCATCAAAGACAAAGGCGTGCCTGTCAGCACCTAATTCTACATTAGGACTGCACTCTGGTCTTGCCCAGCCGACACGCATTTCTCCTGCCGTCACTGCCTCAAACTCAAAGTACCACTTCCCTGTCTTGACCGCGTAGAATGTTTCCACTCGGAAGAAGCGGATCTTATCGAGGCTGAGTTTTTCCACCTTATCAGCAGCTAGAAAAATGTACAAAGAAAATGTAAAACAGTTGACAAAATCACAAGAGTACTAGGTCACTGATGTGGTTGATATATCCTAACTTTAATAAAGCAAATATATTCACTGTATGTACGTATTTCACTTATGAAATACACACTCATTACTATTTGCAATAAATCCTGTGAAGCGCTTTGAGACATCCTCTCAACATGAAAGGCATTATATTAAATGTAAAGATTGTTACTACTGTGAACACAGCAATTTTCTTACTGGTGGCTCTCTTTTGTCCCAAAACAGCAATAAGATTGATGAAGTTGGTGATTTCTGAATAATGGCAAAACATTGGTGAGTTGCTCCCCCTACTATTCCACTCCCACTGTGTATGCTACTGGAAGCCAGTGCCAGCACTCACACTCCATTTTATTAAGGACATCTTTGCTTAATTTTACCCAAGTGAGCATGGAGAACAAGATGCAATTTAGTTTACAAATACTACTCACCTGTCTCCTGGTCTGATGGTTCAATGTTGTAACCGTAGCCAATTAAAGTGCGAATCGCTTCACGCAAACTGTCTCTGTTTGACTTTTTAGTTCGTTCATCGAGAAGGCTGTATGGCACCAGTCGTGGATTCCTTCTGTTTTTAATATCCTAAAGACAGTAACAGGTAATATCAGTAAACAGATCCTATTCAAGTGTTCTTATTTACTTGCACCCATTATAAATTTCTAGGGTTATCAGCATTTAATTCCAACTGAAAGTTATGATAATCTGTAACGCACTTATTCAACGACTTAAACAAATATGTATACAAAGCCTGGCACTGACTAGGAGATCTGCAGTTCTCACAAAAGTTTATTGTCAGTGTTTGCAAACCTCCGAAGAAGTTACTATTTGTTTTAGGCCAATGGAAACATTTGCTAGCATATAATAATAATAATCCTTGCATTTGCCGTAGCGTCTTCTCGACGTCTCAAAGCGCTTCACAGAATATACTATAAAGTGAATTGACTGTATACTTGTGGGCGAAACGCGGCAGCCAATTGCGCACAGCAGTGTCCCACAAACAGTCGTGGATTGAAGTGATCAATTTATTATTTTTTTTCTTGAGGGATTATTATCAGGCGTGTGAAGTAAGGAAACTTGCCCAAGGTTTCGCCCTGCTGGGAATCGAACCCAAGTCTGTCGCTTGCAAGGCGAGTGCTCTAAACACTGAGCTACAGGACTCCACAATGAGAGGTCTGTAAACAGTTTATATTAATTAGGTTCCACTATTGTCCTTGCGATTAACCTAATGTGCAGTGGCATTCGATAGTACACTAGTCTGGGCTGATGATACTGAAAGATGGTTACATGACAATCAGCTTTGAATACATAAATATCAAGGATGGATGCTCCATTATTTTAATTATGATAATATTTGGGGGTCCAAAATTATACATAATATCTATCCCAGAATCCCAGCCATGTGAGACTACAGTGGAATGATACATATTTATTACCGCTGAATTGATTTCTTAATAAATCTAGATTGTTTTCCAACTGAAGTTACTTAATGTAGAATTCTAATACAGTAACATCAAGTTATGCTGCACATGGCAAATGTTAAGATTGAGTAGTTTGTGATCTTATGTCGATCAGTTTACATCTCCTGTGTAACCAGTTATATTTACCTGCTGGATGCCATAAGTCCAACCTTGTCTGATCCTATCTTTAGCCCATACATTATGTGCATTTTCAGCCAGTTTATCAACCAGAACGTCTTGGGTAGAGAGAAGCTTGACGTCCGAAAGGTCCAGCGGAGCAGGCTTATAACCATTTTGCATCATATAACTAAAATTCAACAAAATGTTGCATGTTTTAAAATATCAGCAAAAAAATAAATATGATTAACCTGGCAATTTCTTTTTAAGTATAGCTACAATTCTAAATTTCATTTATTTTCCTCTCAAGATTAAATTTTCTATTCATGTTTGAATAGAACATGAAGAGAATGCATAAATATTCTGTTCATGTTTGTAGGTTCAATCTGGAATGGTTGACTAAATTACATAAGTTACTTGGGTTTGAACTTCTTCAGAATCAATGACAGATTCTTTTTATGTATTAAAATTTTAAATTATTTAAAATGTATTACAATTATTGTACATTTTAATTTTAGGAATGCGACCATTTAATTAAAAGTATCAGATCTAGTCTGAAACTGGACTTGATTGAGGGAGGGAACTCATCAATGTTTTCATCTTCCTTTATTCTTATACTCTTAAGTATTCCTCTAAACTCTGAAAAATCTAGTTCTCAAATTATTTACAAGTAATGAACAGAATGACAAAACATAATTATCATCCAACAAAACCACTTCTGAGGTTCTGAATACTTGTGCAATTTATAAGGAATAGACAAACATGAAAAGACAAGGGGAACGAGCAGTTGAAACGAATTAGATAAGTTACCTTATGTACAGAAACAAACCAGCACAGACTTGATAGGTCAAACGACCAACAACAACAAATCACATTTGTATAGCACCTTTCACGTCAAGAGGATGTCCTTAAGCGCTGGACAGTCAGAAATCCGCACCAGTACCTGTATTGGTGTATTCTACACTTTTAGAAGCATCCATTTGATCCAATCAAACATATTCTGTAAGGTACTTAAGTTAACAATGTAAATAGATAAAGTAAGAAACGTACAGATCAACAGGACAACTCATAGAAACTCCCCTGTTCACGCACTATTAGGATACACTTACTTTTTGGGAAGTTTCATTCTTTGTAGATTTTCTTCAGCTTTTGGTTTAGCAACAACAACGTGACATCCAAGAGCCAACAATGTCCTGAAAAGACATTTCAATGAGATTTCTGAGACTCAAATCAGTTTTTTTGCATAGTAGTTGCAATTGAGGCAGATTTAATAAGAACAAACTTACTTCAAAGTTTCAAAAGACATTTGCAAATTGTAGTTCCTCTCTTGTTCTGGTAGTTTTTGAAAACTCACCAGACAAGGATGCTGCCTCTTGTTGTCATCTCGCAACTAAAAAAAGAATCACATGCATCTGTGAGAAGGATTGCTGACTTAGTTTCCAATCCTGAAGCTCCCCCAGCGAAAGTATGAGCTTTTTCAAGGTCAGTCTCAAGATCTTCCTCTTTAACTGTGCTTTTGGTAATCCTTCCTCAGCACCAACCGCCAGCTGAGTTGCCAAGCCAGGATTGTCATTGTGATTGTGATTGTCAAGCACCTTCCCAAAGTGAAAGGCGCTATATGTAAATTTGTAATGTATAGTATGATGAGACTTGCACTGTGAACAGACAAAGTGAGCGTACTGGCCATTACCACCAAGACAAAAGTCAAGAAACTTTGCTAAAAGATGCCTAGGTTTCCATTTTAGGAACAATTTGTTATTCATGTTGCAGTGAAGGCCATTCTGTAAGTAGTGAATTATCCATATGCAATAAATGATCACAGAATAGAGCAGTTTGGCAGGTGATTGGAAAGCCTTAGTAAAATCAATCTTTTGCCATATCTTAAAATAACACAATTTTATATTGGAAAATAAAACCAATGACATTGTAAATAGAAAAAATAAGAAACGTACTGCACTGTAAATTTAACCCAGGTTTTAAAGAAATAAAATGTTATGGTTTTTGACCATCACTCTTGTGAGGGTTGGTAAATGAAGAGTATTGAAAAATCCTCTAACCTCACAATTGCCTTCTCAAATTAAAAATGAACAACGAATCTTTGGTACAAATCTTTCATCACACTATTGCATGAGATGAACGTGTATTTTGTTTCAACACTAAACTATCTAATTAAACTAAAAAGATGATAATAAACCAATAACTCATTTTGCAAGACTAACGCATTAACATGACATCTATGCCAATCATAATCTTACCTTCCCATGTACCCAGCCAAGTTCAATCTTATTCATTGCCCAAAGCTCATGGATGTTTTCTGCAAGTTTATCCCGGACTTTTTCCAGGTGTGGAGGTAAAACAATCTGGACAATAACAGAAAACATTTCCAGCATTTCATTTTTTTTCTTCCAGAAGCAATGAGAATGTTACACAAAGTGGGGCTACCTGTATCTCGCGGGGCAACCAATACATTATAAAACTACTGCAAAGCATCACTGTACTAAAAGTAGCAGGACTTGGGGGTGAACAGAAAAATGGTCCTAAATGATCAAAGGAAAATACTGTATATTGAAAGAAGTTCCCTTTCTTTGTGATAAGCAAGCTTTTTATTTTCTAAAGGACCCTGCATTTGGGCTGCAGCTCACAAAAAGTTGAACACTAATGAGAAAAAAACATGCCTCCAAAGCCAAGTTGCACAATGATAATGGTTTGCTATGCATAAGCAGTGCATAAGCATTGTGTTATGTATTTGTGTGGTGCAGGGAAAGAGATTGCAGGTCTATAGATCTAAAGAGAAATATGTTGGGCATCTGTGGATTTTCGGGTCAGGGCTACAACACACGTCTAACACTATTTTAAAACAAGGGTCAATCAAAAGCATTCTCGCTCGTTCGTGAAACTAAAACCAAAGGGTGGTGACAATCTACTCCAGATATTACTATGTAATCTAACACTATCCCTATTTCTTTTCATCTATTCCATATTTTCCTATGTAACCTATCACCTTCCCTATTTCCTATAGCCTGAGTCACTTTTCGAAATAAAAAAACAGGACCGGCTACACATTGTTGTGCAGATGCTGGAATTCCTGGATTTTCTTATGCAGGATCAATTTTTTTTAAAAAAAGACGGAAAGAAATGAGGTTACACCTAGAAACACCTTCACCATCAATCACTAAAAGCTCACATGTTATAATCTTTGAAGAAGTGCACACCTCAAGATTTGACAAAAATCTTAAAATCCGTATTGTATGCACTATGAACGATATCCAAATGTCTGGGATTATTTCGGTGGACGTGCAATTATATGTGTGTTGTAAGTGCACATCAGTCTACCCTCCTGTGGGTCTTGGATGCGCTGAATCTGTTTACTGTTCTGTCAGGTGAGTGAAGACTGGTTGAGTGGACAACAATCAGTCTGTGAAGGAATGCAAAGCACTACAACCAACCTGAGAAAAACGTCATCATGCACATATTTTACCCATCGTAATTATTTTTGTTTCGGAACCCAACGCGACTTTAATGAATCTGAACTCCTTAGTGGATTTCAATTTTAATTACCTGGCTGGTATCTACAGGTTTGGGGATGAAGGAGGCTTGAGATAAAAAGGAAGTTGTGCCTAGTAGATCTCGAACGCCGTTGTTATCTCGCTTGTACTCTTTAATTGGCTCCAATCTCAGTTTCTCCTTTGGTAGAAGTGCTTCATAGCAGGGCGCATAACCAGGCGGAGGTAAAAACTTAAAATCTCCATGGTGACCACCCATCAAAAAGCGCATTCTTATAAAGCAAAGGAACAAACACAATCACATAACACTGTCACTTCTTTAAATTTGGACAAAAACCTTTAACAGCTCAAAAAAAACTAGACTTGGTGATCTTCCCTCCTTTGAGTTGGGTGAAAGCCAAACAGTCCTCGGAGATTTGAGGATTAAACTGGAGTGCATTTTAAAAGGGTTTTGTGGGACCATAAATATTGAAAAGTTACAAATGTGTATGCTATTTCAAAGATGTTACTGGGTACAGAATAATCAAAGCCTATAGGTAACTGAAATGCAAGCAACCACTTAAATATATAGATGACAGGCAATGAATTAGTCTCTGGTTAGAACGTTTCTAGGATCTGTGAACTGACTTGACAAAAATTGAGCATGCAAATACACACCATACAGTGCAAGTTTTATATTAAATGAATTATTTTACTCTGTATGAATACACAGTCTCAGGATTGATAATAAATCATCTGCATCTTGAGGATAACAGACAGCAGTCAGTTATTTCCCAGCTTAATCCTGATTATTTTGTGATCCTGAAAACTAAATATATTTTTTCAAGGGTTTGTTTGTCAAAGAGCTAGTCCTGCCCTGCTGGTTCTTTACAGTACACAAACTACCAATTAAGCTTTAGCCTTTTGATAAAGATAATGATCCAACATGCCTCTGTGAAGACCCTGGCAAGTGGCCATGCAAACAAAATGACTTGATAAAATCAATACTCAGTAATGCCATTACCACATCTGACAGGTTAGATTTAAATAATGACAATGTAAACTTTAGTTTAGCCAATAATAGGGTTTGCTGCCATGTGAAGCTGAACGCCTCATGTCAGATAATTGCACACACTGCATTGGCTACTAGTGAAAGCAATTCAGTAATTCTGTCAACAGCATAGAATTGTCTAGGTCTTAAACATGAGCTTCTTTTGATATTGCAACCTCTAGCGAGCTCCAAGTCTGGTTAGGAATCAATCTTTTGAACATGACTGAAACATTTCAATTTAGTGAATTGAGAAATGTTATTCACTAACATGGTATTTGTGAGCGATGTTCCACTTGCCACTAAGGTTAGCGACTTTGACAATGTGTACTTCTCATAGGACGCGACTACACTTGGCAGCAAGTGAATATTTCGTTCTCGGTCTTCACGATGAACAGAAAATTACATTAGCTGACAGACTAGTCACCTATATACATTTGAGGGGATATGTCTGCATTATCGAAAGTAAAATAGAGACTTGCTGGGTAAGTTCAACTTACTTGACACCCGCAGAGAAGCTAACCACAGGGAAGAAGAGGCCATCAGTGTTGAACTTCTCAAACATGCCTTGAACTGGTTGACCATTAATGCGGAAAGACATACTAGGGATGCCCAAATCCAGGCAACAGCTAACTACATCATCAGAATTCAGTATATGTTGATTAACTGAAGCCACTGCTCGAGCCACTCGACCTGTCATAAAAAGTAAACACAGCGGCATTTTGTGTGAACAAAAATCTCAAAGTTAAAAACTTAGGAAAGTGAACACAGAATTTAGAACAATAAAAATTTGCAGCAGAAGAAGGCCATTCAGATTTGTTTCACCCACAAGACACACAGTCAATCCACTTTCAGTATATCCTGTTTCTCTTGAAATACACAGGTTGAAATTTTTCTAATGGGTTTAAACCCTTATAAAATATGCCCAATGGTTATGTAACTTCTACATTTTGTCAACAGCATAGGGAGAAATCCTCAAACCACATCTATTCAAAGTATAGATAAAAGGAATAAAACTTTTTAAAATAGCAAGGGAGGTACACCTGAAAGCATATCAATAAGATTTCTGTTTGAGAACAAGTCCAGATTACAGCAATTGAATAAGCGGTCTATTCTAAATGATAACACAAAGGTATTATTGAATAATTCGAAAGTAAAATCAGCATTTATTTCAATATATTTGAGATGCTGCCAATTACAAACCTGACCACAAGTGAAGTCCATCAAATCCATAGGAATACAGATCGTCACCCACTCCGTTGCCACCCCACCCTTCCCCACCTCCTGGATAGGGAGCATAGCCTTTTGTGGAAGCCCAACCAACACGCAAGTGAATAGGGTCTGCAGTCAAAAAGTGATTCACTTGGTCAATGGCCAGTTCATAATACCACTTCTGGTACTGGGCTGATCCTTCACTGATTCCCAAAAAGATGTTCGGTCTTAAACTGTAAAAAAAGAAGGAAAATAAGCATCAGTAGTAATTGGGAACCAGTTTGGTTTTATTTACGAAAATGTTCCAAGGAAGTCTAAAACGCTTGTGGACTTGTAGAATACATGTGAAATTAAATATAAATGTCTAAAAGTGTTTTTTTTAAATATCCCTTAAGAGAGTTCTCTCATTTACTTGCTGGTTTATGGCCCAATTTTCATAAATGGGATTAGACGAGATGACTTGTGTGGAATACAGACTTGATGGGAAGAAACTTGATGGCCCATTTCTTAATTGCAACAGTCTAAGAGTCTACCTTTGGTTCTTTATAGCGTAGTTTAATTGAACTCTGGTAATAAATTGGGATAATAGACAATTATTTTTAATTCATTGTAATGAGGGGGAAAATAATAAGAACTAGCATTACATACTTTGTTTTGAAATAATCAGGAATAATACTGGATTTACCTGGTCACATCATTGACTAAGCGAGTTTGCAGGAGTAAATCATGACGAGGCAGCAAATTGTCACAAATAAGATTTTGATTGGTTCGAACTGCAACACCATTGCATACACAAAGTGAACACAACACATCCAGGATCTAAACACAATAACCCAGAGATCATGGTTCAAACTGAGTAAGACAATATTATTGTCACATACGAGCAGTTACAATGAGTATATTTATAAGAGAACTATTCAGTGCAAATAAATAGCAAACACCTCATCAGTTTGGTGCCTCTTATGGTGGAGAATCTCCAATTTATTTTCCCCCCTCCCCTCCAATATAAAGTGTCATTTAAACCATCAGCAATTCATCCCACTTCATTACTGGCCCACTGATGGGTGCCACACTAGCACTTATTATTTAGAGATTGGTACCTTATACTTTCCTCATCTCAACGTTCACCTATAGATCCAGCAATTGCAAATCATTTTTTTTTCTTGCATCCATTATTAATACTGGATTATCTTTCACAGATTTGTCCTCTCCTGTACACACCTTGTGATTCCGTCCATGTTTCTCCAGTAATGAGATGATAGATCTGATATGTCCCTCTTTAATTATATTGAGAGCCTCTGGACTTTCAATCAAGATGCAGTGCAGCACTTCTAGAATACCTGCAAATAACAATAGACAGTGAATAGTTATAGTATCTGCTTGAATATTTCCTCTTTGATTATATTTCTGTAGGTGGCCAAAATGCAACTATTAGTTTGGGTGACAATCTAGTGTCACCCATTCTAAGAAACATCCATTTTATTGTTATTCTGTGATAAATAACTACAAAAGTAATAAAAACAAACTTTAAAATACTCCACAATCTTAAACCTACAGAAAGTTCTCATCTTAAATATTTTCTCATTGCATATTGTTTTTTTAAATTGCTGTTAGTCATTAACAATATTGTAATAGTGTGAATGTTTCATTTTCACTCTTAAATGAAAACCTGCATTACCTGAAGATGATTCCAGTCGGTCTAACTTGCTGACCAGCCAGTCTAAGTTTTTGGAAAACTGAGCACAGTTGCTCCGATTACCACGTATGAGGGCAGCTGCAAAAAACAACAGAACCACAGCAATATGAACTAGAGAATATGGCAAACTGAACAAATCATAACACTGGAACAAAGAAAGATACTATAGATATATAAAGGTATATAATGTATTTATACTGATCACACAAATTCTAGGCTAAATTGTAAGAACGATTTGAGAACTACATCAAAACACATCGTTAACAATAAATTAAATGCCGCGAGTAATTGTTTAAAACAAGTTCATAATTAGAATATTGTTTCAAGTTTAGCTGGGTTTCAAGCCATTAATCCAGTCAGTTCTGAAGTCTTTGTAGTTTGCTAATTCAAGAATGACAGAAACATAAATACAGTGTGTTCAACGTAACAGACATTTTAATCAATTTTCAGTTTCACCACTCATATCATATTCAATCATATTTCACATACTGCGGTATGGAATGCATTTTCATATTATGTATATAATAAATCAATTTATAAATAAAATTAAACAAAGTCCGCTCCTTTCACAGATGATTCAAACCACCCATCTGGTTTTCCCGGAGAAAGTTATGTGTCAATTTGCTCATTGATCAGCAAAGGAATTCCAAATAAAACTCTAGAATTTAATCTGTTCCCTACATTGAGCCTGCTTCTCCCCACAAAACTTTATAATAATCCTGATATGCATTGGAAATGTGAAATTACAGCCTTTACCTAGCAATACATAAAGCAAATTCAAGATGTCTTTCCATGCTGCCCCAGATTCTTCACCAGCAAATTCTCCAAAATGTGCAGCACTGTGGTAGATATTCAACCGGTCAATGCAATTCAGCACCAATCTCAGCATTGCCTAATAGAATTGTGATGGAAAAGAGACGATATTTCAGTGACATCTATAGTATGTTCTTTGTTCTTTTGAATTCTAATGTCTCAGTATGATTTATTCACAAAATATAAGAATGAATACGAGAGTTGTATTGGATGTTCCCCTTATCTGTTCGGCTAATGCTGCATATTTATACCATGAATGGGATTTAAATGAAGCACTTCCGAAGAGCTATCAAATGTACGTTCACCAGGCAACCAACAATAATGCTGCAGGATCACGCTCCCTGCACTGGCTCACATGTCACAGATCATTAAGCATTAACGTCAGCTAGAAGTCAATCGTGACAGAGCTCTATTGGAACAAGTAAAACGATTTGGGCTGTGATATCATAGAGCACGTGCAGGAACGTAGTTTAATCCTGCTGGATGTTCTGCTCTTCTGACATGCCTCATATTAATGAACTTGTAAAATATAGATGTAGAATCAGACCTTAAGATATTTATATTTGCCAGTCATCTGGGGGCATTGTTAAGACTTTTTAAGCTTAAATTAAAAGGAGACATTCTATGTGAATGTAGAAGAGAATGTCAATTAAATAAGGCAACATGGTACGCATTATAAATTTGTTCTCAAGTTACACACAAACTTACATGCACCTTTTACTCATTTTGGCATTTTGCCTACATTACCGCACAGCTCTTTGTGATTGTCTACTTTAGTTAATATAATTGATAATAGAGTCATTAAAGGAATGACTTCTCTAATATTTAATAAGAATATTCCTGATATTCCACATGGTCACATGACTGTCAAGCATCACCAGAATAATTGACTATGCTTTGGTGGGTTACCCAGCAACACTGCAATCGTTCAAGAAGGGAATAGACTATTTAAAGGTTAAGTGACAGGACTGCAGTATATATATGCATATATATATATAGAAATATATATATAAAATTATGTGCGCACTGAAAATAATCTTTCTATTTGTGTGACTATAATTCTCTAAAATGTTTCCATCTAAAATATTGCTTGTAACGAGTTAGTGTGCTAATCTCCTCCAAGAGTTTAGTGATTAGTCACATCCATCAAAATGCAACATGGTACCCAGTGATGACTTAACAGAAGCATGTGATTTTAGTGAAAGTGTAAGTGCAGTGCTGATAACCACTTGAAGTAAGTTACAAAGGGTTAGCCACAAAATATTCAAATATTCCACTATTGCTGGATCAATAGTGAAATGATTATCAATGAGCCTGAAGAGTATTGCTTTTGCTGACAATTTGTATTTTTTCTGTAGCAGAATACATTGTTGCGGGGAGAGGGGGAGGAATTTAGATCAGCTGGATTAAGTTGACTGATAAATGCTTAAGTTTCACATCGTTCGCACTATCTTGTTAAATCATGTAAAATATTGATACAGTACAAAGCAAAGGTTGAAGCACTACTATATAATGCATCAACCCTTAGTTAATCGATGTAGTGAATAAATATATCCTAGCGTGTTTAGAACTCCCCCAAATAATTAATTTTGTCTGTACCTTTTACCGTACATAGTACAGTAAATAACAGAGCAGTGTAGAGGGAGCAAAGCAATTTTTATGTACAAGACAAATATGCCACAAGATCACACCAAATTATCAGATATCTCACTGTCCTTCAACAGAATGGATGAGCTCCGGCTGGCTGCTTCTTCTCCATTAGAAGCTGTGAGGAACTGTGAGGTTTGGTGAGGCTGATTCGCAACATTCAGATTGGGCTTCTTGTAACTTTGGTTTGCTACCGTGGACTTGATTTCAGATTCATGTCCAAAACCTGCAGTATTGAGTTGAATATTAAGAAAATGTCTGTTTCTGTTTTGCTGCTTTAACGCATCTCATTTTGCAGCTTTGCTCCTGGTGGGTGGTGTTCGTGTAACGAACAAGCTGAGCTGGCTGTTCTTTATGAAAAACACAGGCAGAGGATCTTCTCCAATTGATCAGCATGTCTAACTGGTAAGTAGCTGAGCCATATAGTTTTCATCCCCTGTGTGTGTTGAGTTATTTCATCTAATTTGGGATTGGTAGTAAGGGTGTGACTATAAGCTTCTGAGCAGCGGAAATAATCCGTATAGAATCATTCTCCTCTACTATATATTCTTTGAAAGCAGGTGCACATTGATGGAGTGAATTATATTTAATTTAAGCTGATGTAATCAAGTGCTCTTCGTGATTTGTCCCTAGTTTATCACATCATCACGGATTGTGTCCCGAGACGAAAGGCAGGACTTTGCAATAAAATAACACACATTGCATACCTTGAAAGGTCACAAAACCGTAAACGAGAAGTGAATGCTGAACATGAAAACACTCAACACAATCTGGACATTATTTCCTCACCTCCTCTTTAAATAGATTCTGTCTGTTTCTGAGGGAGCGCAGTTTGATCTGTTTATCTTCATGTTCCAATTCTTCCTCCGGTGGATGGAAATAAGTGATCAGGTCATTCAAAACTTCCCCAATTTCTTTCATGGGCAATGTGACTGGTGCAGTTTTACCATTTGCACTGATATAATCGAGGCCCCTGTAGAAATGTGTCTGTAAGTATTTTCTAAGCGATTGAAACTACAGCTAACAATTTCATAAAACATCTGAAGTGAAGTAGCTTACTTCTCAAGAGTGAATTAAAAATATTTGGCATATGGTATTCAGCGAGTAATAAAACAAAAATCCAAAGCTAAACTATACGGCAACAATTTAAGACAAAAAACAAAGCTGTAAAATCTGCTAAAAAAATTGCATTTAACACATTTTTTATCTGAAAGCAATAATTCAGTTCATTCATTCCAGTCAGATTGCCTGCTAAACCGTATGTTCTATCATTTACAAATCATGTAAACCTCAAAACTGTTGTTGCACTAAAATTTCAAAGCAAAGAGGTTTAGGATTGGGTTTATAATGCATATTTCGAAAGTTTCTGAAATAATCTTGCTCACAAATGGAGCAAACGAACATTTGTTGGCAAAAGCCTGCATTAAGGTGCAGTATAAATCAGGGCTTTGGCAGCAAAAGTTAAAACTGGAGCCCAGCCTCTTGACATCAATTGAATGGTTTTGCAATGTTAGTGCTGAGAACATTAAGAACAAACAGTTAATTTCAAAGTTATTTGCATGCTGCAAGGTTTCCATCTGAGAAGAATACTAATTACGCAATACAATTTACATTTATTGAGCACCTTTTTCACATCAGGACGATGCCTAAAAATGCTGGTTCGATAACGGCAAGGTGGGATGAGTGGGGGAGGGAAGATGATCTTATGGTTTTATAATTTAGCATGTAGGATGTTAGGTAATTATTTTGAAGAATATTTTGAACCGGTATTAATTTCCTTATAATGTACCTGATAAACTGATTGAAGAGGCTTGTTGTGTTCCGTATAATACGAGCTGCCCGAGATTCTTCATTCTGACATCGTTGCAGGATTACACCATCATCCATGTGACCTTCTTGATGCAATATGACCTGTATTGAAAATGAAAATGTATTCAAAGCATATGGTTGTTTTCCTGTTTAAGGATTGGCAATTGAAATCATGCATCAGACCTTGACTTTCCATTTTTAAAATCCACGTAGGCCTGTTCTTTTGAAAACAACATGATTTTATGCATAAAAAAATAAGTTCCAAACAAGTTGCAACTTGGGATTAGCATTTAGCAAATATTAGTTATTCCAAACATCTAGCACAGTAACCCCAATGCTCTCATTTATGCCTCACCTGGTGATGAGAATCACTTATCTTTTATTAAAGACCAAATTAGTTTTTCGTTACAGGCAAAGTGACAAAACAAGAGGATAATCAGTTCCCTAGTTAATCAACATTCCTTTGTGATTTGAACAATCAATTGAAAAGGAGTGAGTATTTTTTTTTAATTACCACCCTCTCCTTTACTTTATGAATAGGAGATTATTTAACATATTGGGTAAAATCGCAGCCAAGACCTCTCCTAACCTTACCCATTATTCAAATATTCAAACATGCACTTTTCCACAGAGGTCATAAAATAGTGGTTAGAAATGGATAATTTAACCCTTCCCCTTCCCCAGAGATGCTGAGTCTATTTATAGGACCTGATCACTCTGATAGGATAACTCACAAATTGAGAGGTGGGGGGGGTGGGGGGGCAGGAATTAGACCTAGCTTCAGTGGGCTGGTACACAAACAATGTAATGTACTGTACAAGTGGGCTATGTATTGTCCATTTCTACAGCAATTTAGTATTTAACACTTCAAAAGATTAATTTCTTGGACAATACAATCTAGAATACTGGTTACACATGTTGATTGCAATGCATAAGACGACATGAAAATTCTAAAACACAAATCTGGTGCTAACAACCAGTGCATACTTTCCGTTTCAGAGTTCCTAGACGTGATGATTTGGCATCTGGAGCGCAGTATGTCAACCATAGGCCACTAGCTAGGTGCTGGATTATGCAAAGTGAATCGCCATACTTTATCTCAGGGTTTCCCATGCCATCTGTCTCTTTCTGTGCACCCAAGTCCAGTTTTTCCTTTGGGATTTAACCAACAGCAAAAAAGAAAAAGAATAGTTTAGTATAATATTTAGAACATTGTAAAATTCTCAGCATAATAATAATCTTTGCATTTGATATTGCGTCTCAAAGTGCTTCACAGTGAAATGAAATGACTGTATATTTTGTGGGCAAAATATACTGAGGAAGTTACACATGTAAATTAGTTGCAACCTAGCTCTGCAGATGTATGAAGATTGATGTGTATGTTGATTGAATCTATCACCCTTCCACCTCTCGGTACCTATAATCACTATTACAATTCTCCAATATATCACTGTTGTAATATCTTGCCCATGATTGTACCTTTGATGTTCGGAAGCAGAATGATGATACTTTGGTGTCTGCCTTTTCTCGATCTAGCAGCACAAGACCTTGCTCTTCATCCAAGCCCAGATATAGACCTGTTGTGATGTGCCGCAAACGGAAAGCCCGACCCCATCTTATATGACTTCCACTCCAGCTAAATAATAGTCAGAGCACAAATACTGTGTCGCCCACAACGTTTAGGTAAAATCCAACATTACCACAGATAGACATGTAGTATTTTAAAAAAAGTTGCATTGAAATGAAACAAGGTGCCTCAACAAGCTTTACAACAATTACTGCAACAACTTGCATTTGCATAGCACCCCTCACTCAGGATAGCGTGCCAGTGCCCCTGACAGTGACGGAGAATGACACCGAGTCGGAGGGAGTGGAAGTGACCTTCAAGCACGACCTGAAGATGAGGAAAGAAGGAGCACGGTGGAGGGATAGATGAAGAGTGTTCCAAAATTTCAAGCTGCTTTTGAAATGAGTGCAGGATTCTGGTCTCATTCACTCTTGCTAGCCACCTATTCCAGTCATTAATTTACCCTCTGAGTAAAGAACACAAGATCCAAAAGGCAAATATAATAAGCAGCAACCTTCCTTAGTTACATTTGGTTGAGGTTTCTAAATATCTTTACCTTATCCGTAAGAGTTCCAGACGCCAAAGTGATCTGGCACAGGCACCTGCTTCCCCACTTTCATAGTTAACCGTTCTGCAAATAGATCACAAAAGGAGTGCTTGGTTAAATGCTTCAAACCAATCCATCATTTTGGATTTACAATTAATTCGACAAATTCTCAAAAATATACTTCAACTCCACTTGTCAATCTGCTTCAGATTGAATTGTGTTACAAGAATAAAATGATCACTGCAAAATGTAATGCAAGGTCAAATAGGTTAGCTTACCTCTGCCCATCCTTCCTCTGGGCTGGAAGAGGGAATGTCAAGCACTCATCATGGCCATGAAAAAGCCGCAAGACATGTCCACCAGTCAGAAACCCTGCCGAGACCATTGTAGGAGATTAACGAAAGTTAAATAATTGTCACAGGTGAGTCTAACTAGATGCTAGTTGTTAATTAAAGTCCCATGGATTCTTCAACAGCGCAATGAATAATATCTCATTACTCACAACGAGTTTGAATTCCTCCATTTGTGAGCAACGTCATTTCACAAACTTTCAAAATATGCAGTGCTAAAACATTTCACAGTGCACGTGTACTAACTCCTTTTGTTCCAGTCAACGGAAATGTAGTAACCATTGAGGAAATACCTTCATGAAAATCTTATTAGACTAGAGTTGCAGGTTGTGGATTTGCAAGCATGATTCAGCAATCAGTCACAAACCTCCACCTCATCCTGTTTCTAGGTCAGTTGATGACTTCAGATTTTTCCAAGATTGAAAACAACTTTGGTTTCAAGCTCAGGTTGTAATGATTGTGCCTTAAGAAAGGAGAGCATCTTACCTTCTGCTCTATTGCTGCCTGAACATATGGGGTGTAGGTTCCATAATGTCTGCATGAAGGACGCATCCACTTGTATATTGCCATTGGAGATGGATAGATGCTGAAAACACATTACAATCGACTGAGCAGATCCCAACACATAGAAAATGCTGCATCATGGATTGTGTCAAAGCAATAAGGAGCTCACAAAGTCATGTGCAATTAGAGTCAAGCAATGCAAATTGCATACTTTAGTAAGATTCGTCATGGAGTGGGGAGGGACTGCAACATTCAATATTGTTTTTGGTTGCAGCCAAATACTGTCACAACACTACTCTCGTTTATACCTTATTGTGCATGGACCCTTATCAGTGTCCCTTTACAATTCCCATCCAAACAGAGCCAATAGGTGCCCCCTCCCACCTTGTCTTCCAGTTTTTTTTATGGACACTAGACAGACAATCTTTAAATTGTCAGTTAACACATTTAATGAAAGAGTTCTAATGATTACAGTTTAGTTAACAACCAGGTTTTTCGTTTATAGACTTAGAAATTCACATCTTTAGAAAACAATTATATTATTCATATTATTTGTAGCTGAAACAAATTCATCTAAAATATTCTATTGTGGATTCGTACGTGATGTAGCTGTACTCACCAGATACCGTTCTGATGAAACACTAACTAGAATGAGGTCGTCACCAATCCGTACTTTCTCCCCTTCAGACCTCTGTTTCGAAGTGGGGTGAATGGTCCACCAGCATGCTTCCCCTGAAGAACATAAAGTCAAAGTAAAATATACTTTTACATTTGCTTTGGACTGTTTTTAACCTCAAGCACAAAAAATGCCAAACCCTCCCCAACCCCTCCATCTGCCAACAAAACAACTATTGTTAGTAATCCACTAAATTCCCATCCACCAATACATTCAAAATTAAAACTGTATCAGCTTTCTACAGTGTAATGCGTAGAATTAAAATTCAAAGGCCAATCTCCACCCTCCTATTTTCTGTTGATAATTATTATTTTTGTTCTCTTCTGTCCTGAAAGCGCTGATGTGATTGTTTCAAGAGGAGCTGGCTATCTTGCCAAACTGACCATTCTTCAGTGGAAATCCAGTATGTGTTTTATGATTTCAGAGTGGTGCAGTAACAAATACTCAATCTAAAGTAATAACGTTTCTCAAAATTTTAAATTGGACTAAATACATTCATCTTACAAATGACTTAAAAATCATTTTAAGTGTCTGGTGACTGTTCAGTTACTTACAATGTAGTTGTCTTTCAACAACAACAACAACAACAACAAGATTCCATTTATAGAGCGCCTTTCACGTCAGGAGGACGTCCCAAGGCGCTGCACAGTTGGGTCATGACCCGAGCAGGGGGGAAATGGTCAGGGTGAGGGGAGGGAAGGGAGGGAGAGAGGAGGGGGGAAATGGTCAGGGTGAGGGGAGGGAAGGGAGGGAGCGAGGAGGAGGAAGAGAGTCGAGAGGGGAGCTGAAGGCACGGTCAAAGAGAAAGGTTTTGAGACCGGCCTTGAAGGAGGAAAGGGAGGAAGCAAGGCGAAGGCACTGGGGGATGGAGTTCCAGAGCCTCGGGGCTGAGAGGCTGAAGGCCCGACCACCGATAGTAGGGCGGTTGGGGCGGGGGACGTGGAGCAGACCGGAGCCAGAGGAACGGAGGGTACGGGCAGGTAGGTAGGGGGATAGTAGGTTGGAGAGGTAGGAGGGAGCAAGGCCGTGAATGGCCTTGTAGGTGAGGATGAGGATCTTGAAAGTTTCAGTTTGGACAGCATATAGTTACTGTTACAGCAACAAAAAGAACTCTGAAATTTTGAGTAGTTTCATCACTTTAGGTTTAGTGTTTATTACTGCCATACTGTACATGTGTTGGAAACTTATAAAACAAGTTGGCCCAGTGAATCATTCACTTCTCTAGACCTCCAGTCTAAACATGCTTAGACTCTTTTCTCTTGAAAAGAGGAGGGTAAGGGGTGACCTGATAGAGGTCTTTAAAATTCTGAAAGGTTTTGATAGGGTAGACATAGGGAAGATGTTTCCACTTGTGGGGGAGACTAAAACCGGGGGCCATCAATGTAAAATAGATCAAATAGGGAAGTTGGAAGAAATTTCTTCATAAAGAGTAGTGGGAATGTGGAACATGCTACCACAAGGAGTTGTGAGGCAAATAGCATAGATGTATTTAAGGGAAAGCTAGATAGGTACATGAGGGAGAAAGGAATATAAAGTTATGCTTGAAGGCTTAGCTGAGGAAGGGCAGGAGGAGGATCATGTGGAGCATAAACATTGGCATTGACCAGTTGGGCCGAAGGGCCTGTTTCTGTGCTGTATATTCTAATGTATTGTAAAGGTCAGTGATTGATTTTATTCTAATTTGATTTACTTAAGACATTAAATATGGATATTTATGATATTATGGGAAACTGGGATGGGAACGGAATGCTTTTATATTAAATTACAAACTCAGACCATATGATCAGCTCACTGATTTTACCTGTTGAATCTTCTTGCAGCCCAACATCAAAAGCTAGCTTGTCCGTTAAAGACCTTGATGTTGTCAAACAACTCAGATACTATGAAGAAATGAAAATAAAATAATAATAAGTTACATATACTTAAAATCTCAAGTTAGTTCTCAACACAAAAACATAAACAGTTCAATTTAAAATAGGTGTACCCTCCCAGCCTCCACTCCTCCTGTTCCCAAATTCCTGTTCTGGTCCAGGTCCCTAACTGCCCAGCGCCTTGGGATGTCCTCCTGACCTGAAAGGCACTCTACAAATGTAATCTGTTGTTGTATTCCCAGCTGTCCTTTTCACTTTAGCAGTTGATTTATACGATTTAGCATTTCCACCTGCAGCACAAAAACTTTGCATGTCACTATATATTGGCTTATGGTTTCCTTCAAACTGCAGAAGTTACTTTATCTGGTAATGTTAGAGATCAGTGTTGAGTGAAGAGTAATTAACGATTGGAACAGGTTGCTAGGGAAGGTGATTAATGTTAGGACTTGTTTAAAAAGCAGTTTAGTGCTATGATAGGATGACAGTAAGGTAGGTGTTCTAAAGAGAGGAGATCAGATGGGCCGAAGGGTCTTCTTCATTCAAACCAATCTTGTGATTTTGTGATGACAGCATAGCTGATTGCCAGCACTGTGAGCACTGTGTTCTTCCTGGATGAAGAAACATTTCTGCCCACAGACAATACCCGCAGAGCTTTACCAACTCAAATAGTACGTTGGCAGCTGTCCCTACTTGGTGGTTACATGCCTGATGTGCGCTGGTATATTGAAATCTGGCCTACTCGAAGACTGTGTGCATACTTGTAGCCGTCAATACAGCCTCACTAAGTTTCACAACCATTTAAAAATAGGCAGCTGTAACATATGGAGACTGTCATTCCATTAATCTCCTGGCCATGTCTGTGAAAGGAAGACGCTAGGCTCTGCAGAGGTTTTAACACATTAGCTGGACTAAAACATTAGGAATTAAAGCAATACTTTTCCAAGACAACTTTTCCTTTAAATGCTTAGATTAAATTTACTGCTATTAAATTGCCTGTTGCGTTGGCCTACATTTTGCAGTATACGCGATTTGAAACATCCTCCTGATGATAAAGATGCTATTATTTATTAAGATGTATTTGCCGTTACGCTTTGTGCTTACCATTCCACTGAACGAGTGTCGCAGCAGAATAGCGTGGCCGTAAAGAAGTGTTCTGTGGCCGCCTCCCTGAGCCGCCTAAAATCAGAAATATTATTATTCTTACAGAATATTATTCTCAAATTATAGTAATAATAATCCTTGCATTTGATTAGCGCCTTATCACGTCTTCGAGACGTCTCAAAGCGCTTCACAGAATATACTGTAAAGTGAATTGACTGTATATTTTGTGGGTGAAACATTAAGAAATTAATGTTCTAACTGCTGAAGATTTTACCAAGACAGGACCCACTTAGGCTCGAAATCCCTCCAAAATTTAGCCTTCTCAGACCATCCTGTCTTAACATTTGAGATGGTTCATACGTTTAGAAAACTCTTCAATTCAGTTTCAATTAGGAATTTGGTTTTCCACAGGTCACAAGTTGTTGAAAAGAACCAGCTTCCGTAGTAAGACTGAGTTGAAGAGTTTTCTTCAAGGATAAGACTTGGTGGAATTTCAGGCCTCCAATGTCAAAATTGTTGCTTCACTCTTCATGTACATTACTTACAGTAAGAATTAGAGATTAAGAGCAATTGGACATCAAGAGCAATAAACTGATGCAATCAGTACTGTTAAGTTACTTGTTAAAAACCATCTTCCTACAACACATTACTGGATACAGTTATTAAAAAGAACTCCAAGAGCAAAAAAAAACCACCAATGATGGAAGTAAATGGTTAACAGCACAAACTATTAATGTTCACAGTCGTTATGATCCAACTAGTAATCCAGAAAAACAATACCAGCTTTGTAAATACTAAACTCAAATATAATTGATCTGCCATTTTTGTTACAATATAGGTGATTGAAGCTCATCTTCCTTTTCTGTTGTGGATTTATTACCTGATCCCCAAGGGGGCTGTAGATATTTAATACTTAAATACTACTTAAGGCTGTCAGAAATGGCCAGTTTACCGCTACCTTCTATTTGGTTCTCTAACGTTGGACAGCAATGAATGAGCCGATTCTATAAACATGAAGGGCATCAGCATCAAAGGGCGATCCGCTTGTCAGTCTATAAAGTCTTTTTGGCTAACAAAATGTTAAAAACATTTGGGAATCATTGTTTTTACAATAAATCTTCTCTGTGCAAATTTTAAGAAAAAAATCTCAACCATCTTTGTCTTTACTGAAGTGAAGTGATTAAACTCTGTTGGGTATAATAAGTTTGTTTACAATACTGCAATGACAGAGAACATGGTTAGCATCTATAAACAACAACAACAAAATTACATTTGTATAGCACCTTTCACGTCGGGAGGACGTCCCAAGGTGCTGGACAGACAGCGTTACGGACCTGAGCTGAGGGTCGGGGTGGGGGAAGGGAAGCAGGGAGATGGAAAGCACGGTTGAAGAGGAGAGTCTTGAGGTGGGTCTTGAAGGTGGCGAGGGAGGGGGCGAGATAGAGGGACTGCGGGATGGAGTTCCAGAGGGTCGGTGCAGAATGGCGGAAGGCCCGTCCAACGATAGTGAGGCGAGCAAGGTGGGAGACGTGAAGCAGGCCAGAGCCCGCTGAGTGGAGGGAGCGAACAGGGTGGTAGGGGATTAGGAGGTCAGAGAGGTAGGGGAGAGCAAGACCATGGAGGGCTTTGAAGTTGAGGACCAGGATCTTGAACTGTATCCTCTGTGTGATGGGAAGCAAGTGGAGTTGGGCAAGGATGGGGTTGATTGGGTCGGGGAGCCTAGTACAGGAGAGGACACAGGCTGCAGACTTCTGGATGATCTGCAGCCTGTGGATGGAGGAGTTGGGGAGGCCGACAAGCAGTGAGTTTGCATAGTCGAGCCACAATGTAATGAAGACACGGTGGCCTGCGGTGAGAGACAGTGGTGGAGCCGGGCGATGTTGCAGAGGTGGGGAAAGGCAGAGTGGGTCATGACCCAGATGTGGGGTAGAAAGGATAGTTGAAGGTCAAACAAGACCCCAAGATTCCCCAAGGTCCGGATTGGCTTAGCAAGGTGAAGTGTGCAACCGTGGATGGTGTTGCTGTCAGCGGCTGAGGTGAGGAGGCGTTGATGGGAGCCAATCAGGAGAGCCTCAGTCTTGTTCACGTTCAAACTGAAGAAAGTTAGCTTTCATCCAGGACTTGATGTCTGACAGACATTCTGCAATCAAATAGCAATCAAAAGAATATCTTCCATTCCCACTGATTGCATCCTATACAAGAGATGGAGCATGCTGCAGAATATCAGCCCATTACTTAAAACACAGAGATGCAAGATTTGAGTTTGTTTTTTTTAAAAAAACTTAACCAGGACTATTCCATTGCTGATGTGACATTAATGATGTGCAGACAGGGATATTTCTCTCCCTTTACAGTTGAAGATTTTAAACAAAGTACAGAAAAAGCTACTGGACAACTGGTATTGTTTTTGAATGGACTACCAGATGAAAATGTCAGCTTGACTTACCTTTATCATAAACTTCTAAAAAGCGGGAAAGATGAAAGCAAATAAAATGGATTAATGTCAGCATGTAATTGTTGCACTTTTCATCAAGTTGGCAGCACAAAAAACATCTTGTTTGAATTTGCTTACCCATTTCAGTCAAAGAATGTCTTACTTATGAAATCTTCAAAGAAAAGATTGAAATGTAATTTACAATGACTGCTGGGGATATCATTTTTGACTCTTACCCTTCAATGCAAAGTCAAAACATTAATTCCTCGGAGTTAAGCCATTTGCTCCATTTTAATACATGTTACATCACCCTCATCAGCTTTTGGAAGAAAGGTTAAAAGCTTATATTTGATATCATTGAGTAACAGTGGAAAAAAACATACAAAATCTCTTGTGGATCATTAAAGAGACATTTTCAATGTCTTGATAATTCAGTGAGAACTGCTGAGAACAGCTTCTCTGGGATGGGTGTTCTCACTGCTTCTAGTATGTTTTTTTGTGACTATAAATACCAAGTGCATTTGCCCATCACCTTTAACTCTGACTGTATCAAAGGGGGAAAAAATATCCATATATTGGTGATATGTAAGTGATATCCATAAATAGAAACAACACTACTGCACACAACATAAACCAAATAACTTTACTATATACAGGGTAGCCCTATTATAACAGGCTTCATTTTACTGTAGATTCATTTATAACGCAAATGGATTGTGGACCCCATTTCACTGCACGTGTGTGGAGCAAGACAGCTCATGTACTGTGTCCAGATGGTTCCCACTCCCAAAATGGCCAAGTTCTAGGTCATTAAGTTGACGCTAACATCGGTTCCTAGGCATATGCAGTACTCTGGATATAATAATAATAATCCTTGCATTTGATTTAGTAAAGTCAATTGACTATATTTTCTGGGGAAAAAGCGGCAGCTAATTACACACAGCAGTGTCCCACAAGCAGTAGTGCATTGAAATGACGTCAGAGGAGATCTGATGATCTGGAAACCAGCCTTTTTTATTAAGGTGCACATGAAGCGAGCTGGCCAACTGTGTGCACGTGCAGCGAAATTGACCATGACAACCTCGTTACAAAGCCCGATGGAATTTTATGGATCCAACTACCACCTTAAAATAAGCCCCTTGGTAGCAGTTACACATGGCAGTTTTCAGAGTAACAATATTTATCAGTTCAACTTTTAAGCTTCCACTACAACAACAATGCATATAGAACTTATATTGTACAGCATATATACAGAGCTTTTCATGTAGAATGGATGTTTCAAAGGCTTCACATCAAATGATGGAAAACACCAAGCAGGGAAGAGAAGGGCAGGGATGTTTGAGGATATTGGTCAAGGTTGAAGAGATAGGTTTCTGAAGAGGGTTTTTTAAGGAAGGGAGAAGATGTACAAGGTAAACAGATATTGGGAGAGGGTTTTAGGGCACAGTGAATGAAAGTGGTAGGATGGAAGGAGTGAGGAACAAGCGTGAGTCCAGAGTCAAAAGAGATGGTACAGGCAGGAGAATGGGGATAGAGGAGATTATGGAGACACAGGTGTAATGGGACAAGAGTGTGAATGCATTTAAGATCAAGATGAAGACTCTTAAGTGAATAGCAAAAAAAAAGATTGTTTTCCCCCTAAACTATAATAATGTAATAAATAATAAACTATATTCCAAACTTGCACAGAAATATGTAATCCAAAATGTAGAGCAGTATAGTTGGTTGGTTGAAATTATTTGTGAATATTCTTTAATTAATTACATACCTTCAGTTGTCAGTAGGGTTAGAAATCCATTTCAGACAACTTTTTCAGAAAATAATTATTAGCTACAGTCAAACAGCAAATATTTGTTTGTCATCTATAGAAATCTTGCAAAGATGAGCTACTTCAGAATACTAGTCGTGGAAGATGGGGGTGGGGGAGGAAATCAAGGACAATCAAAATATTCCATTTGTGCAAACATAAACATGATTTGAGCATTAATACTAATGCAAAGGAAACATATGTGTACCAGCCAGTGCATTGGGAGAGAATGGGATCTAGCTAATTGAGAGAAGGCAGGTAAACATTCTCTATCAGTCATATCCAAATGTTCCCTACAAAAAAAAATGAGCAAAGTGCAGGAGGGCAAAAGGAACAATTAATGCCAGGTGACAGCTAACGGTTTTCCAATATATGATCCTTATTATGAATTCTTCATTTGTTTTTTTTCAAACAATAGTGCCTTATTATGACACCAAAAAGTACTGCTTGAATTAGGGGCTTGGACAACAATGAAGAAATGCTTTGGAAAGCTTTTATTTCTGAATCAATGATCTTAAAACAAGTAATCTCTCACTGGGAAAAGGGTAAAACATTAAGTTAAACATGTCATTGAGTACTTGGGGAAAACCTTCTCAGGAAAGTAAAATGTGTTCAAAACGTTAGTAGCCAATGTGAACACCATGAGTTGCTTTCATATCAAATGTATTTTTAGGATCATAGAAATTTATATTTGGCCCATTGAGTCTGCACTGGCTATCAGAACAAACTACTCATTCAATCCCACCATCCTGCCTTACCCCCATACAATAGATTAAAAACACATGTTTTGAAAATATTTATATTCCTTCTCTAGGTTTTCAATTTTGAACCAATATTTTCTTTTTCAAAAAAGTAAATTTCTTTTAAATTATCATTTTATTTATTTATAGTTTCTTTATTTCAAAATATTCTCATTATTTTCCATCACTAGGACTCAGAAAACCTCCCTCAGTGAATTCTACATGGCTAACTTGATTTAATAATAGTTATCTACATTGATACTGCGGCTTTCACATTGGGAGGACTTCTCAAACTGCTTCACATTGCTGCCTGGGGAGCCAAAATTAGCAATTATAATTTAATGGAAATGATCCTAAATGCTGCCACCTAAAATTGTAATAAATGAAAGCCTTTTTCCCAATTATATTTTTGAGAAATATTTCTGTACCACATTTTAAAAATAATTATTTATCTTTTTAAAAATCATTCTTTTTTCCTTTCTTTACAAGTTTTGCCGGGTCACCCACCTACTGTGACTGAAAGGATTAACTGCTTTTTGCTCTCTATCACTCCCATTATTCACCTGTTTATTAAGAAGCATGTAACGTGCAGAGACAGTTCTCCATCTGATTTTCCTTTCCATTTGTAAGAAGGCACCTGTGGTCACCTGGCACCTTTCCACAACAGTTGAGTGGGAGACTGAACCAATTTCTCGCAACCTACTGTAACTTAATTTAGCCTTAAACACTGTACAATAACATACTCTAACATTATTATTACTGTCCGTAAATTATCAATTGAAAAAGTTATGAAGGTTATTGTACTTTTGATGACATTATCATGTATCAATCAATCCTAGCATCCTGAAAGTCTATGTCATGGCACCTGCTGCTAGCAAGAAAAAATGTGCAAAAATTGAACTATCGCTTCAGACTGTAGTATCCAATTTGACAAATAGACATGTGGGATTCAAACAACAGTTGCCACTTCTCTTTTGTGCTTTAGGTTACAATTTAAATCCCTTGCTCACTTTCCACTCTGATGATAACTCCCAACTAGACATTAATCTACATTTATACATTTAATATGAATAAGTTAAGGAGAATAAAATCAGTTCTAGCAAATTTATATGATGGCATTTTTAAATAAGTGATGCAATGCATAGGCTAGTTGTAATTCTAACACATTTACAAGGAAATCAAATATTTATAACTAATATGTGCAAAAGGGAACAGTGAACATTTTCCCATGAAAGCACCCTGAGTGTCCAACACATTAGGACTAGTGATTGTGATCACATGCATGCAGGGATAGAGGAAACGAACAGAATGATCAACATACCCATTTGGTGAAGTCAATTGGCTAGCATGGTTGGTGGACAAAAGAAATAACACAGAAAGAATAAATTACAATACTTTGTGCACTCTGTTTATCAAAAACAACATTTTTCCAGACGTACTTTAATGACGTAACATTGTGGTATTGATGTAAAATTATTCCTACAAGCCAAATTATAGAGAAACAAATGTCAACCATTTGGGTTGCGTTCTAGGTTTGGTCATAAATTGTTGACAATAAATATTTTTTTCAAAATAATGAAAGTCTTTAAGCAACTATCCAAGTACAAGTGGGGCCACGCAAATAACTTCAGGAAACTTCAATTCAGTCTGTGGTACCTAGACGTTTCTGATGATCATGTCAGAGTGTGGAAAACAATCTGGAAAGGCACCATATCCATTCACAGTAATGACAAGTGTAAACAACTTATAAAGATTTGATAGATATCTCACAAAAGTCACAAAAACCTATCTTTCTGCTGTCACAGTACTCTTTGAATGGATTTTATTGCACCTTGTCTTCCTACATTTTGTTGCAGAATTTTGAAAGTTCCGCAATTGAAAAAGAAACAAAACTAGGAATGACAAAAAGTATAGGATCCACCTGATTTAGGAACAAATGTAAGCTCATTTTCGTATAACTGAGGGAATAAGGCACAACATTTACAAAGCCAAACACGTAACGTACATCAGTTGTTCTTGTGACATTTGGAACACAGACAAATAATTCCAATAGCAAAAGACAATAGCCAAGATATATGAGGAACAAAGTCATCAGTAGAGTGAAACTGTGCATAGTAATAAAAAGAAACAATACCTAAATGGCTGGTTTGGACACTTACCCCTTCATTGTTCTTTTCACTGGTACTAGTCAGCATCTCCTGCAAGGCTCGAACAGAGAGTGATTGCTCCAGCACAAAATTACAGATGCAAAGGTCAGGTGGAACATACTGTGGACAAATAAAATTCATCACTGTAAAGTCAAAATGATTATATATATTCTTAGTAATGGTCAACCAACACTTGTTATTTTTCTAATTTCTTGGATAACTTCAATAGGCTGTCAAGATCGTTTGCTATACTCAAATTGCTCATCTTGAAAAACTATGTTTTGGTACTTAATATTACAGAAATTATAACACTCATTTAAGGGATTATTATATTATTATAGTTTTGACGTGGTAGCATCTTTTTCTGCAACAAGTCAATCATTGGGAAAACAGTAGACAAGATAATGCAAAGAATTATAACCTCTTAGAATCTTAGATTTCAGACACTGTTCAGACAGCTATCTGGCTTAATTTATAGCTTTAATGAATATAATTAACACACAGGCAGAAATATGATAACCTTGTGAAATTTATGTCAGAAAATGTGTCCAGCAAGCACAAAGTGAAGGCAGTTCTGGGATGAAATTTCAATGTCATATCAGGTTTCAACTGGCAAGCATTGGCTAATATGGCAGGAGTTGCAAACTACTTTGCAGTATATTATCAATTATTAAGACAATAATACAATTAACACTGAACCATTAGGGACTTTCAATAGTGGTAATGATTGAATCTCCACCACCATTATCAACACTGGAGTTGGGCCAAGCAGGAAACACAAATAAGTGGCAGATTGCTGGTTTTGGAATATTAAGAAAAAATGGACTGCCTAAAAATCAGCTTAAAAGTTACTGATCATTATTATTACTGGAAAACTTGATTGTAGCAGGCTCAGTTAAGATCCATACATGAGGACCAACAGATAGGGTTACAGCTGGCAAGCAATGTTCAGATAAGAAGAATCATTGCTGATCTTGCAGGAAAAACTAGATTTTATATGAGCAATGACTGCTGGATTCTCAAACCTGTGAATTGAGGTACAGATTTGATTACTGTGCTCAGCAGACTAGCTTTATTCTCGCTTTCTGCTTAGATATCAATAGTTTTCCAGATAATAAAAATGTATTATCCCCATGGCTGCAGATACGCTACTTTGATATTTTACCATCGTTTGTGTTTGTTTCATTACTCGTTGTTCTGGATCCAATTGGAGAAAAACAGTAAGAAATCATTTTGTTAATTCAAACAAATGTAATGTCAAATGCCATCATCTCAAAGGAGAAATATATTCTATAATGACTTTAAGTTACAATTAGTTTTAATGTGCATCAAACTCTTCCACAATATAGATATGTAAGCAAATCAATATTGTATAACCTTTACACAGTACATGAAACTCACCCTGAATTTTAAAATAAACAGATTTTGAATCTGAATCTTAAATTTTGGATTTGATCTAATTTAAAACATTTAAATCTGACATGGCCTCCATGTCATTGCACTACTTGACAAATCTGTATGGGGGTAAAAAAAACAGGAGGCAGTGGGGGTATATGAGGGCTGAGCGAGCCAGAGTTGTTGGAACACCTGAACACCCAAGTCTGCCTAAGAAACTGGAAAAAAACAAGGAAAAGAACAGCTCAGGTTTTGGGTGAAATATTTTAACATATTTAATAAAAGTAACTCTTTTTTCCCCAATTGGATCTTATTTAATGGGCAACGCAAAATATTGAAAGGAACTCTGAGTCAATGCAATCTAGAGAATTCCTTTGAACCCTCCTTTTGAATAAACAATTACTTCAATGTTGAGTTTGCTTACTTTTTTATGAAGTCAGTATCTTCACTGAAATGTAACCTCGACAGTTTTGTATGAACTGAATGCTGACATGTCACTGGAGGTGATTGACTCCACTCTTCTATATGCCAGATTAAACCAGGTCAGGATGTCGGAGCCAAAAATCTATCTGAGCCAATTGAACTATAAAAATATGTAAATAATTAATGGATTCCTATGACGAGAATGCCGGATAGTCCAGAAGTAAGGTTCAAAACCAGAAAATAAATGTTTAAGAAACAACAGACTGAAAGGAGAGATAGCATCATTCCTGGAAGAGATCAGGACAATCACTGCAATCAATACATAATATGGACCTATTTTAGATCATCATTAGTTTACAACCCTAACTTCAGCTGAAGATGGGGAACTGCCTCCTGCTTCTTTTGGGTCATTTCATACTTCAGCTGGCAACGTTCATCCAATCAATTTAATGTTACCCAAAACCCAGAAAATTACAAACATAATTTGTCCCACAAACTTGATGTGTTCCCTCCTCCCGCTCCGTATGTTAAAATAGACATTTAGAAACCAGATGTGAGGTTTGAATACCTTAGCTTCTGAGGTAGACTCCAGGAAGCACAATCGAGTACCAAATCCCTCAGCTGACAGGCAAAACTTCCTTTGTTCTTTTTGGATGTTGGCAATGGATTGGAGCACAACTTCATCATCCTAGAAAGAAAAGCAATAGTTGCAGTTTAGCTTTTCATTTTGCCAAATGATGCACAGCATAAGCAAACTTTGTTTTCTTCGTAACTGTTCTAGCTTCTAATACTTTCTGGATCCAATGAAGGCAAAGCTTTGATTTACTTCAAAGGCAAGTAAATTATGCACAAATTATGCAGGTTTTTAGTTAGTACTTTCAAAACCAGTTACAACTAGATATTGTAAGATACAAGAAGTACAACAGCTAGACTCATTTCTGAATTGTTAATATTAATTCATAGGTGACCACCATGCTGATACTCCAATGCTAGTGCTGGGGGTGTTTTGCATTGCTGGAGGTTCCATCCTTTGGATGAGACATTAAACCGAGGTCCCGCCTGCATGTTCAGGTGGACGTTAAAATCTCATGGCACTATTCAAAAAGAGAAAGGAGTTTCTCCCAGTGTCCTGGCCAGTAATCCCCCAAATAAAATTGGCCATTCACTTCATGGCTGTTTGTGGGATATTGCTATGTGGAAATGGGCTGCTGCATTCACCCAAAAGATACACAGTCACTCCACTTTACAGCGGATCCTAAGAAGTGCTTTGAGAACTCCTCCTGAATGAGAAAGGCACTATATCAAATGTAAGGATTATTTGAAAACAGTCGCACTGTTACATTGAATTACAAACAATAATTCAGCACAGAAACAGACCATTCAGCCCAATTAGTCCATTTAAGTCCTTAGAATCAGATGAGGGCTAAAGGACGTAGGCAGAAGGTGGTTTGCAGGAAAAAGATCAGAAATAAAATACAGGACAGAAGAAATACTAAGCAAGAATACTGGAATTCATCCCAGTATGCAGGAAAAACTCATAAGAAACAAAATTGTCACTGGAACAAATTACTCATGAATAATTGATTTTGAGTTTTTTTATATACTCTGTTGGGACTTAACTTTATTATGTAGAAATATAAATATATACAGTATTAAGTAGAACGCTAGCAGTTTTCATTCTTATCTTTTCCTGGAGTTGTAAAACAAAGTATCTAGTCTGCATGTGTGTGTGTGTGTGAAATGTTCTCATTATAAACAATTAAAATCTGTTAAAAGTTGTATGAATGTCGTGATCTCTTGCTACAATTGATTCAGCAAAAGATCTGTGAAATCAGCAAATAAAATAAAGCTGATGTTATCACAGTGCTCACTTTCTTCGAAACCATAATGTTTTTAGCTGAATGTAGCGAAACCGTTGTCTGATTAATGAGAAAATTATTGAACTTTCTTTGCATTCAGCACCATAATGAAATATATTTCAGGGACTGAGGATTCCTCAATTTTTGTGAAATTTTGCTTATGGATTATTTTCTAAGTAACATAATTGAACAATCCTTATAGCAAGTAGATTTCGATTAAACAATCAAATTGGTTCAATGCTATGTATATTGCTGAGAAGAATTTTTATGCCTATAACCTCCTAGCCCCCCCCCAGCCCCAAGTAATGGAAACATAGACTTGAGTCTGAAGAAAATCGGTTGATATTTTGATTCACTACTTCAAATGAGAACTGGTAAGTATCTGCTTGAGAACACTATTGGAGGATATAACAGAATAAGATGAACCTGTGCTCCATTAGGCTCTGCTGGGGCTAGAGGGGGAGGATAATACCTGTGAAGGGAAAGAGGCTGAATTTGAATAATAGAAAAATGGAAATGAAAGAATAGTATTTGGTTCGTTCACATGATGTGCCAAATGGCCTTTTTGTTCCAAGCTTTATTGCGTTCTTATTTCAATACTGATTCCAGTAGTTGTAATAATAATATTATTATAGGAGTCCTGTAGCTCAGTGGTTAGAGCACTTGAATTGCAAGCGAGACACCTGGGTTCAATTCCAGGCAGGGCGAAACCTTGGGCAAGTTTCCTTACTCCACACGCCTAATAATAATCCCTATAATAATAATCCATCAAAATAATAATAGTCCCTCCAAAAACAAAACAATAATAAATTGGTCATTTCCAATCCACCACTGTTTGTGGGACACTGCTGTGCGCAATTGGCTGCCGCGTTTCGCCCACAAATATACAGTCAATTCACTTAACAATATATTCTGTGAAGCGCTTTGAGATGTCCAAAAGACGTGAAAAGCGCTATATCAAATGCAAGGATTATTATTATTATAATAATATTATTATTATTAGTTGTAATATTGAAGGTTTTAACATTTCTCAAAATAATTTATTTGCCTGAAATAAAATCAGTGGAAAAATACCATTTATTTTATGGCACAATTAGTGCTTTGAAGATCCACTGCCACATACACACAACTTTTTTAGTCAGTTGTTTTAAAGATTGTAATAGAAACTATTTTTACTTCGGAATGATAAGACAGTTGCATCAATGCTGGATTAACACAAAAAGGTGCAACATTCAATCAGCAATTTCAGAACCCAGATGTCAATTTAGATTAGAGCAACCAACTCAGCTCAAGTGCATCACATCAACCACACAATTTAATTTCTCACAATTTAATATACAAGAAATAAAAGTTTTACATTTATGTACCTTTGAGTACTCCCATTCATATTCTTAATATGTTGAAGATATTGTTAGTTTCTTCAATAGAATAGAACATTTATTTAATTTCATCACAGGCACAACTAATCATTGATTACCAAGATCCCAACAACTCTTCATAATTTATTGGCAACTTAAATATATGCCTGATTCCTAGCATAACAGATATTTAGGAAATAACCCTATCAAATTTAATATTAAATCAATAACTTGCTTTAACCACTATCATTTGTTCAACACTAATAATGAACAGCCAGAAACAGCAGAGTCAAGTACATGGAAAAATAGTGTCAAACTTATAATAATATCAACATCTAGATTAAAAAGAAAACTGGTTGACTACATATAATACGTATTAGGAAACTTGCTCAGTCATGAAGTAGTTTAACGGTCCATAAATCATAAATATTAAATTAATGCATGACATCATTAAATTTAATTGAAAGCACAAGGCAAAATAGGCTGATTTCCCTCAAGATTTTGCATCAAACATTTCAGAATGTCACGTCAAACAAATTATATATAAGGGAACAGAAAAAGGTTATTTCACCCAGCAACTTGTCCCACTGATTAAACTCCATTCCTCTTACCTCCCTTTTTAATACTTTATTTACTTAAAAGAACAATCATTACATTTAGACAGTAATTCCTGTGAAACTTTTTGAGACATTTCAAGTTAGATAGGCTATCGAATCCAAGGATTATTATTATCTGATATATCCATCAACTAATTATTTCTCCAATAAAGCATCCATTTGGCTCTTGAACCATTTATGCAGTTTGTTACAATAACTTAACTTGGTTCTTGAACCAACGTATGCAGTTTTTACTATAACATATCCTGGCAACTTATTTCAGAAGTTTATTAACATATTGCTTACATTTCTGGACTCTGGGAGATAAGGGGGCACCACATGCCCTGGAGGTAATGCAAAGTAAAGCATTAAGAATGATTTCCAATGCTAATGGGGTGAGCTAATAGGAATCACTGAATAGGCTGCTATCTGAGGGAATCTTTGACCCAAAATAAAGCAACTCGGAAGGGACTTTAAAGAATGATAGAGGTTGTTAACAGAAAGAGAAAGTATACCTGGAACAATACCGTCAGATATGCCAAGGCAGGAAGGCAAGGTTTAAGGATGTGAAGGGTAGACACTAGGAAGTATTTCTTAATATAAATATTACAATATAATAATAATTTGGTCACTCAACCCACAACTATGTGTGGGACACTGCTGTGTGCAATTGGCTGCTGCGTTTCGCACACAAACACATAGTCACTACACTTTATAGTACAGCCTGTGAAGACTTTGAGATGTCTTGAAGACATGATAAGGTGCTATATCAAATGCAAGGAGTAGTTATAAGTTTTTCTTAACACAAATGGTAATCAACAGTTGCCTTAAGTTACCACAAAAGGTGTCTGAGACCAGCACACTGTACTCATTTAGGAAACAGCTTAACACTGTAATGGGAAAACGATAGTGTTGCTATTCTGGAACGATGAGAACAGATGGGTCAAAAGGCTTTATCCATCTCGTGAAACCTTAATGATTTACAAATGATCTCATTATGATACTCCTGTTGGACAATATATGGGATGTGTTCATGAATGCCGTACTTATGAATTTTTTNCATTAGATCCAGAAGCTTGATGCATTATATGCAAACAACTACCAATTTTCATGAAGAAAAGATTATTATTTTACAGATACATCACCTTAGTTGAAATTCTCTGAAAAATGGAAACTGAATGTATTCTGTCAACTCCGGAAAATATGAGAAGGCAGTTTTTATCTGCAATGTATAGTGAATATACTTTAGGGGCGTAATAATATTAAAGAACCGCAGTACATAAATGAACTAAATATATCCTAAGGATATTTTTGGGGGGCAGGAGAAATTTTCCAACAATTGCTCCTACTGTCTTTAAAGTGCTGCCTGGGATATGGTTCCTTGACTTTAATGTTTGAATATCTGGTTTAAAAAAGAAAATTTTCTTTGTGGCTTGTTTATTTCTTTTCTTGTCCGAACCTTATTAATATCAACCCCTTCTTACCACTGTCTCCAGCTCTTTCCCCTAACTCTCATTAACAGCATTCCCACACTGTAATATTCCTGCTTCCTGGTATGATAAAAGTTACTTTTCTTTCTTTGCTATTTTCAGTGTCCTCCTGAATCCGCTATCGAGGCAATTTCAGTGCACCATTACTTCTGGTTTAATATCAAAATATCAATGTTTCTTCCTCCTTTGGATGCTGGCTGACCCATTGTGGCTTTCCAGCATTTCTGTTTTTGCTCCTTGATCCAGTGGAAATCCATATGCTAAGATATGGTTCAAACTGCGAAAGATACAAATAGTGCCATAATCCAGCTGCTCTGAAATAGGCAATTCTTTAGAAATCCTATCTACTACCCAGTTAGTAGGTGTCATCACTTTTCTGATGTAC